GCGTGCAAAAGATGACAACGAGCGTTACACTTCAGTGTTGTTGTCCCAATCCGAGTTAAAGTTACGAGTACCGTGGCATTTACAACACCGGCCTACAAACATAAACAGCAGCAACGTTCATTTACACCCATCCAGGGTGTAATGGCCGAGTGGTCAGCACCTTCGGCTTCCACGTGGGGGCCCGGGTTCGAATCCCTTTGGAGCTATGGCCCTTGAGCTCTATGTGATTAACGTGGTTCCTGCAGTTGGTGGTGCTCCACAAAAGGGTGCCGACAGCGTGCGTTCCTTGAAAATGTTGGTTTCCTCTTCCATCTCGGTGACGATATGCTTTGACACGCCCGCAGGCGAGGACGAGGCGATGCTGATCATCTCCAACCGTCGCTCCATCCTGGTCTCCAAATCAACGAGACATCGGTGGAGCGCCTGCCCGTGTCCGTGGAGAACGTCGTGGCCACCATCTCGGACATGAAGAACAACATCATATACTGGTCTGACATGAAGGTCAAGAAGATCATGCGCCTGGAGAAGGGCGGACAGCCGCAGGAGGTGAGGCGCGCGCGAGGACTCGGACTCGGACCGCCGCCTCGCGCCACGCTGACCTCCGTGCCGGCCGTGTCAGGTGTTGATGATCTCGTACCCCGAGCGCGAGTCTTGGCTAGATTTAACGAATGGCTGCCGGTTGTGTGAGTGATGTGACGTCGAAGGGCTTTAATTACCAATGCAAATGGTTCTAGCGCTACAACAATTGCTTGTATATAATTGAGCTATTAATCGACCACATTTGTGGCATAATTCGGTTAGTATTAGTCTGGTATACGACAGTCACCTTGTTCTATTCACGCGCACATTACCATCTCAGTAATGGACGCGAGAACTAGGCCCTTCTAAATCGAGGTCCAAGAGGTAGGCGGAGTGGTAGGTGGTGGGTTTGAACATCCCTAACTAACTGACCTGGTCCACGGTAGGCTCACTACACAGTGATAGCAGTATCTCAGTGACAGTGCAGTTTATCGACGACAGCTCACATGCCACAGATAGCGTATGGACGTTTACAGCGTCCACCAGAGGTCCGGTGTCGTCCGACATGTTCTCACTGCCGCTCGTGCCCCGGCCGACAGGTCATCAGCAGCGGCCTGGACCTGGTGGAGGGCCTCGCCTTCGACTGGGTCACCGGCAACCTCTACTGGGTGGACTCTCGGCTCAGCGTGATCGAGGTGGCCAACAAGAACGCCTCCAGTCGCATCACGCTCATCAACCGCGACGTGGACCAGCTGCGTGGCCTGGCGCTAGACCCTGACAAGAGGTGAGCGCCGTCAGCAGCCCCCGGCGGCCGGCCCCGGCCGGTCGCCGCCGGATGTGTGGCCGGGGGCCCGGCTGGCGCCGTACCGCTCATGGCAACGGCGCTAGGATGGACGATGGCGCCGTCAGCAGCCCCCGACGGCCGGCTCCGCGCCGTGCCGCTCACGGCAACGGCGCTAGGATGGAAGATGGTGCGGTCAGCAGCCCCCGAAGCCGGCCCCGGCCGGTCGCCGCCGGATGTGTGGCGCCGGAGGCCCGGCTGGCGCCGTGCCGCTCACGGCAGCGGCGCTAGGATGGTCGATGGTACAGGGTAGATGTGGCGTTAAGTCTGACTCCTGCGAAGCCAAGCGCCCGCGATGTCGCCACGGTGTTTGCCGGTGTGGACAGGCTTTCTAAGTGATTTGCGTCGTAGGAAGAGCAGCAGGTGGTCGAGTGACTGCCAGTGGGCGACAGCAGGACGTAGATTCGATAAGGGCGTTCTGCTAATGCCACCAGGACGGCACCCCGCTGTTTCAGTTTCCATGGCTCGGTCGTTTTGTTGTGTCGGTCCACTCCGGACCTGAACTCTATTGTCTGTTCGGCAGCGCCCGTTTCCTGTTCTGGTCGGACTGGGGCACGCGGCCTCGCATTGAGCGCGCTGGCCTGGACGGCTCCGATCGTAAGACCATCATCAGCTCCAAGATCTACTGGCCGAACGGCCTCACGCTTGACATCCCCAACAAGCGGGTCTACTTCGCCGACAGCAAGCTGGACTACATCGACTTCTGCAAATACGACGGGACGGGACGACAGCAGGTGCGTGGGGTCTGCTGGGCCTGGGATGCCGTCTTCAGACGCGCCCGCCTCTACAGGTTTTTGGGTGGTCACTGCCTCGTTGAACGTTTCTGACGCCGTTCTTGTGTTTGCGTCTTCCACCGCTGGCTCCAGCGCCGGGTGCTGGCTGATTTGAACAATTCTCAGCTTCCTGCCCTTTTGTGCCGACGCTCTGTAACAGGTACACACTGTCGCTGTGGGCTCCCGACTGGCGCACACTTTCGTCTGTGCCCATCCGGCCACACATACTTGTATTCTTACTTCAGTTTGCCACACAGCTCAGAGTTCCTTCTGTATCCCGTCAGTGGCACGGCGTCTAGCGGGACGACTGCGGCTTAGCTGTGAGGTGTTGACAGTGCCCTTCCCACCGGAGTGCCGTCGCCCTCCGCACCCAGTCAGCGGCTCAGGGGCGCGGCGTTCGCCGACGCATCCCAGCCGCCTCCGCCAGCCCCCTCTAACTGGTTCACCGGCGTCGCCGCCAGGTGCTGGCGAGCAGCCACTACCTGCTGCACCCGCACAGCATCGCCGTGTTCCTGGACACGGTGTACTGGACAGACCGGCAGCTGAACCGTGTGCTCTCGGCGCACAAGTACAGCGGCCACAACCAGTCGGTGGTGACGCACCTGGTCTCACAGCCGCTCAGCATCCACATCTCGCACGCGGTGCTGCAGCCGAGCGCGCCCGACCCGTGCGCGGACGCCAGCTGCCAGCACATGTGCCTGCTGGCGCCCGGAGAGCCGGGCTTCGCCTGCAAGTGCCGGCCCGGCTACCGGCTGGCCGACGGTGGCCAGCGCTGCATTGTCGGTGAGCTGGCGGCCCGCCGGGGCTGGGGAAGGCCAGTGCGGGAGCGGAGCGCGCTGGCGGTGGGGGTGGGGTGGGGTGGGGGGAGGGCGGCGAGACGGGGTGCGGAGTGAGCGGCGGGGTGGGGGCCTGGAGGTCGACGGGGCGGAGGGGAACGGATGGCGGAAATGCGAGAGAACACCGCCAGGAGAGAGAGGGAACAACGCTGCGGCGGTCAGGAGGTACCCGTAGCTGTGATCTGCCTGGCACCACTCGAGAGCTGAGCATTGTTGATCAGTCGCACAAAAACTCCCTATCCCGCTATGTTAGCAATGAGTGCCTACAATGTGGTGACCGACAGACTTGAATCCACCTCAAACTCCCCGAGCTTTCTCCAGCTCTGGACCATTGCGCGCCACCTGGGCTCCACCTCCTGACCGCGACGCTGACCTGACCGCGACCCGACGCTGCCTCGCCTCCCCCAACACCGCCCGGAAGCGATACTGACCGTCGCTCGCGCTGCGGCAGAGGAGCGCGCCTTCCTGCTGCTCATGGCCGGCAATCGGGTGACGGATTTGTCGCTGACGCCGGAGCAGCCGCGCACCGGCCTCCTGACGCCCATCATCGGCGTCGACAGCGCCACCAGCCTCGACTTCAACCACCAGTCGCAGACTGTCTACTGGGTCGGCATGACCGAGACCGGCATCGGTGGGGCCGACGAGAATGTGAGTGGCGCGAATGGGGCTCGCGGAGGTCAGGGGTCTCGGCACCGAGTGTAAAGGGCGAGGAGTTAGAGATGCGCAGTGCGGATTTGTTGGCGTGGTTGCAGGGCTTAGGTGCGCGCGAAGGTCTGCCTTGGGGAAATGATCTTTTACGATTGTATTTTCCGAAGGTGGACGTGAATGTGCAGCTCGGAATTACAGAAGGATCCCCGAAGTCTTAAGACTAAAACTCGTTTATTTTTTAAAGAAACTTAAGACGTGCACCTTCACCCCATACCGCACCGTGCCGAGATGTCGGTCCAATCACGTGCGTCCAGCTGGCGGGAGCAGGCGCATGTAACGGTCCGTCGGCGCGCTCCCAGGGCACCATCTACAGCCGGTCCGTGGCCGGCGGCAACGTGACCGAGTTCCTGGTGAACGGCATCATCGGCACGCCGCACGCCATCGCCTACGACTGGGTCGGCGGCAACATGTACATCGGCAACCAGCTGGTCTCCAACATAGAGGTGGTCAGCGCGCAGAGCAAGAGCCGCTACCGCAAGATAGTGCTGGGCAACAATGGCACGGCAGAAGGCGTCGGCAAGCCGGTGGCCATCGTGCTGGACCCGTCCGAAGGGTGAGACTGCTCTCACAAGGGCTGGCCCGGCTTGGTGGCTTTGTCATTTGGGAGGCCACTGTTTCCGAAACCACTATTTTGCTCCTTGAAGCGTACCGGTTCTATCTAAATCCTGTGCTGTTTTTCGGCATTGCGGAGCAAATTGTGCTTGTTTGATTTAATCTACTTGCCATGGATAACATAAAGTTAGCAGTTGGTGTTCTGCGAGTTCCACTCAAGGATCAAGTGACTTGGATTTGTTTAGTTGGCCGTGAAAACCAGACAGGCTGCAACCACGTGAGGCGTTTGAGCTCGATTGTGCGGTCAGTAGGGCGAAAACGCCCTCCTATTTCTGCCTGATCAGCCCGTCCACCTGATGCGCACATATCTCTGTCGCTGGTGATCGAGGCTCAGCCAGCTGTACCACTGCCGCGCTGCTGAGGTGTGACATGTCTGGCCGGCGGGCACGGACTCCCGGCCCTGACCGTGACGCGCGGCGGCCCGCAGCAAGCTGTACTGGGCCGACTCCGGCGGCGTCGGCGTGCCTCCCAAGATAGGCAAGGCCAACATGGACGGCACCGCCCTGCAGCTGCTCATCAAGGACGTGACTCACCCGCTCTCGCTGGCCATCGACATCGAGACCAAAGTCATCTACTGGAGCACAGAGAACCAGCCTTTCGTGAGTGGGCTCTCGCGGTCATGTTTTGTGTGGGTGTTTTATGCTCTCCCTACTCAAATGACCGCACCTTCCCTGATTGGTTCCGTGTGTTATCTTGCAGCTGTGCACTCCCCGCTGCTTCAGAAACATAGAGAGGCAAGGACAACTCTGCTGGCAAGGTGTCGGCCTTGAACTGCTCTAGATCTGAATCCAGTCCAAATACCCGCAGACATAGAAATGGTCTATACGGCTGCACACTGTATGTGGCTACATTTGCAGTCTGTGCATGGTCCGTCTGGTTGCAATATGATTGAAGTTCGGATCTGGGTCCTTATCCCTGACTTGGAAACGATTCTGCCGACTATGCGAGCTTCCATTGCACCTGAAGTAGACCTGATCACCATGCACCGGCAAACAACGGGTCACCATCAGTGTCCACGTGGCTGCGGACCCCCCGCCTGGCCCGGCTCAGGCAGCGCGGCCCCCCTGTGTTGCAGATCAAGAGTGCCGGGGTGGACGGCTCGAACGTGAAGACCCTGCTGGACGCCGGGCGGGGCATCGCCAAGCCGCGCAGCATCGCCATCTACGAGCAGCGTACGTGCTCGTGCGGCTGGGTGTCCTGAGGCGCCGCTGCCTTGTGCCCAGCCAGTAGCGCTCGGGCGCTGGGGGTCCAGGGACCATGGTATTGTGTGCTGTGTGTGTGGTGTTCAGTGCTTGTTGCTTCTTACTTCAGCGTTTGAGCTTCACGCTGTTCGCTGTTTATAGCATGCTGCTCACTGTTCCTCGTGTTGAGTGTGTTATGCGTTCGTTCGTGTCTTCGTTTGTCATCACTTTGGCTCTTTGTTGAGCAGTACTACCTGATTTTGGCATATTCGACGTGTCAACCCGTGTTTATTTAGTCATCCTCGTCGCCTGCAGGACTATACTACTTGGATTCAGCGTATGAACAGGTGGCCCGGCTGGACCTGCCAGAGGGAGACAACCGGATTATCCTGATGAACAACACCGAGGCGCTCAAGGAGCTCAAGGTCTTCTCCAAACGGCCAGGTAGGAGGCCAGCTTAGCGGTGTGGGCAGTCAAAAATAGTGTTGAAGTAATCCATTGTTTTCTCGGAAGTACCAAGCGAACATATAACATAGCAACCAACCTGTTTCATTAGCGCATATTAAATATTTAGATAATTTAATACGCATTAAATATTTGATTGATGTTCTGCTCCCAATCAATACGTCTCGTCGATTATGGCGCAAAACACGATACCACCGCGTCTCTTCTTCCTCTCGATGGCATACGGCCATGAATGATGCACCAACGTCTACATTTGGGAACGAGGCAGGCTGTCAGACTGTGCGATCATGTCGGGAGAATATTGCGATAGTTCGGGCCCTGTCAGCAGCCCCTGAGCCGTCACGCACCATCGCCGGCCGCTCACGCCGCGCACCCTTGACCCGCAGTGACCAGCAACCACCCGTGCCGGAGCAGCAACGGCGGCTGCCAGCACCTCTGCATCCCGGCCAGCGAGGGCGGCCGCGTCTGCGCATGCGCCGTCGGCTACCGGCAGGAGGGGGCGCTGCACTGCTCGGCGTACGACTCGTTCGCCATCGTCAGCCAGCTGGACATCGTTAGGGGCTTCAGTCTCACAGATCACAACGAGGCGATGACCCCTATTGCCGGACCGGGTGCGTGTTGCCAGATGATGATGACGCACACTTCACGTTGCTCATTGGATACATATATTTGTTCAGACCATAGGAATTGAATGATGACATTTAGATAGCATCACCATGTGAGTGCCCTTATAATGAGCTGAGCTTGATGCATGAAAACATAGTCGTATCTTGGCAGTTATTGGGATTTAAAGACATATGGACAGTCCAGGTAATTTGGCGTACACAACGAAAAAATGGTAAACACGCCAGTCGTTATCCACTCGCATAGCGTGAAGACGTGCCCACGGACCTTGGCGCTTGACTGCGCGTACCTTGTTTGAAGGTCACAACGTGCTCCACGTCGACGTGCTGGTGAAGTACAACTACATCTACTGGGTGGAGTTCAACCTGCTGGGAAAGAACGGCATCTACCGCGCGAGACCCAACGGTGAGTTGGTTCTCGGGCCGTCTGGCCGTGCCTTAACTCCTGACATGCGGGCATTTTTGGTTGCGAATCGAGTGAGCGACACTCGGGAGTGTGCGGGAGAGTTTTTCGCTGGACCATGCCAAGGAGCCCAACTGCGCCCGGTGTTGGATTTATCGAGTGTTGTCGGCCAGGCACGGATCTGGAGGCGGTGGTGTCGATGGCCTATCGAACGTTGTCGGCCAGGCACGGATCTAGAGGCGGTGGTGTCGAGGACTTATCGAATATTGTTGGCTGGGCACGGATCTGGAGGCGGTGGTGTCGAGGACTTATCAAATGTTGTCGGCTGGGCATGGACCTGGAGGCGGTGGTGTCGAGGACTAATCGAATGTTGTCGGCCAGGCACGGATCTGGAGGCGGTGGTGTCGACCGGCGTTGGATCGAACGGCATCCGTGGCATCGCCGTCGACTGGATCGGCGGCAACCTGTACTTCGCCAACTCGTTCCCCCACGAGACGTTCCTGGAGGTGTGCTGGCAGGACGGCAAGCATCGCATGGTGCTCATGAAGACCACCAAGGACTCGCCGAAGGAGATTGCCGTCAACCCCATCAAACGGTACGGATGTGGTAAAACCACAATATATATGGTGACCGGCTGGCAAAACTGTAGATCGGCCTGCAGGCGAAAGGTACTAACAAAACTGTTTTTCTCGATTATGGTGTACCGGTTCAAGTCCTTGCAGGTGCAAAGTGGTGTTGACTTTCCATGAAACGCTGACTGCCAAGGGGCACGCCGTGCACGCGACATCTCGCCGGGGTTTAGCCCTCGTCGATGGTTGTAACCCAGGGCGCCCGGCACCGGAAGCCTGTAGCGTGCAGCCTCGTGCGTGTCTCGGCTGGCTTACGCCGCGTGGGGCGACACTGACGCGAGGTTGCTTCCTCCGCAGCTACCTGTACTGGATCGACTACGGGCAGAACCCGAAGGTGGCCCGAGCCAGGCTGGACGGCAGCGAGCCGGAGGCTATCGTCACGAGTGGTGAGCCTGGGGCGAGGCCGCTCGGAACACGACGGTCAAAGGACGCCCGCACTGGCTCGGACGGTATCCTCGAACGTCACACCGGTGTCAAGTGATCTGGAGTCTTTCATGAGGCGATCGGTTGATCAGGGCGAAGACTGTTAGCTGGAGTGAAGACACAGCGCTCGCCCTTTGACGATAGAGCAGCGTACAGGTTATTGGTGAAGTGGACCTTGAGCCCGCCGTTTCCCAGTGTAGCGCTTATCTCTGATGGTTGGCACGACACGGTGACCACGTCTCTGATTCACGCCTCTGACCCATGTTTTGACCCGCTTATCTATCCCACGTCCGTGACCCAAGTCTCTGACCCAGGTCTCTGACCCTGTAATTGACCCGTCGTCGGCGCTCGCAGGCATCAGCCAGCCGCGAGACCTGACCATCGACATGCTGACGCACGACATCTTCTTCGCCGACTCGAACATGGACGCCATCATGAAGGTGGACTACATGGGCAAGAGCCGCCAGATGATCCGCCGCAACCTGCCCAACCCGGTCGGCCTGGCCGTGCACCTGGGCAACCTCTACTGGGTCGACCGCAACCTGGGCTCCGTGTTCCGCGCCTCTAAGCTGGCCAGCAACACGACGGCGCCGCAGATCCTCAAGTCGGGCCTGGAGAGGCTGCGCGACATCACCGTGTTCGACGCCCAGAACCAGCCCCGTGGGCAAACGCCCTGCACGGGCGCCGGCTGTGAACAGCTCTGCTTCGCGCTGGCCGCCGGCGAAGGCAACCTGCTCAACGGCGGCTACAAGTGCGCATGCGCCACCGGCACGCTGGCGGACGACAAGCGCCGCTGCGTGAAGAGCGAGGACTACCTCATCTTCACGACGCGGACCGAGATCCACAGCGTGCACATGGACCCGAGGGTCAACAGTCTGCCGTTCGAGCCCATTGTGAGTGGATGTGGCAGCTGTGCGTGGTGTGTGAGTCAGTAAGTTGCGCTGGTGTGGTTCGGTTGCGTGAAATTTGCGGCGGCTGGGGCCGCTTTGCGATCGCAGGCCTGGATGCCCGCGAAACCTGGAGTCGTGATAATTTGTCTTCAATTTATTATTCGTTTCCAAGCTTCAAACTCAATCAGCGGTTACAGCCGGCAACCTTAAGACATTTCTGCACAGTTCTCGCAAACACTTGTAATTATTTGTACTACCATATGGATATCTAGCTCCTGGGCTCCATTGTTGCGCGCTTGAAGCACCAGTCTTCAACCCTCTCCGACGTGTTCTTCAGACTAACTTCACGAACGTGGTGAACATCGACACGGACGTGGCGGACCGGCGCCTGCTGTTCACCGAGGTCAGCCCGCCGGACCGCATCGGCTGGCTCTCCATGGATGTGCTACGCGCCGACAACGGCACCACCATCATCTCGGTGAGGCGGCCGCGGCGGGGTCTGATCCGCTGCGGCGCCGATCGGATCGGATCGGATCGGATCGGATCGGATCGGATCGGATCGGATCGGATCGGATCGGATCGGATGGTCCGGGCCGGGCCGGGCTTTACTGGTTCTGGGTCGAGCTGTGTGGAACGATGCTACGAACGTGCGCACTTCAACATCACTTCGCGCGCCGTTCACAGGAATCATTCAGTTCAGTTTTGATTCGCAAGGCGATTTTCATCGGGATATGCGCGCGAAGCCAAGTTGCTTATGTGACGTATCTAATGCCTGGCCGTTTAAAACGGTGTAGGAGCGTAGCTCCGTCGCATAAAGCCATGCCCAGACCCCGCATAAGACCAGCTGCAATTCTGGGCGTAATTGTGAGCGTAGACCAGCTGTAATTCTGTAATTCATGTCCGTCCCTGCGCGCTCTCTGACCTGACACCACATCCGTCCGTGCACGCTCTGTGACCTGACTCCACGCCGCGTCCGTCCGTGCTCTCTGACCTGACGCCACGTCCGTCCGTGCGCGCCCTCTGACCTGACACCACGTCCGTCCGTGCGCGCGCAGGGCGAGAAGTCGGCCATGGACCCGACCGGCATCGCGTACGATTGGATCGGGAAGAAGGTGTACTGGGCCGACTCGCGCAACCACTCGATCTATGCCATGAACCTGGACGGCTCGCACGTGGTCATGCTGGCCAACGTGGAGAGGCCACGTTCTCTCGTGCTCGACCCCTGCAAGGGCTACATGTACTTCATCGACTGGAACAGGTGGGTGCCGGAGGCTGCTTGGCCTTGGCCTAGTGTCGCTTCGTGGGGTGCGCAGGCCTTGCTCAGGGTTATTCGGGCCTTTGGCGGGTTTGGGGGTTGCAGATAACTGACGATCTGGCCTGTTGGGTCATAGTTTCAACCGATGCAGCTTCTGTATATCTCGTTTAGGACTTGCCGCGTCGAACGCGACAACGTGCTATGTGGTACCAGGTGTAAGTTATGGCGGATTTTGAGCGTGCGTTACCTGGCACTGCCAGGCTACCGGTAACTGTCAAGCGTCGCTTCACAGGTAAGGGGTTACTCCGCCGTATTCTGAGCTTTGGTCGGCTCCCTCGAAGATCCGTTACCGTCGCAGGGACCGTGCTCCGTCGCTGGGCGTCTCTGTCGCCACGCGAGGGCGGTACTGGGCCCGCCTCTGACCGCCGCCCTCGCCGCCAGGTACGGCTCGCGCGCCAAGATATTCCGCTCGACGATGGCTGGCTCGTTCAAGACGGCGATCGTGGAGGCGAACCTGACGCAGCCCTCCGGTCTGGCGCTGGACCGCCCCGCCCAGAAGATCTACTGGACAGACCTGCTGCGGGAGAAGATCGAGCGCGCCAGCGTGGACGGCACGAACCGAGAGGTACTCCAGAGGGCTTGGCGGCGGCGGCGAGGTAGCACGGCTCAGGCGTTCCGTGTGGGCGGGAACGCTCTGGGTGGTGTGACAAGTCTTCATCGGGGTGGTATGCTGGCATCCCACGGCATCCTGGGAGGATTGTCTGTCATAGTCAATGTCTGCTCGCATGTGTGCTCGGGTGCCCGTCCGATTGCTGTCGTCTTGAACCGGCGCAATCTTCACTGCTGGCTTTGATGCCATCTGCCCATTTGGAGCGCATGGCGTCAGTTAGCCCGTGGTCGCATCTGTGCCTGTGCTTGGACTACCTCGTTCAGCGTCGTCATGCGCGCGCACCGGCCAGAAGCGGACACGAACTAAGCCGGTCGGTTTTCAGGTGCTGATCGCGGCCACGCTGTTCCCGTACGGCATAGCAGTGCACGGTAACTTCATCTATTGGACAGACCTGCAGCTGCGCGGCGTCTACCGCGCAGAGAAGCACACAGGAGCCAATACGGAGGTGAGGTTCCGTCAGCAGGAGTGGCCAGCGGCCGTAGTCATGGGCGTGACTGTGGCTGAGCTGCAAAAGATGTGACAATAAATGCACAGCTGAAATGGGTTGAGTGTGCCCCTTGAGATTCGTAGAGTATGCCAGTAGTACATGATAGCAGTTCACACAGGATGGAAGAATGGCGCCAGCGTTTTATTTTGTCCGTATTTGCATGTTATGATCGAGTCAAGTGAAGGGCCGCACATTGAGCTCGTTTACGCCGTTTACGATGCTCGCCGTGCCGTGTCCCGTTGGTTGAGAGGATCGGCGTTCCTAAGCGTACAGATAGCTCTGTGCCCTGGGACTCTCAACTAGTCGCCACCCTAACGTGGCGCCTGTCGGGGCTCAGGAGATCGTGGACCGTCTGGACGGGACGCCCAGGGACATCCTGGTCTTCTCCAAGGACAACCAGAAGTGCGACCCCGAACTGAACCCGTGCTCCATCAACAACGGCGGCTGCGCCCAGAGCTGCCACCCCAGCGTTAACAACACGGTGAGACGTCGGCGTGCGGCGCAGTGCCCAGACCTTCACAGGAGCTGCATCAGCACCTCCCCACGACATCTGGCCGGCGCCGAAGTTCATTCAGACGCTTATGTAGTATTGCACCAAATGTCATTGATGTATGGGATGCAATGTCCTCGACGATCGAATGCTAGGGAATGCACACTGTTTGTTGCATGAATGCTGCTTTTGCGCACCGTTCAGCGGACATGCCGCCCACCTTCTGAGCGCCGGCTCGGCCCTGTCGCGCAGGTGGAGTGCAAATGCAACACCACCACCAAGCTGGTGAACGAGGGCAAGATGTGCGTCACCACCGACCTCACGTGCGACAACCACAAGTTCGTGTGCGGCAACGGCAAGTGCATCAGCCGGCTGTGGGCGTGCGACGGCGAGGACGACTGCGGCGACGGCTCCGACGAGGACGAGAACTTCTGCAGTAAGCGGCCGGCCGCGCGGGGCCCCGGGACCCGGCCGGTCCCCCGCGCGGGGCTCCGGGGCCCGGCCGGCGCCGGAGCTGGGCGGGGTGCTGGCGTGGCGCGAAGTGGGCTATCGCGGCGGGATCCAAATATTCGTGACAAATTAAAAACACTTGCCATGCGAGTTGGCAGATCGTCTGCATTTTCTAGTTTTACGTTTCGATCTTTGGCTTTACCGTATTTTCCTTTAGCTTTCACTGTCTACGCTCCTCTGCGCTGCTCAAGAATTAACTGGGCTGAACACCACCAACAACATGCTAGCGTTGGGAGGCAGGTGCCCGGTCGGCGGCGCCGCCATGGCTCGTCTGAGCCGGTCCCAGCTGACGCCCCCGCCCCCGTCGTTGCCAGCGTTCCACACCTGCAGCCCGTCTGAGTTCCGCTGCGGCAACGGCCGCTGCATCTTCAACTCGTGGAAGTGCGATCATGAGGACGACTGCGGCGACGAGACGGACGAGGCCGAGTGTGACTACCCGCCCTGCGACGAGGGCGAGTTCACCTGCGCCAACCACCGCTGCATCGACATGGATGAGGTGAGCACGGCGCCGTCCGCGGGAGGGACTCCCCCGGCCGAGGGAGGGGAGGGGTAGCGTAGAGTTGATGTACACTCGTGTCGAGGAGATGAGCTCTCGTGTAAGTGCTTGTATTGTGTGAGTAGCTGGTATGCTTGCGTGTTGGGTACGGCTGTGTAGCAGTGCGGTACATGTTTTCGTGGGAATACGCTGTAACTGAACTATGCAGTCATGCAGATTTATGTTCTGGTTGTGCGATGGCAGAATGCACTCTTGCCATTGACTGGATGTTGCTCCCCTTCTTATCATGTTCGTGTGGAGTCTCAACCCTCTTGATGCTTCTGCTCTTCCATCCCATCCTGTCCCATGCCCCACGCATAACAACATAGGTCTGCAGCGCACATTTATCTGTCCGAAGGTGTTGAGATTCTTGCCGTGATAGCTTGTGTCTGATGTAGTACGCTTGTGTATGACTGCACGGTTTGCTTCGTATGCACCTGTTGGCTGCGCTCCTTTTGACTGCGACATGGATTATGGAGTGTACCTGGTGGCTGCAGCGTTCTGCCCGCCGTCTGACGCCTCTCCCATCTGACCCGCTACAGGTCTGCAACGGCGTCAACGACTGCCGTGATAACAAGACGACGGACGAGTCGCTGGAGCGCTGCAGCAACACCACGACCACCTGCCCGACCAACCACCTCAAGTGCGAGACGACCAACATCTGCGTCGAGCCGTACTGGCTGTGCGACGGCGACAACGACTGCGGCGACAACAGCGACGAGAATGAGCTGCACTGCAAGGACCGTCACTGTCCGAACAACAGCTTCAGGTGCGTCGCCCGGCTGGGACGGGAGGCAGCGTGGACGTAAAGCAGCGGGCGGATCAATGGGGATCAATGGGCTTGCGCTTCGGCAGTTTAGCGAAACATGTGGCAGTTACGGCCGTTGAAGTCGCCACTAGCGATGGGAACCGGTGATAATGGCAGGTTTCTGCCAGCGTGGGAGTCAGCTGTGTGGTGGGTTGAACACCTTTGGGGCCGAAAAGCAGCTCCTTGATCATTGGGCGGCTTGCCCCGGCGGGGGCGCTTGGTGAGCGTCCCAACACTGCAAGCGTGACGGCGTAACGTGTCACGCTCGCCGGCGCGTGATGGCGGTGTTTTGACTCCGCCGTTGGCGTCGCTAGGTGCTCCAACCACCGCTGCATCCCCGCCACCTGGCACTGCGACGGCGACGACGACTGCGGCGACGGCGCCGACGAGCCGGACGACTGCAAGTCGAAGGAGCGCACCTGCTTCGGCGACCTCTTCACCTGCAACAACGGCAACTGCATCCCGCGCATTTACATCTGCGACGGCGACAACGACTGCGTGGACGGCTCGGACGAGGACGGCCGCCACGAGTGCAGTAAGTCTCGGCCGTCCCACTCTCTGCGCCCTCTCTGAGCGGTGAGCCGTTCCACCCCTCTGCTCCGGCTCTGGCGCAAGTCCGTCCACCCCTTCACATGGCGCGCGCGCTAGCTGGTTTGCTGTTGTTGGATTGCGACTCTTCCTTTCTTTTGCCCCCCCCCCCCCCACCCCCTCCCCGGTCCACCTCTTGTGGTCTTTGGTCTCGGTGTTCGTGCCTGGCAGTTTGGGCATGCCGGGCGCCTATTTTCAGCATTACGTTCAATGACTTTGATGACCCCCCCCCCTCTTACCGTGCAGTTCTGCAATCCCTGGCTTTAGTTCTGCCCCTGTGTCCAGTAGTGATGCATTTAGAATATGCAAACCTCAATTTTGCACTGCGTTCCCCTTGTGCATACAGCCTTGGTACGTAGTTCGTAGATGACTGGAGACCATCCATGGGTCCTGAAGTCGATTGCAGACATGTGCCTTATGCGAGCTGGCCGTCAGGTTCCACCACCGCTCGTCGGAGGTGCGTTACGACTCACCCGAGCCCTGACCTGGCCTCCCTTCTGCAGACAATCGGCAGTGCTCCAAGGACGAGTTCCAGTGCACGGCCAACAAGGACTGGGGCCGCGCGCTGTGCATCCCGCAGCGTTGGGTGTGCGACGGCGACCCGGACTGCGTGGATGGCGCCGACGAGGACAGCGAGCGCGCCAACTGCACCACCACGCCCGACACGTGCACCACGGAGCAGTTCACCTGCGCCAACAAACGCTGCATCAACAGCGTGAGGAACTGGGCGAGGGCCGGCGCTCCGTGCTGGCGGCGCTCAGTTAGGGCGGTGATTCGGGCTGAGGCTCGGAGCGAAACAAGCAGCTGAAGTCGGTATTGAATAGACTTGTGGGGTCGTGTGTTGGGGACGGCCCTTTGCCCGGCTCATTCTGGACCAGTCTTCGTGCTTAGTTGCAGCCGTGAAAGGAACAAGACGAGGGCTTGTGGGGAAAGTGCGTGAAATTGGCCAAAAACCCGCCCTTGGCACTGTGCCGTCCGTTTAGCTCCTAAATGGTGAGTGTGGTGATGTTTTCAATACTTCATTTTCAAGTGACTGGCGAGTCTTTTGATCCAGCATTGCCTTGCATCGCATTCATCACAAGCTGTGAATACTCCCCACGATCGGTCCACGTCAGAGGAGGCTGAATCTCTCCTATTGCGCGCGCTCTCATCCGTGCTCCGCTGCCCTCCCCCTGCCAACCCGTCCCCTCTCCCCCTCCTCCACCTGGTCGGACGGTCGCTTGACCCGGCCATCCACTCGCGCCGCCAGAAATGGGAATGCGACCACGACAACGACTGTGGCGACGGCAGCGACGAGAGCCGCGCCTGCAACGGCCGCTACCCCAACTGTACGAGCGACGAGTTCCCCTGCTCCAACGCCAAGTGCGTGCGCCAGGCGTACCGCTGCGACGGAGACGACGACTGCGGCGACTTCTCCGACGAGGCGGACTGCTGTGAGTTCGGGGGCGACGCTGGGTCGGAGGTGGCGCGAGGCCGCGGGCCGGGGCCCGGGACCGCTGGCCTGAGGCTGGAGACGGCGCTGGAGTCGCCGGTCGTCGGGGATATGAGAGCCGATGCCGCGCTCATTGAGTCTGTCTGTTTGCCTCTCAGCTGCCCTGTCGGTGATTCGCATGCTCTCATCGGCGGTGTTTAACAATCGGCCACGAGATGACGCTCGCTCTACAATGGCCTGGTTTTGTGCGTATTCACAGGGAAAGAAGAGGCCGAATGTCAGCCTGGCGAATTCGCGTGTGGTGGCAAGGACGCGGAAAAGCACTGTATCAACTATGAGCTGGTCTGCAATAAGGTAAAGCTGACGAAGCATATTTAGGCAACCACAATGGGTAGCCTGAGCAGCACTGCGTTCCGCGAAAATGATTGACAAATGATTGTTTGTATTCAACATACTGCTGAGACTCGATCAATTTTACGTTGCTGTCAGCCTTCTGCAGGATCAACGAGACTCACGCGGCACACAATCACGCAAGAAGCATCCGCTTGCATGCCTCTTGCACGGATTGCACAGATCTTGCACGCATCTCACTCCGATCTGAGACCGCACCGCGAACGTGGTGCACTGCGGCGAGCCCGGCGGCCGGCTCCGCGCGTGCCCGCTCGACCCTGCACGCTGCCCCGTCTTTCCGCTAGGAGGAGGACTGCGAGAACGGTGCCGACGAACCACTGCACTGCAATGTGGACGAGTGCGCCAAGACGGAGCTGCACCAGTGCGCGCACAAGTGCGTCAACACGCTCATCGGTTACTACTGCGAGTGCAGCTCCGGCTACAAGTGAGTTAGTCGCGCCGCTGTCCGGCGGAAGAGACGCGAGGGTCGTTGCCCTCGCCGAGTTAGAGATGCTGGTCTGTTTGTTTTTCGCCGTGGTTCGTGCTGGTTGTCTGTTTTGCTGGTGGCTGTGCGGCAAGGCTGCTGTTTGCTACCGCTGCACCCTTCTGAGTTATTTCCCAAATAACGCATCAAGGAGCATTCATGCAACCGTGTGCTCTGTGTTGCTGCACCCGTGTCTTGTTATAGCCGCGTATAACCACTTCTCCACCTGATTGAAAAACTTACCTCTTGACGTGTCCACTTACACATTGGTGCTTGTGGGTGGACACGTGAGAGGTAAACGAGGCCCAGATAGCCAAGGCCCGGGTTTTCAGCTGCACCTTGGAAAGTTCGCGACAGAACGAAGTGACGCTGCGCTTTTAACCTTTTCCATAATGGCATGAGTGTGTGCCTCAGCGAGGTCTAATGCTTTCACACTGTTCCGGTCAAGCGGCCAGTCACTGAACCTCCCTTTTGCAGGCTGATGCCGGACAAGCAGGCATGCGAGGACCTGGACGAGTGCTCCGAGCGGGTCAGCGAGTGCTCGCAGAAGTGCTTTAACCAGCCGGGCACCTTCTCATGCAAGTGCAATGAAGAGTTCTACGAGCGCGAGCCGGACGGTCTCACGTGCAAGCGCCGCGACTCGATCACGCCGTGGCTGGTTATCACCAACAAACACTACGTACGCAATATCTCGACGGACGGCTCGCACTACGCGCTGATGCACCAGCAGCTGCAGAACGTGGTGGCGCTCGACTTCGACCTGAAGGAGGACCGGCTCTACTTCGCCGACGTTGGCGACAAGAAGATCCACCGCACACTGCGCAATGCGAGCGGCGAGTTCTACGAGCCCATCATCTCGACTGACACGGGCGGCCTGGAGGGGCTAAGCGTCGACTGGATCGGTCGCAAGATCTACTGGCTCGACCGGAGTGAGAAGCATCTGGACGTGGCCAACCTGGACGGCTCCAACCGGCGCACGGTCCTGCCGCACGGCCTGACCGATCCGCGCGCCATTGCCGTTCATCCCGGCATCGGTTACATCTTCCTCACCGACTGGAACCTGCAGGCGTTCATCGGCAAGATCGGCATGGACGGCAGCAACTTCACGCGCATCCTCACCTTCAACGACAAGGTGATCTGGCCCAACGCATTGACCATTGACTTCTTTGCCGAGAAGATTTTCTGGGCGGATGCGCACATGGATTACATCGCGTACGCCGACTTCGAGGGGCGTGGCAAGCACGAGGTGATTCAGGGCCAGAACGTACATCACGTGTTCGCCCTGACCATCATGGACGACACCATGTTCTGGACGGACTGGAACCTGAAAGCAGTGGTGAGCGCGCACAAGTTCACTGGTGGCAACATCAAGATCCTCCGCAACACAACGCACCGGCCGTACGACATCAAGGTCTACCACCCGCTGCGCCAGCTGGCTTACGACAACCCATGCGCTGAGGATAACGGGGGCTGCTCACACTTGTGCTTGCTGGCGCCGGCCAAAGATGGCGGCACGCGCGCACAATGTGCGTGCCCGGACGATTTCAAGCTGATGGCCGATGGGAATACGTGCATTAACAACTGTCCGAAACGGACGCACCGCTGCGGCGCGCCCGACGACATCTGCATACCCTGGTTCTCCAAGTAAGTGACCCGTATGGGTGGGGTCCGATGGTATCGCGAACCGGTCCCACCATGCACCCATCTTTATCTACAGGCATGATCGGTGTTACCTGGTGATGTGGACAGTCTCATCGTAGATCTATCCAGATCGGTCTTTCTTCGCCGTGACCGGTTAGACGACCGCGGTAGTTAACACGACTTTACCTGCGCTGCTTGTTCGCTGCACAGATTGGAGAGGTATTCAGGCTCACTTTCCATTCGGCGGGGGCCGACGTCGGAAACGAAGACCCGTCGGAGTTAATCCTCCCCCTCCCGCCATGCGCTTACGAGGCTGTCCCTGATGGGCGCAGCATGAGCGCGCGCTGACCTGGCGTCGGTCGGCAGGTGTGACGGCGTGCGGCAATGCAAGGACGGCTCAGACGAGCACGGATGCCCAGAGCGCGTCTGCCCCATCGGACAGTTCCAGTGCAAAAACAACAACTGCACCTTACCGTCCCAGTTCTGCAACCGTGAGTGCTGCACGAGCATTCCACTGTCGGGCACCCGCTAGCTGACGGCATTCATGAGTGGATGACGGACGCTGACGCTGACTGAATGGGCTGAATGACTGAAAGCCAGATATTGTAGCTGATCGACCGAATAGAAGATGCTGAATGAAAAGCTGACAGAATAAATGGCATGTGTCTGCTTATCGGTATGTACCGAAATGCCGTTCGTGGTTTTTGCATCACGTGTTATATGTTCGCTCACCAGAGGTTTTGAGCGCAAAAACATTACTCTTGGTGGCACAAAGGCTCTTAGTAAAAAATTGTACTTAATCTAGTGCGTAAACCTCACGCAGCTATCCACACTCCCATTTCCTCCTCGTGTACCATGTTTTGCTTCTCGCGTCTGATTCCGTGAAGCAGTCCACGCGATGGTAATCGTGCCACCTGGTCGCCGCAGTGAACGACGACTGCGGCGACAACTCGGAGGAGGAGAACTGCGCGAACGAGTGTCCGGAGCATATGTTCCGCTGCAAGAAGAACGGCTACTGCATCAACAGCGCGTGGGTCTGCGACGGTGACGCCGACTGCCGCGATGGCACCGACGAGGAAGAGGAAGAGTGCCGTAAGTCCCGACGGGCGGCTGGTGCCGCGCGCCTGCCTGGCCGCCCCCCTCTGAGCAGCGCACTACTGTTGGCCGCAGGGGTGTTACTGACGTGTGAAACGGTCGTGCGCACCCGAAAAAAACGGCGCGTGTTTTGTGTGTCTGTGATTTGATGTAGGTTTTGCACCTGATCCAGCGTCGCTGCGCAGCTTAAGCCCCCTGATTTCTGTGCTCGATTGAATCTTTTGTGCCAGGCATCATGGACAGTTGCCACTCTAAATCCGCGTTGCGTGCAGGCACTGTTTTCGAGATACTTGTAGCACGCTCGCTAGCGCATACCCTCAAACATGAGAAAGTGCCTGCCGCTGCGTTACCACCGCGCGCCTCGCTGCTTACAGACCACGGCAACTGCGACAAGGACACACAGTTCTCCTGCAAGAACGGCAAATGCATCGCCAAGCTGTGGTCGTGTGACGGTGATAACGACTGCGGCGACGATAGCGACGAGCCGGCACATCTGTGCAGGTGGGTCTGACCGCTGCGACGCCGAGCCCCGAGCCGCTGCGCAACCGAGCCCCGAGCCGCTGCGACACCGAGCCCCGGGCCGCTGCGACACAGAGCCCCGGGCCGCTGCGACGCCGAGCCCCGAGCCGCTGCGACACCGAGCCGAGCCCCTGCTACACCGAGCCCCGGGCCGCTGCGACACCGAGTCCCGAGCCGCTGCGACACTGAGCCCCGGGCCGCTGCAACACGGAACCCCGAGCCGCTGCGACGTTTTGTTTTGGACGCGTCCGCCGCTGCCGCCCGCGAGGAAGTGGCTTTTGTCGTTGGCGGCCACCCCTTTGTTTGCGCCAAATCGCTGAACTGTGCTGCCGTCTGTCGTTGCGTGTATTTCCTTCATGCGGGCTGAAATGCTTAACTAGGTGTTGTCACCTAGCGTATTCTTAGGCATGATTAGGGACATGATTCCAAGCGGTTACAAATCCCGTCTTTTGTTTTCGACCTGGAAACACGAATGCCGCAAATGCCGCCGAGTGCCTCCCGATCGCCTGGAACAGCTTGCAGTTGCGGTGTTCCCTCACGTGACCGGGAGCTGCAGCGAGGCACGAATCCAGGGCGCCGCTATCCGCTCACGCGTTGACGGCGCCACGACGGGCGGGCGTTGCCGCAGTCGGCCTCGGCCCACGTGCACTATGCGCCGACCGGCGGCGCGGCCGGCAGCGCGGTGGCGGCGAGGCTCACTGCTTCTTGGCCAGCAGGCGAGCCTTGGTCGGCTTCAGCGGCTCGCTGTCCTTCAGCGCGTGCAGGGTATCGTCCAGCACGTGGGTCACGCTCTTGCGCAGCTTCGCGTCTCGTCCGGCGTGCCCGTTGCTCGGGGCTTGTCTGCCAGTGAGGTGCTCCCGACCGACGGTCGCTTCGTGCAGCTGCTGCACGGGCACTGAGCGCGCGGTCGAGGCCGCTCTCACTACTTTGGACAGCTCCGGCGAGATGCTGCTGGCGCCGCTGATCTGCTTTTCAACGCCGTCTAGGGCCATGCTCTTGGATGGTGTCAGCAGCTCCGTCTCTTTGCGGCTACTCTTTTCGTGGGATGCTATTTTTGGCGTCACGCTGGTGGCGTTAGTTAAGGGGACCTCCGTTTTCTTGGTTGTGGTCTCCTTCCCAGATGCCTTCGATCGCCCTTCATCTTCATCAGCATCATCTTGTTTTCCGTCGTCGTCCCGGACCGTTCCGGTGGTAGTTTGCGCCGGCTGCAAAGTACCGTGCCGCGCCTTTTCCGGTCGGTGGGGCCCACCTGATCTGTTATTGCTGCCAGTGGACACCGAGGAGAGGCTTAGGGGTATCAACTTTATCGTTGCCCGCTTCTCGTCCGGTGTCTTGGCTGGGGCAAGCTGGCGGGCGGTGTCGCTAGTCGGCATGCCGTCGGTCGAGTTCCTGTCGGGTGTGACGTCACTAGAGTTCCTGGTCGGCATGTCTCGGGTGGTGGTCCTAGTCGTTACAGCATCGGTAGAGTTGATGGCCGCTGTTGCGTGGTTGGAGTTCTCTGTCTGTATTATGTCGGTAGAGATCTCGGTGGGCATGTCGTCAGTAGATGCCGTTGTTGTTCGTGGGTCGTCAGTGGAGTTTTGGACCGATGTGACTTCAGCGGAGTGCCTGGCCGGCGAGACTTTCGAAGAATTCGTGGTCGATATGCTATGTATGGGTTGTTGTATCGGTACTGCAGCTTTCTTGGCCGTTGCGCCGTGGTTGGAGTGCCTTGTCGGTACCACGTCGGCAGACTTCTCGGTTAGTTTGCCGTCGCTGGCATTCCTGCTGGCATTGGTGCCTGCAGACTTCCCTTTCGGCACAACTGCCATAGTTTCTTTGCTCGGCCCGATGGAGAAAGAACTCCCAGACGTTGTAAAGCGATCTTCAGAGGTGCTTTCCGACCTAGGCGTGATCGCAGAAGTCACTTTCGGCAGCACTATGGACGCGGAGCCCCTCATAGCTGAGGCGCGACCCGCCGATGTGTCGACCAATCGACGGAAGCCGTCCCCGCTCGCACCATCACGCACTGGCACCGCGGCCCGCCTGCCGCTGGTCGCGCCACCGCCGCTGTCCGTCGCGCTCCCCGCCCCGTCCGGTACTGTCACCGCCACCGGGCCGACCCCGCCCCTCGCCTCCTGGCCGAGGCTGGTCTGATCGCGCTGTAGCGCTTGCACCGGGCTCACCAGCGACACGTTGCTAAGGCGAATCACATCGTGCGTCAGGCGCGGCTGTCGGACGAAGTTGAGCCCGAGCCAGGGCGAGCCCGACCCGAACTGTCCCAAGGCCGCCGGGGTAGCCGCTGCCAGGGTCAGCAGAGCGAGTGACCAGACAGCGCGCATGGCTGCACGACGGCCGCCCGCGGCGGCCCACTGACAACTGACCGGACTCTGCTGTCACGCCGGCCGCCCGGCCGCCGTCAGTCCGCCCATTAGTCAGTCACAGTGGGCGGGACGCCGGCGCTGAGCGCCGGGCCGCGCCCGCCCAGCGCCCGGCGCGGTGACAGCGCCGAGTGGGTGGCGCCGGCGCTGACGCCTCTGACGCGGATCGGACCCGGCTTGCGGTGCTGCGTACTGCGGAGCGCAGGCGCGGTGCTGCGGGCTGCGGAGCGCAGGCGCGGTGCTGCAGATTGCGGGGCGCAGGCGCGGCAGATGCGGTGCACGTCGTACTTTTGACTTGTTTTGGTTGTCGCCACTGACTTCGTACCTGGCGCTGTCACCGCTGTTCATCTGTCGAGGATAGGGACCATGCCGTCTGGCTTCAGTTCTTTCGTACACGCACCAATGCCCCTCGCTAGTGCCGACCAGGACCTGTCAGCCGTCATCCCGGCACTGGCTCTGGTGTGTGACGTTTGCTCTCAGAGTCGATGGGGCGCACGTGACCCGTGGCGGGCGCTGACCCGTGCCCGCCACGTGACCCGTGGCGGGCACTGTAACTCAGACGGCCGGACAGCGAGTACGAGTTGACAGATGGAGCTGTCGGCTGGGCCGCGCGCGCTGTGCTGGGGCAGGCGGCCGGCCCCCTTGCTCACTCCCCGCGCTCCCGCGTGGCTAGTGGAATCGTTTGTTGACACCTGCCCTCTTTGATCCCTGCCCTCTAACCGTTAGTGAGGCAACCGTATGAGGCATATGCCAGTATTTCGTACATTGACGGGACGCCAAATGGTGGAGCTATGGCGATGCGTGACAAAAATAAAAATGTCGCACCCTATTGATGCCTGGGCAAGGGACGTCTCGAGGCCACTGCGTCTACCACTTGACGTGAGGCGAGAGCAGAGTGGCCACCGCTACAGCACCTGGAGACCACATGTTCTCGCATATCGTGACTAACGCATCGTTTGCGCCTCGCAGGCAACGCAACTGCACTGCCGGCTGGTCGCGGTGCCCCGGGTGGGCCAACTACCGGTGTATACCGGACTGGCTGTTCTGCGACGGCAAGGACGACTGTCGCGACGGCAGCGATGAGCTGGAGGAGAACTGCCCCAAGTGTGACAAAACCGAGTTCCAGTGCGACAACAAGCGCTGCATCCCCGAGTAAGTGGACACCGGATGGGAGCGGGCAGTGGGCAGCGGGCGGCGGGGGCGGGCAGTGGGCAGTACGGCTGAGGCGAGCTGGGTTACCGCCCTGTGTGCCGGGAATGGGTGTGGCGTAATGACGCCCCGGTGACGTCCTGCAGTTGATATGTAGCCTGGCTTGCGTGGTGTTACTTGCGACAAAGTAGTAACGCGCGCTGTAAAAAAGCGCATTCAGCCGGCTCTCCGAAGCGGCTATGAGCCCAGTTGGTCTGCAATACCAAACCGCTGAGCTGCGCCGACGGGCAGCGCCGCCGTTTCGCCCCGTCTCCGCCGGCCGCTAACGCGCCGGCGGCGCGCAGGCGGTGGCTATGCGACTTCACCAACGACTGCGGCGACGACTCGGACGAGGAGAGCGGCATGTGCACCAACCGGTACCGCGAGTGCTCGGAGTCCGAGTTCCGCTGCGACAACGAGAAGTGCATCCCGAGGCGCTGGCGCTGCGACCACGACGACGACTGCGGCGACAACAGCGACGAGGAAGACTGCTCCGGCTTTACTTGCCAGGTGAGAGCTGCCTCGAAGGCTGCGCACTGCGCGGCGATGAGGCTGCTATTCATTCAGTCGTGCTGAGTTTGAGTGTTTGAGAGAGCGTTTGCGGGCGCCTGACGTCCGTATGTGCCGTGTGTTAAATGATGGGTTGTCTCCCTGACGTCCGTATGTGCCGCGTGTTAAAGGATGGGTTGTCTTCCTGATGTCCGTATGTGCCGTGTGTTAAAGGATGGGTTGTCTCACCTCTTCGTCAGGCTTTATAGTTAGCATCGCCACGAGTGCTTTGTGTTCAGCTCGTCTACCTGACGTACACTTCTTCCGGGGTGTAGTCCAGTTGGGCATACAAAAATAAAATTATGCGGTGCTCATGCTTGAATGCATGCATGCGCGCTTGCAGTAAACCCAATGTCGTCGGCCAGATTCGGTCGAAGCTCTGAGAACTGATCGCCGCGCAGCCCGGTCCACGGGAGGCGGTGCCTCCAGCGGCCGAGCTAGCCCCACGGCCGGGCTGCGGCCGGTCCGGCGGCCTGTCGCCGGCCGGCGTTTGACGGCTGTGACCCGGCGCGGCTGCGGTGACGCGGACCCTGCGTCAGCGAGCCGTCACGGCCCGCGGCGCCGGCACCACCGCGGCCGGCGCCGCGGCGGGGCGGCAGTCGCCGGCGCCCGCGCGGCCCGCCGCCGACGCGCCGCCGACGTACGCACCTGAGGGCGTCCCCCTCTCCTGCGACGGGCCGGGGCGGGCGGGAGCGGCCCAGTGCGGGGGCGCCGGCGTCCGTGCGACTGTCGGCGTGGGGCTCGCCATCGCCGTGTGACTGTCGGCGTGGGGCTCGCCATCGGCGCGATGTCGTCAGACGGTCAGCGCCCCGCTCCGTCCGCAGCCGAACCAGTTCCAGTGCGCCTCCGGCCACTGCATCGGCATGAAGTTCAAGTGCGACGGCGGCAAGGACTGCCACGACCTGTCGGACGAGACCGACTGTCCGCCGCGCTTCCCCGGCGGGCGCTGGTGCCCCGAGGACCAGTTCCAGTGCGCCAACCACCTGTGCGTCAGCAAACGGGACGTGTGCGACGGGAGCGACGACTGCTTCGACGCCAGCGACGAGCAGGACTGCCGTGAGTCACGCTTGTCCGCGATGGAGCTGGACAGGTGTCGCTCGCCGAGATTGGCCGGAATTAGGGCTGGACAGAGAGGGCTTGGTGAAGGCGACGCACGAGTGGTACTGCCCGGTGTGTGCGACGAGTGCTGGCATTGGATGTGCTTGACGGGATTTGGGGTTGTTAGGTTGCGCTGAAGACGCTGATAAGCATGCTGCCAAACTGCCAACATCTTACCTAATACGAGCAGTCAGTCCTAACGTAAAGAAGGGCTCAACTGAACTTATATTCCGAAAAAAGCATGTGACAAACTGAAGTAAATGTTGAAGGTAGTAATGTGTTTCTGTGCTTGCGTTCGTATGAATGGACCGGATGGACTCGCCTGGTGTACTACATGTGCGAATGCTCCGGTGCCTCGTAAGGCGGATCATTCTCACGCAAGCACAAGCATTCGTTGGTGTTTGACCGTCGCCCTCGTGCCCACGTGTGCAGAGAGCCACGACTGTGAAGGCCTTCACCGATTCCGCTGCGGTAACGGCAAGTGCGTGCCGCGTTACCAGCTGTGCGACCGGACCGACAACTGCGGCGACGGCTCCGACGAGAACGACCTGACCATCTGCTCCGACCGGTTAGTGTCCGGGGGTGGACGAGGCCTCTTCGGGGACCGCCGAGACGACCGGTTAGTGTCCGGGGGTGGGCGGGGCCGGTCCGGGGGCCGCCAAGACGACCTGTTAGTGTCCGGAGGTGGGCTGGGCCGGTCTGGGGGTCGCCGAGACGACCGGTTAGTGTCCGGAGGTGGGCTGGGGTGGTCTGGGGGTCACCGAGACGACCGGTTAGTGTCCGGGGGCGGGCGGGGTTGGTCCGGGGGCTGCAGAGACGACCGGTTAGTGTACGGAGGTGGACGAGGCCGGTCTGAGGCCGTCGAGACGACCGGTTAGTGTCCGGGGTCGGCACCGAAGGCAGCTAGTGTTGAGAGGCTTTTTTGGGTGTGTTTGCGATTGTTAGAGTGATTACGTGGTTAACATGCACACTGCTAATCTGATTAATCGTAAGTTTGTGTGCACCGTTACCAAACATATTTCAAATGGCCGTATACTTCAAATGCGATACACCTTCCGTCCATCTCTTATTTTCGCTCTACACTGGATGACTGGCATCCATAAGCTACGCGCCAGAGTACCCGGGGCTGCTCGGTATGGCGTCGGTCTCGGCCACCTGTGGTCTGGCCAATCTCAAGTCAGTGACGTGCTCGCGCCGCCCCGCCAGACACCGCTACTGTCGCTACGGAGAGTTCCGCTGCGCCAACAGCCACTGCGTGGCCCAAAGCAAGCTGTGTGACCACGCCGACGACTGCGGCGACCACTCGGATGAGCTCGGATGCCGTGAGTGCCCCGTGCCGATACTGGGCTCCGCGCCGGTCCGTCCGGTCCGCTCCGTGCCCTCGAGTGGAGCGCTAGATGGGTCGCAGCGAAGGACCTCGTCATATCTGGACGTTCGAGACTGTGTGCAAGCTCGGCTTGCCTTACGATGGGACTGGTCCTGACGGAGGATTCTGCTGCGAGAAATGGGTGTTATATAAGGGTGTAACAAACGCCTAAACTCCTAATCAACCATCTTGACCCGCCTTGAGACAACGTGCGCATGAAATCGGAGGTGCAACTCACTTGGACCTCGTTTCTTGAATGAACATTTCCACTGTCCAGCGGCACGCCGATTGGTGGAGCCTGGCCGTTAGGCTACGCATACGCTCGTGGTTGCGAAGCGGGGACGGAAACCTATGTTGATTGACTGTCGGCGCCGTGGTGCTGAACTGTTCTGACGGAGTGCCGGCGCCGTGGTGCTGACCTGTGCTGACGGAGTGCCAGTGCCGGAGTGCTGACCTGTGCTGGCGAAGTGCCGGCGCCGTGGTGCTGACCTGTGCTGACGGGGTGCCGGCGCCGTGGCGCTGACCTGTGCTAACGGGGTGCCGGCGCCGGAGTGCTGACGGAGTGCCGGCGCCGGAGTGCTGACCTGTGCTGACTGCATGATTGCCGACCTGTGCTGACCTGTGCTGACGGAGTGCCGGCGCCGTAGTGCTGACCTGTGCTGACTGGCTGATTACCGCCCTGTGCTGACCTGTGCTGACGGAGTGCCGGCGCCGTAGTGCTGACCTGTGCTGGCGGAGTGCCGGCGCCGTAGTGCTGACCTGTGCTGACTGGATGATTGCCGTCTCCTGTGCTGACGGGCTGCCGATGCGCCACAGACGCCGGCCCCGGCCAGGAGACCGCTCAGTGCGGCACCAACCGCGGCGGCTGCAGCCAGCACTGCACCGACATTGCCGAGGGCACCGGCTACGTCTGCCACTGCTACCGCGGCTTCCGCGCCGCCACCGACAACCCCAAACTCTGCGAGGACATTGACGAGTGCCGCGAGTTCACGCACAACTGCTCCCAGCTGTGCACCAACCTGAACGGCACGTTCTCGTGCAACTGTCGCCAGGGATTCCAGAGCGTGAGTGCCCGAGGTAGGGCGGTGACGGGACCGCGCTGCCGCGGTCCTTACCGCGGCGAGGCGACGTCCAAAGGCGAGCAGCCGCTGTTGGGCTGGAATTATAAAGCTTGGCTCGGCTACAGCTTGTGATAGCTGAGTGGTCGCACAACCACCCTGTCGCTGGCGTGCCGTTTGCTTGTTAACTGTTACTCGTCTCAAAGTGACCGCGTTTCTTACGACCGTCGCGTATTACCTCGTCTGAGAGCGCCGTCACCAAGCCGCCTTCGCGTCGGCCGCGTCGCGTACGATCCGTGACGCGGTGCCCTGTGACACCAGGATGGTCTGACGGGAGTGTGCCGCGCCTTCGCTGCCATCACCCTGCTCTACTCCACCGGCCCGGAGATCCGCGGCTTTGAGCCGGCCGAGAGTCGCTCCCTGGATGTGATCCGAGGAGAGTCGCGAGTCGAGGCTGTCGACTATCATCCCAGGTGGGTACCGCTGGTGGCTTGCCGAGTCGGGTCCCGGTGTCTCGTTGAGTCAGCTCCTGGTGTTGTGCTGGGTCGGACCTCCTGGTGCCCGCTGTTCTAGCTCCCGGTGTACCCCTGTGCCTGCTCCTGGTATCCGGCTGAGTCAGTTCCTGGTATCGGGCGAGTCAGCCCCTGATACCTATTGAGTCGAGTTCTCGCGATCTCCTTTGAGGGAAATAGGTTTCCTTGTTCCCCGGTAGCAGATTTCCTTTCCGGTGTCATTCGGTGAGACTTCCCGGCGTGCTGAAGAGCTTAATCGTTCTGACGGTTCTGTTCGAAAAGAAACTTGTATGTGGATTTTTATTTCCATCCATGCTTGGCTTGGAAGATTGTGTTCACTCGACTAAATTTTTGTTTTTATGATCAAAATATGTGCTCTAAAACCCTTCCATCATCAGTAAATGTGCTATGTTCTGAAAAATTGTTTTGGAAGGGTTTCGAGCGCCTTTACATGGTGAGATGCTCTAAGACTTGCTCATGCTGACGTCCTCTGAGAATAATTTATTTGACAGCAAACACATGGTGTTCTGGACGGACTCGTTCGAGAAGGCCATCAAGCGCTCCTACATCCCCGGCGACAAGGCTGATGCCAAAATCGGCTTTGCTCAAGATCTACAAATCAAGAGTAAGTGATGGGCTTATGGTTTGCAGTTCGCATGGTCCTACTCCAGCGTACCGTTCTAATGCCTTCATGTCATCATGGTTGCATCTGGATTTGTACACTAACGCATAAACATAATTACATCTGTTCGCCTGCCCTGCTGGCTGGTGACGATGTTACTCCTGTCAAATGCTCTGAATGTGTACGGTGCTGCGCGTGCTCAGACAATACTCTCCATGTTCCGGTAACCAACCGAAGCCCGCCTTCCCACTGCGAACAGCCTGGGGCAGTGAGTACTCTTTGGGGCCCACTTTAATTGTGCACAGAGTGTTGCACGTGTGGCGGCCGTGTCCTCTAGAGCCACCGCTGCTTTCGCCAAAGTCACGAGTCTCTTCGTACCGTCCTACTCCGCTTGTTACCTCCATCGTGCATAGATGGACAGCGCATCCTTTGAAGCTTGAACGGCCCCGAGCCTCGCTGTGGAAGCACATCACTGCGACATGCAAAATGCACGTATTTCTTGCGAAATCCAACCGCACCCCTCGTGGTAGGAATTCGCCCGTTTGTTGTGTGTTGTGCCGGAATGTCATGAGGTAGTAGACCAGGTGCATGACATTGTATGCACGGCCACACAGCGCGTTTTCTCATGCCATTGTACGTTGAACGTTTTTAACGGCACACTCCTGACGTCATGACGTGAAACAGGCCGTCCCTGCGGATGCCTCTGACCGTGTCACCGGCTCTGATCACGTGCCTCCTCTGCGCTGCCGCGGCGATGCTGACCAGCACGGCCCGATGAGTGGCGAGCGGGCGCCCTGCTTCGCCGGCGCCGTCCGCTCTCGGCGCCGTCCGCTGTCTCTGTCCTAACGCCGTCCCGCGCCGGCCAGGCAACGCCAAGCCATCGGGCATCGCGGTGGACTGGATCGCCAACAACCTGTACTGGACCCAGGTGGACCGGTCGGGCAACAAGCCGCGCGGCGCCGTCGTCGCGGCCACCACCGACGGGCGCTACAAGCGCTCGCTCATTGCCACCGGTAAGGGCGCGCCGCCGGAAGTGTCAGGCCGATGCTGGAACTGGCAGCGGTGCCCCCCCCCCCCCCTGCACTGTTGAGCCGGCACTGGGGCTCCCTTACGCTGCCGAGTCGCCCTCATTCCCGTTCCCATGCCTCCGTCTCCGCCGCCTCCCTCCCCTCCACCTTTCTGTCTCTCCCGCCTCCCTCCTCTCCTCCCCGCTCTCTCCTCCCTTTCCACCTCATTCTTCTTATCCTGTGTCCCTCTCCCCGCCTCCCTCTTCCCCTCCTTCCTCTTCGCCTGTCTCTCCCCCTCTCCTCTCTCCCCGCCTCCCCCTCCCCACCCCCTGTTCCCCGCCGTCTTCTCCCCCTCTTCCCTTCCCCTCTCCCCATTCCCCGCCTTCCTTGAGCCCCGCCTGCCCGCTGGACTGGCTGCTCCAGCTTGATAGGTGGGGTGATAATTTGGGGACTGGAAATTATTGGAGGCGTGTTGTCGATAACCGATGGGTTAGACGATAAAGCCACCTGATAATATCACGATCCAAATGGCTTTTACCCCAGGGGAGGATATAAGGATTTCCCCTACGCTCGGTGCCTATTTGTGACGCACTTGTGTCCCTGCCTGTCATCTGTAGCCCTCAGGTTAGCGCACGCTGAATCTGCTGTTGTAAGCCGCAGTTGGCGATCCAGCTGTGGTCGCAGTTCCGCGCGAGGCGCCTCCCCCGCTGGACTCACGGCATGGCCGAAGCTGGGTCGCGCCTGCCGTCATTGAGCCCCCCCCCCCCCCCCTCCTTTTCCTGCCGCCAGGTCTGGAAGAGCCAGTCTCGGTGGCCGTCGACCCGGAGCACGGCATCATGTTCTGGACGGACGTCGGCAGCATTCCCAAGATCGAGTCGTCCTGGATGGACGGCAGCAAGCGCCGGCTGCTCGTCAGTGACAAGGTAAGCGCGCCGCCGGCCCGGACCGGACCGCGGCGGGCGCCGCCGGCGAGACACTCACCTACGTCAGACTGGAATGCCTGCATTGACGCTACTCAAGCGACCTGACCCTTCTCCCAAATGAAGTACACTTGTTTAAGTTGCTTAATGTGAAAGGGATATGTAATAGCCGAGACTAAAATGATGGCGTAATAAAAGCTCACTAAATAAAATAGAAGCTCACTTAATAAAATAAAAGCTCACTTAAATGGTGAGCTTCGGTCTGCCACGCCGAAGCGCAGTGTGGTGGAATAATTGTACCGCTAGTAGTGGTGGAATACGTGTACCGTTAGTGGACGTCGATGTGCGTTCGGCGGGTTGTGAGATGGCGTCCCTCCACACCGGGCCCGTGTCGCGCGCGCAGGTGGAGCACCCGACCGGCCTGACCATCGACTTCGCCATGGGGCACACGGTCTACTGGGCGGACACCAAGCTGAACATGGTGGAGGCGATGCGGGAGGACGGCTCGCGGCGTCGCACCATCATCTCGGGCGACAGCCTGCAGCACCCGTTCTCGCTGGACGTCTTCGAGAGCTCGGTTAGTGCAGCCCGGCCCGGCTCGGCGAGCGCTAACATTGCTCAGGCGGCGGGCGCGGTTGATGGCTACAATCGTGGCTCTGTGATCAGTGCCAGTAATGGGGTGGAATGTGACATCGTTTCAGTGATGGGGAGATAAGTGATTGTGGTCTTTGGTAGTCTAATCGATAGCAAGTTGTCATTTAACATCGGCTGCTTTGGCATGTCTGCTTTAGTTTCTTCACATCACATCGAAACTGGCAACGGACAACTTTAATTCATAACATCATGCTACGGATGCCGGACGTATCCGTTCAGCTGGCAGAGTTATGCGCACAACCAGCAAAGATATGCGTCGCGCTACAGCGCCTGGCGTGACGCAGATCTGCTCATTGGCCTGCACGCAGCAGGGTCTCCGCCATCGGGGCGTGCGTGGCGCTCAGGCCGCTGTGTGACCGACCGTGTCTCCGTCAGATGTATCAGACCTGACCTGACCGTGTGCCCCGCAGGTGTACTGGGTAACCCGGGACTCGGGCGACATCTTCAGCCAGGACAAGTTCGGCCGCGGCGTGCCCGTGAAGGTCAAGGGGGATCTGGCCAACCCGACCAGCATCCGGGTGCTGCAGCCATACCGATACAACACGACTGTGGTCAGTGTGGACCGCTGGCCGGTCATGACCGCGGCTCTGCCGGGCGAGGCAGCGCTTGTGCCGACGTGGGCAGGTGTCAGATCGTTTCCAGATCAGTGACGCCACGGCTTTTGCACCTCGAAAACCACGCTCGTAGTCGGATGCCTGTGTTGACCGCCTCTGTCCGTTTGTGGTGCACGCTATGCCATACATCCTCGGAGCAGTTTGTAAGCTGGCTACGCATGTGTGCGCATCGTGCCTTCCTGCAGAACACCGATGCGTTCTGAAACCGACGCTGGGACGTCGAGCCTGGCAGTAGATGAGCTGCCGACCAGATGTGTGTGCCACTCGACGCTGCCCGTTGTGCCGGGCTCTGCCTCGAGTCCGACGGCGGTGGACGGTCCGAGCTGACAAACTTGGTGTGCCCTGCGCAGGAGAACCGGTGCTTCCAGAGCCCGTGTTCCCACCTGTGTCTGCTGATCCCGGGCGGCTACCGCTGCTACTGCCCGGACAACACCCAGCTTAGGGACAGCTCCGGCCGCAACTGCAACGCCGGTCAGTGCTCGCTGGCCGTCCACTGGCGCCGTCCGACTACGCCGCCGGGCCGCAGCGCCGCGCCGCTGGGACACAGCGCCGCGCCGCTGGGACACAGCGTCGCGCCACTGGGACACAGCGCCGCGCCTCTGGGACACAGCGCCGCGCCTCTGGGACGCAGCGCCGCGCCGCTGGGACACAGCGCCGCGCCTCTGGGACACAGCGCCGCGCTTCTGGGACGCAGCGCCACGCCGCTGGGACGCAGCGCAGCGCCGCTGGGACACAGCGTGGCGCCGCCGGGACGCAGCACCGTACTGCGGGAGGCGCGCTCGCTTTCTCGGCGGGCTCTGTCGGTGTTTGCGTAACAGGGCGCGGCGCGAGAACATACGTGGTGAAATGACGGTGACTTTACGATTGCTCTGTTGCTGGTAATGCCTCCATGTTCACATGCTTAATCCACGCTTAATCCACGTCTTATTTTCTCGTAAACGGACGCGCTTACGCACACAGGCGATGACGCGACTACCCCGGAGTGTAAGGCGTTGACTGAGGTGTCTGCGTTCGTGCGCGGACTGATGAATGCACGCACGTGTGCCAGGTGTATACAGCGTGTCTCAGCTCCGTGTCTGTGTGCCTGGTCTGCCCGCCCCTGCGTGGTCTGAAGGCCGTGGTCCCGTCTGTGCGCAGCTCTGGAGGCGGAGCGGCCGCGGCCGCTGGTCTGCCGCTGCCAGAACGGCGGCGTCTGCGTCGTGCCCGACGGCTCGTTCGATGAGCCGAGCTGCGAGTGCGTCGACCAGTACAGCGGGCCCCAGTGCGACACCTTCGTGGCCAGGAAGCGCGTGCAGAAGGCCGGAGGGGTGAGCCGATCCGTCGCCGACCGCTGGCGGCTGAGCCACCCTGCTCGCCAGTGGATGTCCCTTCAGCGACAGCCTTTTCGTGAGGCGATGCCTTCTCTGCGCCGTTCACCGTTGCGCTCAACCCAAATCGGTGCAGCTCTCTATGATCCGGTCTGGTGGCTGTGGCAGCCATGAGTTATGATCTCACACTGCTGTGAAGCATATTTGTCAATGCGCGCTCAGTTTCCTCGCGGCACACGACGGGAGCAGGCACGAGTGCTGATGGGCGCGTGTTTCAGACGAACCCCGCCGCCATCATCATCCCGGTGCTGCTTATCCTGCTGCTGGTCGGAGCTGTCGCCGGCTATATGTTTGTCAAGCGACGCGGAGGGTGAGTGGCTTTGACCGCCTAATGGCCGAGGCGTGGCTCATTGTCTTGGTCTATCAGTCTATGAGACGTGTGCCTTTGTGAGTACCCGGGTGATGCCGGCATTGTATTGACAGCAGCAGCCGTGGCATTACCGTCATAACGCGCTTGGAAATGAGGCGGGAGCTATCGGATCTCGGCCTTTGCTTCATGCTGTTGGCTATGAGCATCTCTCAGGTTGTGTTCTGTATCGGTGCTTATGTCTTGCGCTGCTTATTCTGTCAAAAGTACGAAAATGCGTGAACTGGCTCCGGCAGGCGCCCGTGTATGTCGCGTGAGGGTCCTTCTCAGGCCACGTACTCAGATCATATCGGAGGCTTCGGACCAGCTGAAACTTAACAATACCCGCGCCGAAGTCTCATCACTGGACCGAGACCACGGCCCCAGACCGGAATCTGCCCAAGCGTCGAGATCACCGTCCTGGACGAGGTCATGATCCGGGCGCCGTGATCCCTTGCCGACGTCGTGATCCGGGACTGAACTCTGGCCGTGGGGTGGAGGCGAGGCGCCAGGTGGTGGGCTGTGCGGCCGCTGCCACCTGCAGCGCCCGCCGGCTCACCGGGCGCCGGTCCGCCGCCGAGGCCCAGGCCTGTCCGCGAGGCTGCCGCGCGGCCGTGCGTCGCTTACAGCCGCCGCCCGTTTGTTGCAGGGTGAAGACGGTGACCGGCGGCCTGCCCGGCTCCACCAGCGTGTCGTTCCGGCCGGGCACCAACGTCGAATTCGGCGCCAATGGCGGCGGCGGCGCGGCCGAGGCGGTGCGTACCGGCGGCGCGCGGCTCGTGGGTGCCGGTGGCTCGCCACCCCTTCCCCTCCCCCCGCTCGTCAGCGACACGTGTCCGTTAAGCCGTCGGCCGTTCTCGCGGCCTATACGGAGCCCGCCCCGCACTATCACAGCGAATCCTGCTATTTGGATGCAACAGGGCGTATAGCGCGTGGGTATGTGCGCATATCTCTGGTAGCTTGATAAGTAAATCCCCTTGGAGTGATTGTTGTCATGGTTGGTCGCTGATGGCAATATGACGCTTGAGTGACGGCTGACGATCCTACCCTCGCGCAGCCCATGGATGCCGGCATTGATCTGGTCGGCGTCGACAGCAAGACGAGAAACTTCAGCAATCCCATGTACGACACGATGGGCAACATAGAGGCCCACGCCGATCAGGCGGCGTCAGCAGGTAATATCTTCGATGCACTGCTTCACCAACAGACTCGGTGGCAGGCGCGCGGCCCATTCCGCGTACGTGCCATTTGTTATGAACTTGTTTTGAGCCGATCGGTAAATAATGTCATGGTTCGAGTCAGGTCAGCAGAAAGGCAGCCTTCGTGTGCACGGGGCTTTTTAAAAGATGACTCCATCTCCAGCAATGACGCAAGCGGAGGACAGGGGCAGGACGAGGACACGTGCTCCTCCCCTTAGGTTCCGAGGTGCCCTTCGCTTCTCCCGGGACCTGCGATTAAGGGCTCGATTTTAGGGGCCCGAACGGCCCGAAAGGCCGGCCGGAGGTCGTGCTCAGGGGCCACGGTCCACAAGGGCGGGCGCTCTAATGCTAGCCAGAGGGCCGCGCGCGATGATCAGGGGCCTCCTGATCCGATACCGGCTCATGTGTCGGTAAGACACCTTCAGTAACACTTCGTCGGCTCCGCGTCGGTATAAGCCTTAGGGGCTCATTGTCCAAGCAGGGTTAAAGCTGGAGCCAGAGATTTACACTGGTCGGAGCCCCAACGTCTGTCAGGGCCCCACACCGCCTAACGGGGGCCCTCCGTTAGCAAGAGGCCCCGAGTCGGCCATGTGCAGTGTTCGAGGGTACTCGAAGAGCGTGGAGAGCCCGCCAGGACCTGCGCTCAAGGGCCCGACTGGAGGGCTTAGGGCACAAAGGGCTGGTCAGGGTCCTATTCAGAGACCCCGGTGGAAAAAAGCAGTCAGAGAGCTCCTTGCACCGATTGGGGGCCCCTGAGTCGAGGTCGATATGGGCTTATATGTCAGCCAGGCACCATCAGCACCGCACAGTCGGTTTCGTGTCGGTACGAGCTTGAGGACCCACTTCCCAACCACGTACATAGCCGGGGCCATCGATTTACACTGGTCAGGCCCCTGTACCTGTCAGGGGCCCTCTGTGCCTGACAGACGGTCCTGTGTTCGCAAGGAGCCCCGAGCCGACCAAGGGCAGCGTTCGATGAGCCCCGGAGAGGTTCCCGGGCGGCCCACCGATAGCGACGATCGAGGGCCCGGTTGGGAGGGTATAAGGGCCCGAAGGACTGACTGTAGTTCGCATAAAGAATCGCGGCCCGTAGGGTCGTGGCATGAAATATCAGTTAGAACTTTTCCAGCACCGTTGAAGGCATCCCTGAGACAATGCGGGTGTCTTAAACGGCTTAAACGGCTTGTCTTAAACGGCTGGAGACCACCAGCGTCGAACAGTTGGCTACCGAGGGTGGGGTTGGGGGTGGGGGCATTTCCCCAGCAGGAACAAGACCTGAGGCTACGATTTGCATTGGTCTGGGCCCTTGATACAGTGGTTGGGCCCCTGTGTCGATAACGAGCCTGCAGCGCCTAATGGGGAGTCCTGTGCCGGCAAGTAGCCCCAGGCGGCCAGTAGCTGTACTGGCAAGGATCCGAAGAGGGGCCCGAAGGGCCCCTCGGGACCATAGGTCAAGAGCCCGATGGGACTCGGACCCGGCTGCTCATCCGTGGTGCCGATACCTAAGATATCAAAAGGAGGCTTCTATTAAGGACCTCATAAGAAGGATCTCTATCCCTTTTATATAGGGCCTCGACACGGAGTCAAGCAGTCGACTTCATGTCCGTTTGAGCCCTTGGACATATTTTACAAGCTGGAACAAGGCCGAGTCCGAGATTTGCAATGATCAGGGTTCCTGACATAGTGTGTGGCTCCTGTGTCGGTCAGGAGCCACAGTGCCTATCAGGGTTCGGTGGCGTAACTGGCCCTGAATTGGCCAGGAGCGGTGTTTGAGAGGGCCTGATGAGGGTCCGAAGGGTCTTTCAAGACCAAATTTCAACGGCCCGATTGGAGGGCTGAAGAACAAGAAGGGCTGGCTGTAGGCCATTCTACGAAGAAGCGTATGAAACGCATGAGAAAGAAGCATTATTTCTTCAGTTGTTGACTGAACAATTCAGGCATAATTGATCTCGCGGTAGCCTCCCGCTTCCATTTCATTTATGGAAGATAAGACAAAGGAAAAGAAAAGCAAAACATGCTCTCGTTGACAAATATATCGTTCCGATGATTTCGTCGTGTTGGGGGCCCTTTATCAACGCTGCGTGCTCCGTTGCCAAGGCTCTGGCTGTGACCCTGATCTCCAGTGACCATCCCCAGTGACTAAACGACGGTCTGTGCGTGCCACCACATGAGCTATGAAGGGTTAATACAAAATGGCGGCTACTCAGAGTCATTCTGCCACCACCTGGCGCGGATCTGCCTAGCAGAGGTCCCCGTTTCTATGCATTGTCTGCTCCCATTCACACACAACGCAACGGTGTCCTGTTCCCACTCAATCGCTGGGTGCTACTGCTGGGCGCTGATCCAAACCCACGCGGCGTAACTCTCCGTCGTACCAGCGCTGCGAGCTTGAAAACTTGACGTCGATGCCTGCAAGCAGACGCCAGTTTCACCGTTCAGTACCATTGGGTGTTGACCCATCGTGACGGCCGTGTATGACCTGCGCTGTCGCCGCCAGGCGTGTACGAGGTACCGACGGAGATGAAACCGGACGCGGCCGTGCTCGCGCCCTCGAGCGTCGTCCACCAGTCGGCCGCCGTTCCGATGGCGCGCACCCGCGAGACCAAGCCGGCCACCTTTGACTCCGGCAAAGATACTCAGCAGCTAGTGGAGGACGACGAGTACGACTGCTAGTGACATCTCCCGACGGGGCGCTGAACTTGAGCTGGTGCTGCGCGCCGACAGGCGAACGGACTGTGAGCTCGCCTGTTCGGTGGAGAGCGTGCGACGCGGCAGGCGGGGCGCGCGCCGCGGCCATTCCTGCCGCCCCAGCACGGCGCCCGCCAAGGTCAAGGTTGAACCCGGACTGCGGCGGGCACTGCGGGCCATGACTGGGGCGGAGCTGACCCCGTCGGCGCCCGCTCGTTGGCCCAGTGCAGACTGGGGGCGATAGTTTGCCAGATGGCGAAGATAGTTTGCCAGATTGCGAATCCCGCCAATGGCCTTATCCACGCACTGTTATTGGCGCCCTTGGCCGCGGCGTGGTCGGCCAAGAGACAATGAGCTGCCAACTGTTTTGCACGAAGGTTGGTACGATGTCGTAATTCCGCCGCAGGCACCTTATGTTGAGGTGGACTAAATAGGTCACCAGTGCGATGGCACCACTGCGATCCTGGAACACTTCTTACGTCTCGAGGGCAGCCTGGGCGGCTCCACGTTTCTGCGTTGTTGACATCTGCATTGCTTTCGATCTCATCAACGCATTCTTGTGTTTGTACGACTTTTTTAACATGAATGATGGCTGTACAGTTTTGGTCTTTGTACAGTGGTGGCTGCCTCATTTTAACCGCCTAAGACGTCAACTTTGCTGCTGCTCTGAAAGAAGAACCTGGGCCGGCTGGGCGCTTTTCCCCAGCTGCGCCTGCGTCACATTGAGGCGGCTAGCGCGCGTGGGAACAAAGCAATGCCGGAACCGTGGCCGACGCCGGCCAAGAGTGTGGTGAACAGAACCGGTGATGACTCCGTCCACTCCCGACGACAGCAGGTCGTAGGAGCTGCGATGAATCCGTCCACTGTTGCGGGCACGTCCGATACATTTCCAAGGACTTGCTGGCGCCTGCGTTGCAGCGTCTGGGTGTCGTGCGAGGGTCTATGTTCACCAGGTACACAGATAATATAATGAGTTGTTTTCATTGGCTAAAACGTGTTGGCTCCAATACAAGTGGTGATGTCGAACGCAGGGGGTGGTTGAATAGCGTGTGTATGTGCCTGCTCGCAGCTGCTCCGTCCCAGCCGATCCGATCGTTTTACATCACCGGCAGCCGATACGCGAAAGTTGGGTGTGGTTCAGTGACATAGGCCGATTGTACTTGGGACAACTCACGGCCACTTGGCACTATGGACACATTGGTTTATCGAAGTTGATGAGGAGTGAATGGAATCCTGCTGCATAGCGTGTATTGATGCTTTTTAAATGAGAAACACAATATAGACATTGAATACGATGCTAGCTTTCACTGCTTCGCTTTGACATAGCGAGCGCCCTGTCAGTCTCATTTGTCATGAAGATCTGAACGAACCGCCACTGGTGTGATCACGTGATCTGGGCACGAGAATGAATCTTTGTCAGATGACCAGAGTTCAGCACGCGTCTAAAAGGACGCATGGCAGGATTCCGAAGTTTATTAAATTGGTGAGTTCCTCCCGATGTCGGCAACGAGTGACCTTCCGCGTCTGCTTGTGCAAGTGAATACTGATCACGCGGTCGCGGGATTCGTCGCAGTGGAATGGCTGGCGAAGACAGGGCGCGGATCTCCGCTGACCTCTGACTTCTGCGTGGCCGGGTCATCTGGCGCTGGGAGCAGCGGCAGTTCCCGGCCACTCGGCCGCGCCTGCCGCTGCCTGTCCTGCCCAGACTGGCCAGCTGCTCCGACCGCACCCCTTCCGTCAGTGACTGCATCTAGCTGAGACCTCTCAGTTCTCATCTGACCCGAAGGACGCGCTTGCGCATGCGCGTGTTTCTTAATTCCACTCGCGGTACCTTCGATTGAATTCTTCCCGCGGTACCTTCCCAGCCGCTCGCACCTTTTCGAACGAATGTTTATTTTCGGAGAAACACAGAGTACATCGATAGGGGAAACAAGGAAGGCACTTGACTAATGAGACGCACAGATAACGGCTAAGCACATCCAGCGTTGGTCTCCTAGGGACGGCCGGGTACGATGATGGGGCAGAGCGACGCGCGGTCGAGCCCGTCCGACGCGACGCCGCCCCGACCCCGTCCTCGCTGACGGCGCCCCGAGGAGGGCGACCGGGGCGGCGGCGGCCGGCGCGGGGCGCCGCCGCGCGCCGCCGCCCGACAGCCACTACTCGAGACAGCCTACAGCGGTCCACGGCGACCCTACGACGGCCGACGACGACCAGTGAGCATGGACGGGATGAAGATGAGACAGTTCCCAGACGAGCTAACCTATACGACACGGGTGGTCATGCGGTGAGTGAGCTATACTGGGCGGCGCAAGCGGGGCCCGGCCGAAAGCCGGCCGGCCTCGCGCCGGCTCGACGCGGCGCGGACGGGCCGGCCGGCAGACAACACGCGCCGCGGCTCCATACGACAGGGCCCCACGACACGCCACCTAATGGGAAACGTGGTCCAACAACCGGCTACGGCGCCGCAGCTGTCCAGCGGGCCGGACGCCTCCCGGGCCGTGCAGCTCGGGGCGATGCCAACGCGCCGAGGACGCGCTTCCCGCAAAGGGGGTCAGTCATGCTGATCTCTGGTGGCGTTGGCGCCAGTCGCCACCAGCAGTTTGGCGATCCCGGGACAAGGGGCACTCAAATGACGAACGATGCCCACGTGCGCGCGGTATGTGCGTGCTGCACAAAGTGGCGCAGTTTCAAAGGGATCCAAGCTCGCTTCCAACTTCCAAGTCTGCAGATTCCTATGAATGCAGCAATATAGGGTGTGAGATGTGGGTTGAGTGAGTGACTTAGTGGGTACGCTCACATGATACGATATCCGTCCACTTGACCCCTGCTACGACGCACATCTGCATCCTTATTGCAAGCTTGAAGCTACGTAATTTTCGACGGGCAAAGCCAGCAGCGGAGGCGCCCTTCACGCATCACACACACCATCGTCTATAATTCATTATCTGAAGCGAACAACATTAGAAGCTCGGCATTCGCTAACAAGAGCGAGCTGACTCAAGAAGGCTACACACCGCGGGAAAATAAACTGCTCCACTGTCAACAATAGCACAACACTACTGGACTGCAGTTGAAAGCTCATGGTCCCCTAATCGACTACATCTCGCAGAGAAGGAGATTTACCATCTGCGCCACTCAGCCTTACCATTCCTACCTGAACCGCGCGTGCCTAATTTACCATCAGCGTTCCCGCTGAGCGCGGCGACTTTGTACGAGACCGCGCGCGCGTGCATCGGCCCGGGCGTTTAACGCCGGGGCTCGCTGCCCCTGAGCCCCCGCGGCGCGGCCCCACCACGGATGAGCAAAGATCACAGACACAGAAAACTGGGCGCTACGCATTCGGCACGCCAAGGGGTCATGCAAGAGGCCTGCCAGTCAACACTCACGTGCATCAGGCCACTCGGGGAGGGGGGGGGGGGGGGCGGGGGAGGTGTACACTGGGAGCACACTATTCCGATATCCGAATCACGTCTCAGGCACGCCCTCTCCACAAAACAAAGCTCTGCAGTCTCACTGAAGGTCCATGGAGCCAAGGTATAGTTCTGCCAGCGCTGCCATTGCTGTAACATGCCTTCCCAGGGTGGCGCTGGCACACCGGCCCCCGGCTGCAAGCCGGTGTAAACCCTAGCCACGTACGTCGCGCGACTAAAGGGGCCGCCCCTGCCACGTACGCCTACCGCGAAGCGGCACTGCCGGCCGCACCGGCGGGAGCGGGGCGCAATGCGTCGAAACTCGGCATGCGCCGCACGCCTTTGACCTGGTCTACCTGTGGGAAGAACGGGCGACGCGGGAGAGAACTCCAGTCCCCCGGTCGTGAGACATCCCCGCTGCTCACTGGTGGGGGTGGAGGGAGGGGGGCTTTCCACGAGCTCAGTCGGGCCCACCTGACCACTGCATGGGTCAACCATGACGCAAAATCGCCAGCGACCGGACAAGCACAAGCCATTCCGTGCAGCACCAACAACAACGCGGAGCATAACGCATAAATAAACAGAAGAGACGGTCTCTACGACTTTATTGGAAAATATGCCAAAACGAATGAGAACAATTAATCATAAAATTGACAACGAATACTAATAAAACATGCGGCAGAAACAACAACTAGAAGGGCAGGGCCGATGGACCCATAAAAAGAGAAGCACAACCACGGCTCTGGTGAGTGTCCACCCGCACATGTGACCTTTCAATGATAACGATCTGATGCGTGAGATGCTATTAATTAAAGCTGCTCAAGCCATTCTAAACAAGCAATAAATAATCGATAAAATAAACTAACCAAAAACGTGACAATTTCACGGCATTAAAAGCCTGCACTCCAGCTAATCGCTTCCATGACCCACCCGCGCCGACTGGAAAGGCGGCGGCGGCGGCGGCGGCGGCGGCGGCGGCGGGGCACGCGCCGCCTCTCCGACGCGGCTCGTCGCCCTCTGTCACCCGTAACAGGCGTCGCTCGACGCTCCGCCGGTTCACCGCCGGAGGGCGCGCGGACCGCCACGCCTTCCCCGTTTGACACATGGCGTGCTGCCACAGCCGCGCAGGGCTGCCGCATTGCATGGTGGGCACTGCACACGAGAGGGGCGCGCCCGGCGCGGAGCTCGCGCCGGGGCGGAGCTCGCGGCGGCGCGCCCGCCCACCGCCAACAGACAACAGGTAAGCTCGCTCGCGTGCGGCGCTCGCAGTGGCGCCCCCTTCACCGGCGGCGGTGTCTCACACAGGGGACACCAATAAATAGTATAAATACGCCGGCGGCGGCGCGCGGCGTCGGTCGGCGGCCGGCGGCCGGCGGCGGTCCGGCGCCGTGGACTCTGGAGTTCGACTCCGGGCCGGCCGCACCGGCGGCTCTACGAGTAGATGGTGATGACCTCCCGGCCGCCGCCCCGCACCATCAGCACCCGGTCCAGGCCTTCCGTCAGCACCTCCAGGAACTCCATGTCTGCACGCGCGACGGTCAAGGAAACGTCCAGAAGTGGCGCGGCACGGACAGCATAGCACGGCACGCTCGCGTAGCAGTGGAGCTTGCCGGGCCAGACGCCACTGGAGTGGCAATGCCATTCAAATGCTGGGTCGAGTTCACACGACGGACGAACGGCAACTGGTCCTAGCCGTGGATGCCACGCTTGAGCGTTCACTATCAAAAGCGTGCGTTACTTCAGCTTTCATATTCCCAGCGCGCGGAATGGATTCAGTAGCTGATGCACTCATAAACCCTCAAACATCATCATAGCTTTCATGTTCCACGCCTGGTCGACATCTCCTGCAAGCAATGATCACAAAGTCAAATCGTGGACAAGTGGCCACCTCATGAACCATCTCCACCAACCCCACTAACTTACCAACCACCTACTGCGGAAACCATACCGCCCAGAGCCATCCGCAGGACACCAACCAAACCCGGTTCGGTCCTGGAAAATCCCAGCCCTCGGCGCGACAAAAGGATACAGTTGGAGTCGTTCTTGGAGCTCTGTATCTTTGGCGGTCCGGGCAGATTGACAATAACCAGCTGGGCGTCGTGTGACTTGCTCACGATCACCTCGTTCAGCTTGACAGCGGTGTGCATCCGACGCACGTTCGCCTTGTCCCTGAAACCAGAGGGAGACGCTGTCACCAGAGCCGCGGCGGCGCGGGGAGACAGTCCTCTCGTGCCTGGGTAACCCCGCCCGCACGCTGAGGGTGGGGCCGCGCGGACGGGTGTGAGAACAGGGGGAGACGGTCCTCTCGTGCCTGGGCAACCCCGCCCGCACGCTGAGGGTGGGGCCGCGCGGATGGACATGAGAGCAGGGGGAGACGGTCCTCTCGTGCCTGGGCAACCCCGCCCGCACGCTGTGAGGACAGGACCCGGCGGACGGATACGAGAACGTCGCAAAGATATTCACACCCATGCGAATCATACGAACACCAGGATAGCCATAGCATGCCAGGGGCTGGTGGCAGTGGTCCACAGAGCCCGGCGGTTCGCAGACTCACGGCTTTATGTCGAGCAGCTTCTTGAAGCCGTCCTTGCCCGCCTCCTTGGCGGCGTCCTTCTCGTCCTTGCGCTGTGGCGACGGAGAGCGCGACGGCACCAGGTCCTCAGCGAGGTCGACCTGGGGCGTCGACCGGTCAGGTCAGGCGAGCGTGGGTCACCACACCGTCAGCGTCCGACAGTGGCCCGTCCGAAGCCAAGTTAGGTCAAGACTGGACGAGCCGCTGCTGAGGCGGCCACGCCGCAACAGCCGCTGCTCGCACCTTCCCATCGCGCTTACTGTTGATGAGCGCACGGCAGCGCCTCAATGCCAACTATCAAACGGACGCATGACAACGATATTTCAAATAAGACATCTGTAACCACGATGACGTCAAGAGATGGAGTCTGGCCACGGTCGCGGCACACACGGCTCGTCACACCATCACACGGTGCATAACGTGCGCGGCGCCGGTGCAGGGCAGCCCCTCGGTGCGCCCGACCGCCGGCGGGCTGCGTCAGACGGTGCCGCTCGGCCGGGGCCGGCCGGTCGGACCGCCGACCCGACCGGCCGCGCTGACCAGTCCACGCCACGTGCGCGGTGCGTCCGCAGGCCGGCCAGCCAGTGGGTGCGGCCCGCACCCGGCCCGGGTGCGGGGTGCCCGAGCGCGGTGGCCGGCCGCGCTGGCCGGCACAGCGTGCCAACGAAACGGCGCGAGCGGCTTACGTGTCGGACATCGGCCGGCTGGTCATGATGGTTGTAGCGTGCAATCGAGAACGACTGAAACTGACCCTAAGCGTCACGGCAGGCCCGAGTCTCGCCCGGCGCGGCACAGACGAACACGGAGCGCGAGCGGAAGCCAGGCCAGTCCCCTGCGGCTCACCCGCCCAGCACAGGTTCGCCGTAATCACGGCGGAAAATATTCCGAGAGCTCTCGAGGCGCGAGGGGCCCTGAGCTCTTCGAGTCTCGCCACAAGCTGGATGATAATGAGCACACGGACAACCTGCCCCGGTCGGCGCCCGCGGATAGCAAAGCTGATCGCGACACATGTGAAAGGACAAACGGCGCCAATCCCAGCCACCTCCAGCCCTCCCGTGACCCTAAGCACACGAGGGACTAAACACTGCACCCGATGCAACCCCTCCTCCCGGCACAGACCCTCCCTTGGAAGCGCTCCGAACCGTGACGGCAGGCGCGCGGCGGCACGTGAACGGGTGGGGCGGAGACGGCGTGCGATGCTGCGGGCCGCCGTACAGCGCGGTGGCCGTGGCAGCTGCGCCACGTACGTCGCAGGGAGGCAGAAGCGCGGCGACGGCGGCGCGGTGAGCGGACAGCCGCGCGGTGTGGACGGCGCTGGGAGCGGGCGGGCTCGGACGGCGGCGCCGGCCAGCCGGGCGAAGCGTGCGCGGGAATGGCTTTTCAGACGGACGAGGCACACTCGGAGCTTTGTTGTGTTCGTCGGGTTACTAAAAGGTCGTGTGGGCGGCTTGCCGGACAGACAAGGACATCTGCATGGACTGAATACTCAAAACGTGAATACATCTCGAAATAAGAAGTAACCATTGACGGAAGGGGCCGAGAGAGAGGCGAATGAAAGGACTGTCGAGCGCGAGTACAGCGCCCTGGAGGTGGGACGGTGAAACGACATGGACATGGGCGGACTTGCCACTGGAAGACCGACTCGGAAGTGGACGGACGAACGGGACTTGGCACGACACCCGCCTGCCCGTGCCCAGGGCAGCCAGAGGCACACGCTCGCACACGAGCACAGACAGCGAGCGAGCGGGCGGGCGGGCGAGCGGTGGAGCACGCGGCACACGGGCCGTCCGGTTCGGACTGTGAGCCTGCCTCGACTGCCAGCGCGTCAATGTCCAGCTGATCCGCCTCCTCCGCGATCCTGTCGCCGGCCGTCAGCGGCGGCATCGGCGGCGGCGGCGGCGTCACCGGCCGCGGCGGCGGCTGCGGAGTCAGCGGCGGCAGCTGCGGCGTCAACGGAGTCAGCGGCGGCTGCGGCGGCTGCGGCGTCAGCGGCGGCAGCCGCGGCGGCAGCGGCGCCGGACTGTTGGGCTGCACGGTGCGCCGCCGGCCGCCGCTCAGCGCCGCGCGCAGGCTAGCCTGCCGGCGCGGCACGGCGTGGCGCGTTAGCTGGCGGCGCGCACGCGGCGAGCTCTCACCGAGATGCCGGGCGGCTCGGCGGCCGCCTCCTCCGGCAGCACGCGCTCCAGGAAGTGCACCTTGGACGAGCGCACCGGTGAGTCGTTCTTGAAGCTCTTGTCGACGATGTCCTGCACCTGGGGACGGCCACATGCGGCCCGTGAAGAGCGAGCGAGGCGGTGCACACGATCGGACGGTGAAGACTCAGAGCCCAGCTGGCGTGAGCGTGCGCGTGATTGACAAAAACAGAAGAGGGGAGGGGAGCCAGAAGAGGGTGAGCAGGCAAGACCTTTGGAGTAAAAAAAAGTGCGTGAGGCAGAGAGCAAATTATCGACAATTAAATAGTTGTGAATGGACAAAATCGGTGGAGTGGGGGAGGGAGGAGAAAGAAGGGGAGGGAGAGGGAGAGGTAGAGGAAGAGGAAGCGGCAGTGGGAGAGGAAAGTGGGAGAGAGAGCGAGAGAGAGAGAGAGAGAGAGAGGAGAGAGAGAGAGAGAGAGAGAGAGAGAGAGAGAGAGGAGAGAGAGGAGAAGAGAGAGAGAGAGAGAGAGAGAGAGAGAGAGAGAGAGAGAGAGAGAGAGAGAGAGAGAGAGAGAGAGAGAGAGAGAGAGAGAGAGAGAGAGAGAGAGAGAGAGAGAGAGAGAGAGAGAGAGAGAGAGAGAGAGAGAGCAGAGAGAGAGAGAGAGAGAGAGAGAGAGAGAGAGAGAGAGAGAGAGAGAGAGAGAGAGATAGAGAGAGAGAGAACCAAAAAATCATGCGACATCCAGAGGCAAGTGCTATGCTATCCCGATGATTCACCCTCTAGCCGTTTTGCACTTCACCTCGCCTATCAACCACAATCCTTCCGCAAAGTTCGATTGATTGATCACTGAGAGTGTAAGGACGGCTCCACTTCCCCGGCCATGCAGCGTCCACCACAAGTTCGGTGGCGGCGGTGCCTGGACAGAAAACACTGAAACACAGCGCCACAGCACGAGCAAGGCATATCAGGGCCGCCGGCAGACGTGCCCAGTGAACGTTACCAGGTCACGGCAGCGCGGTGAAGGCATGCAGCGGCCAGGGCGGTGTCGCACCAGCTTGGCGGAGCCACCGGGCCGGCACGACAGCACGGCCGGCCGGGCCGGTGGGCGGTGCGAGGCGGGGGGGGGGGGGGGGGGTGGGGGGCGAGGCTGGGGCCGGCTCGGCCAGCGCCAGACGGCAGGCGGCGGATCGCCACTGCGCCAGCTCGGGCGTGACCCTGTGACGTCACGCGGGGGACACCGGCGCGAGCGCCGCAGCCCCGCTCGGTCTGAGACCGGCCGGGCCACGGCGGCCAGGGGCGGGGACGGTGGGCGCCGACCGCAGCCACCGCGACCAGCCCGGCCCAGACGCCTGACGACGGCCGCCAACAAAACAGCCAGCATACTGCCAATAGTAGGCTGCCGGGCACCGATGTCCCACCCAGTCTGGCCAAGACATAGGCCCCCGGGCACCTACATCAGCTCAAGATCCAGCGAAAAAATAGCGGCAGCGACTGGCGCTACGTCCATTTATGCCCACGGTGGGTATCCTTAGTGGGTCTCGGTGATATCTGGGATAGGTCGGATATATCCCATGGCAAGGCTGGTCTAAAGCGGACAGGTAGCTGCAGCAGACTGACGTTAGAGCCAGTTTAGCGCGGATAGATGCCCACGAGGCAAACATCAAATCAGGCAGACAGCGAGCAGTTAGATCAGCGCAGGATGTCATCCGATCCAGTTTAGAATGAGTACATATCCACGGAAGGTCTAGGTCCAGTCCAGTCGCGAGTGGAAAGGCATCCTGCACAGTAACTAACACTAGTCAATCCGAGCCACAACAGTTAGCTAGTTATTCCAGACAAAACACCGACAAGCCGCCCGCCGGCGGAGCCGGCGCGGAAATACCTGGGCCAGGGCCGGCCTCTCATCGAACTTAAAGCCCCGCTACGAACAGAGAGAGGAGAGAACACTGAACGACTGCGCGGTGATGAAACAGTGGGCGCCGAGGGCAGCGCAGCGCGGCCGCCTGTGGACGAGCGGGGCCGGGCACAGCTGGAAGGTCAAGCTCGGCCGGGGCGCTAGCGCCTCTACGCGAGGGTGGTGGCCGGCCTGCAGTACAGGGTCGCACTACGCCCGCCGGTGCGCGGCGCGCGCCGAGCCGTGGGTCTATGTACAGTCTGGCTGGCAGCAGTCAACTACGGGGCCGGCGGTCACCGGGCGCGGAGCGGGCGGCCGCCGCTGGGCCCGCTCCGGCCCGCCCGCCCGCAGAGCCATCGTCACCGGGCAGGGGGCACACGCCACCCACCGCGGCCACTTCAGCGGCACAGCTGACACCGAGAGCCAGGCGGTCGCCTGCACAGCTCGTGCCGATTTACGGCAATGCGTTTTATGGGCAAAGGAGACAATAGCGCAGCGGCACACTGCGGAACTCTTTGAGCGTAATAGTTCATTTCGCCGCCGGTGGATGGCTCTGCCGGCGCTGCGCACACCATCACCTACGTCCTGAACAGTGCTGATCGAGGGGCGCCGAATCTGGTCCATGTCGGCGCCCATGATGGCTTCCACCTTACGAGGGCGGCGGCGCATAGGTTAGACAGGACGCGGGAACGACCACGAGCTCACCACAGCTCGCACGCCGACGCTACAGCACGACAAAGTATCTATCCAAACGCACTACCGGGCTGGGTGGGCGATGGCACAAGCCCTCTGCTACCTACAGCTAATGGTCAAGGACCCTGCACTAATCCGGTGGTAGCACTCAAGGAACAGGCCAGTGTGGACGAAAACGTTAGTGACTTCCCAGTACCGAAAGCGTGATGCGGCGGTGCAGCAAATGTATAATTTATGTGTGAGTGTGTTAGACTACTGAAATGTGTGTTGACCATTTGAAAGCTGTCGCAATAGCAGCGCACCCCGCTTTCGCGCTTGGCCCGAGTCACCTCACCAGCATTTGCTCTCATCTTTTCATGCCTCGCTGCCAGGGATCATTGCTTTCCGCTACACCGCCTGAAACATAAATCCCCTTCGACAGGCGACGCGTCCCCACCCCGTCCCGACCAATATCTGCCCTACGTGACACGGTGCAGCCCCAGGAAGAGACGAGCGGACCGTGCCGACCCACACCGCGATGCGTGACCTCGAATCGTGCCCCGCGAGGCGGCGGCGACGCCCAGGGGCGCGTCACTCACCACCGAGTTCCGCTCCTTCCTGCTGAGCCGCATCTCCTGCAGCATCTGGTTGCGCTGCTCCATCATGAGCGTGCGCTCGTACGTGTAGGCCGAGATGTCGCTGTCGTGCTGCAACAGACGTCCAGCCGACGGGTCACATCAGGTCAGGTCAGGTCAGGTCACGACCAAAGCGAAGAGGCGGCGGGGCGCAGGTTGGGGTCAGGCATCACATGACGGACATGATGGCCAGCAACAAGGGTGGAGAGGTAAAGATAGTGGACTCAGCACCCCGACAGCGTCCTGGGGCGTCGAGGCAGGGAGGCGGGGCTATGTGCGGCTGCCGAGTGCAGCACCTCGACGCGGTCCCAGCCGACAGGAGCCCCAGCGGACAAAGAGCGCACAGGGCGCGCTCAGGTCGGACGGGCCGGTCTGGCACGCGGACCAAACAGCCCCGGAGCCAGAGTCACTGCCATGGTGAGGGGCTCCCGCAGCCATTGAATGATATTCTGTCGTAACCTCTTTGACACCTGCATCAAATGACTATGACAACCACTTTTTGCCTACCACGAATGATGGTGAATAATATAACTGTGAGGGGAAAAGCATGTAACAATGCAGGCCAGACACGCACAACATCACGTGCGCGAAGTACCCAGAATATCCCGCTGATCTCATTGAAATCCGGGCGCGGAAAACACCTGGAAGACAGGCAGTGTTCTGAGCTTTTCATACGCCGCCCGGACAGCACGACAATAATGATGGCGCCTGGCGAGCCTCAGCCGGCACCACTTCACCACACGCCTCGGCATCGCCTTCAGCTACCGGCGAGCGGACAAGCAGGACCCGAACGACAACAACCGTGCTGCGAGCGGGACGCCGCCTCTCGGCCGGAGAGCCGCGCAGAGCCGCCGCCCGCCCGGCCGGCCGGTCCTAGCCTGGGGTCAGCCTAAGCTGCCGGCGGCGGCTCGCGGGCCGCCAAACACCGCCGCGCAGGCGGCGACAGGTCGGCCAGGCTCGGGACTTTTCTATTCCGATTCAGTACGTTCTACCAAAATGACGGCATGCCATGACGTTTTGCTGCTCCGCTCGACCGACGCCCGACGCCATGCGAACGGCTAGCCTGGTCCCCGCGACCCGCCGAATGCCATGCACAGCCCCAACCGGAGCGTTCATCCGCCGACAGCGGCCAACAGCGAACGCCAGGGGTCGGGGCGGGCGGCGACACGTCCACTACGACACCGGCAAGCTACCGCACGGGCACCGGGCATGCAGCACGCGCTCCGTTCACCTGACCTGGCGGCCCCCGCCATACTCACGCCCTGCGGGTGGGGCAGAGAACAGACACGCGGTCAGTGACGGGCGCGGTCGGTCGGACGCGGCCGGCTGACACACGGCAGCACGGCGCCGCTCCGGCCGCCACACGCCAGGCAACGCTGCCGCCGTCGACGGCGGCGAACACGACACGGCAGGCGCGGTCGGTCGGCGGCGCGGCCGGCAGACGCGCGGCAGCACGGCGCCGCTCCGGCCGCCACACGCCAGGCAACGCTGCCGCCGTCGACGGCAGCGAATATGACACGGCAGGCGCCGGAGGACGGCTCAGCTACAGCTGACACAGGCCGCACTCAAGGCGCAGGATCTGGCTGTGCGTTTCGTGTTTAGCTGTGCGGTGTTGAGCGCAGGCCGTGTTTTGGTCGAGGCTTGCCTCCGGGAACCTAGGTCCATGTTGTAGTTCCTGCGCTGTTGAGTTGAGTTGGCCAGAGTCAATGTGCGCTTACGGACCACGCGGTGGCCGGTGTGCTCTAGCGGACCCAGGGACTCCTGGGAGTGACAGGCCTCTAGAAAACGTTGTAAGCGCCTTGATACTTGGAGAGAGACACTATTGTCAGGCTCGCTTGAAGTGTTGCGTGGACAATATACCATGCAGTGAATCGCGGCGGCTTACGCAACACGAAGGATACAAACGCCTGCCGCAATATAAATACCAAGACACCATGTGCTCACCATTTCTACGACGTCCACTTCTGCCTCTATTCGGAGGTGATAGAGGAACGTCTTCAGATCCTTCTTGATTTGTATGCTGTTGTCCTCCATCTGCGCTACGGTGAAGATACGCATCTTGCAGCCCTTCCAGGTGCGCGACTGCTTCAGCAGGAAGGGCAGCAGCATCAGGAGGCCACCGTCGTGTACGATCCACCAGATGTCGATGTTGCCAACCACCTGCGGAAGGGCAGGGCAATGGACGGATGAAGCACGACTTGAGACATGCCCGTGGTGCAAGCGAAGGTTACGAAAGTGCGAAGGCCGCGGCCGGCCGCGACCGCCACACCAGCGCCTCGCTCGAGAAGCGGCCGTCCCGGGCCGACGGAAGGCGGCCGGTGCCTGGCGCGCCGACTGCGGCCGTCACTCTGACGTCGAACCTGGCGATCTGACAGCCCGCCGCCCGTCAGCGGCGGGCACCGCCGCGTCCGCCGCCATACACATCAGCGGGCGCCGTCCGTCAGCGGCCGCCGCCTCACACACCAACGGCCGGCGCCGCACTGAACCGGCTCCGACCGGCCGCAGAGACGGCTGTGGTGCCGGCGTCGGACGGACGGGGCCGGACCAGCCACGGCACGGAGCTGCGTGCACCAGCCGTAGGTGGGCTAGCGCCCTTGGCGGAGGGGGGGGGGGGGGAGGGCGTCCGAGCGAGGAGCACATACCCAGAAGAGCGGTGCCTGTGCGGGCTGCGTATCGGCGGAGGAACCCAGATGCACTTAGTCTTGCCTCACCACTTCCACCCTTCTCCCCCCAGTCGCCCTGAATGGTCACTAATGGGCCGAAGGGCTCCAAACAAAACCAAACTAGACCAAAACAGTGCCGGTGCCCGTCCAGCCTTCCGCTTCCCGAAATGACTAACAATATGACGTGGCACATCCATTTCCTACGCAAAGCTGATAATCCAATTGAGTTATTAAACTGCATTAACAAGTACGGCCCCGGGCGCCGCTACAGTTCCGCACTGCCGTACGTGATTGGGTGGTATCAGGCACTGGCCTCATGGTCGAAAATTCTGAGTTCAACTCCAAACGCTACCAGCAAAACCAACGACCATGAATCGAAAAGCATCCCGGCAATTTCATAACCTAAGCAGGCGGGTGAGCGCCAGGGCATGACCTGCGTTAAAAACATACTTGGGGACCATCGTGGATTGCCCATGGCTACGTCCCCACCCGCCGGAGCACGCAGATGGGAGCCGCTAGCTCCGGCAGCACCACGGGACGGGTCACCGCCACGTGGAACGCGTCACGACGACGCGAGTAATCACCGTCTCAGAGTGCGCCGGTGCGATCTGATGAGAACTCGCCGCACGTAACAACCACGAGCACTGAACATTTCACCGGCAGAGGCGCGAGGGGTCCTGAGGTCCTCGAGTCTCGCCGCAAGCTGGATGATAATGAGCACACGAAAAACCTGCCCCGCTCCGCGCCCGCGAATAGCAAAGCTGATCGCGACACATGTGAAAGGACAAACGGCGCAAACCCCAGCCCTCTCGCCGCAGTTCATAGCCACGGGCTGTGAACTGAGGGGCGGCGAGCCCGCGTGACCTTTCACCGCGCCAGCGAGCCCGCGCTGGAGAGCGCTCTGCGCCAGCTCAGCACCCCGGCCCGCCCGCCCCCGGCGGCACTCGAACTCCCGGCCGTACAACACAAACACTCACAGCAAACAAACTTCCCAGGGCAAGTGCGCCGCCGCTCGCACCTTTTCGTTGTTGGCCGGGAAGAAGTTGATGCCCTTGGGCACGAGCAGCGCCATCTTGTTGGCGCTGGTGTTGCGCACGGACTCGAGGAACACGCGGTGCGCCTTGGCGTCCGTCTGGTGGCGCCAGCCGTAAGGCCAGCCCAGCACCGCCGTGTTGGGTCGCAGGCCGCCCATGCCCGCCGTCTGCATACTGCGCGCGCACACAGGCACCGGGGTGAGCACGCGGCCTCCAGCGGCCAGCACAGGCACGCTGCACGCAACCCACCGACACAGATCAATGGCAGCTTATTGTGACGCAGCGCAACTCATGGGTGGCCATGAGTTGCGCCATCAAACGCCAATCACCCATGGATCAGCATGGGTGATTGGCGTTTTTCTGCTGGTGAGCACGAACGCCCGCGTGTGGTGATATACCCCCTGCACTGGCCGCCTGCGGTTCGGGCTTATCAATGTCGTGTCTTTATAAGATTCTCGCAATGCGTAGAGCATGAATAATGCACGAATAAAGTGAGTGCGAATAACGCAGCGCGGAAAGGGCTAACATTCAGAGGTTTAACAGATCGCAAGACTTTACAACACATCACTCATCCTGACAGCTTGGCACGGCACGTCAGAACCCCGGCGACTGCTCCCATGCCGTAGCACAACATCTGCCACCATCTGTTGCTGTTGAGATAGGGCTGAGGGGGAGGAGATGGGAGGGGTGGAGATATAGGTGTAGGCTGAGGCCACGATGAAGGAGATGAAGAAGGTGGAGTCAGAGGCGGAAGCGGAGACGGAGACGGAGGTTAAGGTTAAGGTTGAGGCGGAGTCAGAGGCGCAAGCGGAGGCGGAGGTGCAGGCGGAGGGGGGGGGGGGGTGGGGGAGTACGCCAGTCCACCCCCGTCCTCACAAGTGATTGATGGCCTCGATGACGTTCTGGGCGGCCAGCACGTCGACGAAGGCCTTGACCTTCTCGTGGTCCAGCTCCTTCCGTATGCTGAGGCGCGCCGCCTGCGCTTCGCCGTACGTCTTGCTGAAGTCACCCTCCAGCACTGTTACCAGCATCGTCAGACCTGGAAGGCGCGGGGCACGGGTGGGGCCGGGTCGGCAAGCAGTCGTCACGCCCGGCGACGACTGGCCGAGCCATGACCAGTCGTCACCGGCCGGGGGTGAGCCATGACCAGTCGTCACCGGCCGGGGGTGAGCCATGACCAGTCGTCACCGGCCGGGGGTCAGCCGTGGCCAGTCGTCACCGGCCGGGGGTGAGCCGTGGCCAGTCGTCACCGGGCGGGGGTCAGCCGTGGCCAGTCGTCACCGGGCGGGGGTCAGCCGTGGCCAGTCGTCACCGGGCGGGGTCAGCCGTGACCAGTCGTCACCGGGCGGGGGTCAGCCGTGACCAGTCGTCACCGGGCGGGGGTCAGCCGTGGCCAGTCGTCACCGGGTGGAGGTGAGCCGTGGCCAGTCGTCACCGGGCGGGGGTCAGCCGTGACCAGTCGTCACCGGGCGGGGGTCAGCCGTGACCAGTCGTCACCGGGCGGGGGTCAGCCGTGGCCAGTCGTCACCGGGCGGGGGTCAGCCGTGACCAGTCGTCACCGGGCGGGGGTCAGCCGTGACCAGTCGTCACCGGCCGGGGGTGAGCCGTGGCCAGTCGTCACCGGGTGGAGGTGAGCCGTGACCAGTCGTCACCGGGGCGGGGGTCAGCCGTGACCAGTCGTCACCGGGCGGGGGTCAGCCGTGACCAGTCGTCACCGGGCGGGGGTCAGCCGTGGCCAGTCGTCACCGGGTGGAGGTGAGCCGTGGCCAGTCGTCACCGGCCGGGGGTGAGCCGTGGCCAGTCGTCACCGGCCGGGGGTGAGCCGTGACCAGTCGTCACCGGGCGGGGGTCAGCCGTGACCAGTCGTCACCGGGCGGGGGTCAGCCGTGGCCAGTCGTCACCGGGCGGGGGTGAGCCGTGACCAGTCGTCACCGGGCGGAGGTGAGCTGTGGCCAGTCGTCACCGGGCGGGGGTCAGCCGTGACCAGTCGTCACCGGGCGGGGGTCAGCCGTGACCAGTCGTCACCGGGCGGAGGTGAGCTGTGGCCAGTCGTCACCGGCCGGGGGTCAGCCGTGGCCAGTCGTCACCGGGCGGGGGTCAGCCGTGGCCAGTCGTCACCGGGCGGAGGTGAGCTGTGGCCAGTCGTCACCGGCCGGGGGTCAGCCGTGGCCAGTCGTCACCGGGCGGGGGTCAGCCGTGACCAGTCGTCACCGGGCGGGGGTCAGCCGTGACCAGTCGTCACCGGGCGGAGGTGAGCTGTGGCCAGTCGTCACCGGCCGGGGGTCAGCCGTGACCAGTCGTCACCGGGCGGGGGTGAGCCGTGACCAGTCGTCACCGGGCGGAGGGTGAGCTGTGGCCAGTCGTCACCGGCCGGGGGTCAGCCGTGGCCAGTCGTCACCGGGCGGGGGTCAGCCGTGGCCAGTCGTCACCGGGCGGAGGTGAGCTGTGGCCAGTCGTCACCGGCCGGGGGTGAGCCGTGGCCAGTCGTCACCGGGCGGGGGTCAGCCGTGACCAGTCGTCACCGGGCGGGGGTCAGCCGTGACCAGTCGTCACCGGGCGGGGGTGAGCTGTGGCCAGTCGTCACCGGCCGGGGGTCAGCCGTGACCAGTCGTCACCGGGCGGAGGTGAGCTGTGGCCAGTCGTCACCGGCCGGGGGTCAGCCGTGACCAGTCGTCACCGGGCGGGGGTGAGCCGTGACCAGTCGTCACCGGGCGGAGGTGAGCTGTGGCCAGTCGTCACCGGCCGGGGGTCAGCCGTGGCCAGTCGTCACCGGGCGGGGGTCAGCCGTGACCAGTCGTCACCGGCCGGGGGTCAGCCGTGACCAGTCGTCACCGGGCGGGGGTCAGCCGTGGCCAGTCGTCACCGGGCGGGGGTCAGCCGTGGCCAGTCGTCACCGGGCGGAGGTGAGCCGTGACCAATCGTCACCGGGCGGGGGTCAGCCGTGGCCGGTCGTCACCGGGCGGGGGTCAGCCGTGACCAGTCGTCACCGGCCGGGGGTCAGCCGTGACCAGTCGTCACCGGGCGGGGGTCAGCCGTGGCCAGTCGTCACCGGGCGGAGGTGAGCTGTGGCCAGTCGTCACCGGCCGGGGGTCAGCCGTGGCCAGTCGTCACCGGGCGGGGGTCAGCCGTGGCCAGTCGTCACCGGGCGGAGGTGAGCTGTGGCCAGTCGTCACCGGCCGGGGGTCAGCCGTGGCCAGTCGTCACCGGGCGGGGGTCAGCCGTGACCAGTCGTCACCGGGCGGGGGTCAGCCGTGACCAGTCGTCACCGGGCGGAGGGTGAGCTGTGGCCAGTCGTCACCGGCCGGGGTCAGCCGTGACCAGTCGTCACCGGGCGGGGGTGAGCCGTGACCAGTCGTCACCGGGCGGAGGTGAGCTGTGGCCAGTCGTCACCGGCCGGGGGTCAGCCGTGGCCAGTCGTCACCGGGCGGGGGTCAGCCGTGGCCAGTCGTCACCGGGCGGAGGTGAGCTGTGGCCAGTCGTCACCGGCCGGGGGTCAGCCGTGGCCAGTCGTCACCGGGCGGGGGTCAGCCGTGACCAGTCGTCACCGGGCGGGGGTCAGCCGTGACCAGTCGTCACCGGGCGGGGGTGAGCTGTGGCCAGTCCGTCACCGGCCGGGGGTCAGCCGTGACCAGTCGTCACCGGGCGGAGGTGAGCTGTGGCCAGTCGTCACCGGCCGGGGGTCAGCCGTGACCAGTCGTCACCGGGCGGGGGTGAGCCGTGACCAGTCGTCACCGGGCGGAGGTGAGCTGTGGCCAGTCGTCACCGGCCGGGGGTCAGCCGTGGCCAGTCGTCACCGGGCGGGGGTCAGCCGTGACCAGTCGTCACCGGCCGGGGGTCAGCCGTGACCAGTCGTCACCGGGCGGGGGTCAGCCGTGGCCAGTCGTCACCGGGCGGGGGTCAGCCGTGGCCAGTCGTCACCGGGCGGAGGTGAGCCGTGACCAATCGTCACCGGGCGGGGGTCAGCCGTGGCCGGTCGTCACCGGGCGGGGGTCAGCCGTGACCAGTCGTCACCGGCCGGGGGTCAGCCGTGACCAGTCGTCACCGGGCGGGGGTCAGCCGTGGCCAGTCGTCACCGGGCGGAGGTGAGCTGTGGCCAGTCGTCACCGGCCGGGGGTCAGCCGTGGCCAGTCGTCACCGGGCGGGGGTCAGCCGTGGCCAGTCGTCACCGGGCGGAGGTGAGCTGTGGCCAGTCGTCACCGGCCGGGGGTCAGCCGTGGCCAGTCGTCACCAGGCGGGGGTCAGCCGTGACCAGTCGTCACCGGGCGGGGGTCAGCCGTGACCAGTCGTCACCGGGCGGAGGTGAGCTGTGGCCAGTCGTCACCGGCCGGGGGTCAGCCGTGACCAGTCGTCACCGGGCGGGGGTGAGCCGTGACCAGTCGTCACCGGGCGGAGGTGAGCTGTGGCCAGTCGTCACCGGCCGGGGGTCAGCCGTGGCCAGTCGTCACCGGGCGGGGGTCAGCCGTGGCCAGTCGTCACCGGGCGGAGGTGAGCTGTGGCCAGTCGTCACCGGCCGGGGGTCAGCCGTGGCCAGTCGTCACCGGGCGGGGGTCAGCCGTGACCAGTCGTCACCGGGCGGGGGTCAGCCGTGACCAGTCGTCACCGGGCGGGGGTGAGCTGTGGCCAGTCGTCACCGGCCGGGGGTCAGCCGTGACCAGTCGTCACCGGGCGGAGGTGAGCTGTGGCCAGTCGTCACCGGCCGGGGGTCAGCCGTTACCAGTCGTCACCGGGCGGGGGGTGAGCCGTGACCAGTCGTCACCGGGCGGAGGTGAGCTGTGGCCAGTCGTCACCGGCCGGGGGTCAGCCGTGGCCAGTCGTCACCGGGCGGGGGTCAGCCGTGACCAGTCGTCACCGGCCGGGGGTCAGCCGTGACCAGTCGTCACCGGGCGGGGGTCAGCCGTGGCCAGTCGTCACCGGGCGGGGGTCAGCCGTGGCCAGTCGTCACCGGGCGGAGGTGAGCCGTGACCAATCGTCACCGGGCGGGGGTCAGCCGTGGCCGGTCGTCACCGGGCGGGGGTCAGCCGTGACCAGTCGTCACCGGCCGGGGGTCAGCCGTGACCAGTCGTCACCGGGCGGGGGTGAGCCGTGGCCGGTCGTCACCGGGCGGGGGTCAGCCGTGACCAGTCGTCACCGGGCGGGGGTGAGCCGTGGCCGGTCGTCACCGGGCGGGGGTGAGCCGTGGCCAGTCGTCACCGGGCGGGGGTCAGCCGTGACCGGTCGTCACCGGGCGGGGGTGAGCCGTGGCCAGTCGTCACCGGGCGGGGGTCAGCCGTGACCAGTCGTCACCGGCCGGGGGTCAGCCGTGACCAGTCGTCACCGGGCGGGGGTGAGCCGTGGCCAGTCGCCGAAGAGGACTTGCTCCGACCACTGGCGTGCTGAGCCGCACCCCATGACGGCCACCATGCGGACTACCCAGCGTGACGCGGACAGCCCGACGGAGCGCGAGTGTCACATGACGTGTGTGGCGTCACGTGACGTGTCTGGTGTCCAGCGTAGCGCGGACAGCCCAGCAGAGAGCGCGGGCGTCACGTGTCTCCGCGCGACGCCTTGTCAATCCCACGCGATGCCCGGAACTCAATTTGGTCGTCGGCTGACACAGTAGACCGGGCAGCGCGGGGACCAGAACCTGCCCAGACGTGGCGGCAGCGGCGGCAGCGGCGGAACACTGGACTGGTCAAGCTTAACAGCTCCGCCGGAAATCACGGCGCTCAGATTTACTGAAGTTCGGGAAAATTACCAATAGCTCCTAATAGCGGGTACCCGACAGGCTGAACCCCGAGGAATGCTGTCCGCTCGGTCCTGAGGAGAAATCCGCAGCGCAGCCACACCGGCGGGGAGAGCGGGGTGGTGTCGCGATGGTCAGACGAGGCAGCACGGGACGACTGGCGGCCAGCCGACCGTGCCAGGAGTGCGCGCGGCGGCTCGGTGACCGGAGCGCCTCGGCTCGACAGCCGGTACATCGGCGCCGGCGAGGCGCTCGGTGCGGCGCGACAGGCGGCCAGCTGGTTCCGGCATCCTCCCGCACGACCGCACCGCCCGTCTCCGTCCGCTCCACTGAGCCGACGCGCCCCGCGCCGATCAGTGAAACATTCAGCACCGGGTCTCGGCTGACAGACCTGGGGAACGCTCGCCGCTGCCGGGCACCCCCCCACCCCCGTCCCGCCGCGGGCGGCGCTGGAGGCTGTCCGGACGTCACGTCTATGCCGGGCAGCGGCGGCGGCGGCGGCGGCGGCGGCGACGGCGGCCAGGCCGGCTTATTGATCGGCGCCGCGGCCGAGAGTCGTCTCCCACCTGACTGCCGGCCGCCCGCTGCCACCTAGGGCGTCGGCGGGCGCGCGCCGCCGCCAGCGGCGAGGCGGCCGGGAGGGAGGCGCAGCGCCGACCCTGACCCCACAGCCGCGCGGCGGCGACGCAACACCCAACCGGCTCACACCGGACCGGCAGCACTGCCGAGAACGCGCGGTATCACGGCCGGTTGGGAAGCTGGTCCGACTGGCGAGGACGAGCGGGCCCCGGCCGCCAGCGGCTCACCTTTGCCAGCCTTCAGCTGAGAGGCGAACGTGATGAGCTTCGGGTACTTGATGTTCAGCTCGGAGTCGAGTTTGGCGAACAGCAGCAGCTGGGGGCGCCAGTTTTTGGTGTGCGGCGGCCCCTCCTCCAGCCGCAGCAGGGAGAAGCGCGCGGCGGACAGCGCCAGACCGCGGATGCCGTCCCCCCACTCTTTCTCCGCCCTGTAATGGACGGACCAGGTGGTTAACGAGGACCGCCCGGCGCGGCGCCGACCCACGGCAAACAAAGACACCGGCTAATGGTCAGCTGTTCGACTGTTTATCGACGCACGCAACTGTTCCTGCCGCCAGGCGCCGCGGCTCTCACCCACCACGCCGCGCCGTGGGTGACAGAGCGGAGCCCGCTGCAGCGCGACAGGACCACACGCTGTCAACAGCGCGCACTCTGCGAAACAAACGACAGCCCAGCCTCCTCAAACCGCAGCACAACCCCTCCCCTCGGGACAGTCAGCTACGAGCTCCGCTCCTCCCGCCGCGTCATAAAGCCACAGCAGCGCCCACCCCTGATGTCCCACACTCAACCCGAACACAACAAGCGATAGCGGGCGGCTCGCCGGGCGAGGCCCGAGCGTGCCCGGACGGCCAATGAGCTCGGTCCCTGGGGAGGCGGCGCGAGCGCGCCTGTTTTCCCAGGCCCGGCCGCGTCTCGGCCGCCCGCAGCCAGCACGGCCGCGCAAACATTCAATTAGCCCCGGCCGGCGGGAACAAACCGATTACAGCGGCGTGATCCAATGGTGCGCTTAAATGAGCCCGGCACGAAAATGAAGCAATCAGTTGATCTGCCACCGCTGCGGCTGCCACGTGGCGGGACGCAGGCGCCCGCGCCTGGCCGGCCCCGAGAGCGACGGATGCCACCGTCGCCCGCCAGGCCGCCCTCCCCTGCCGCTGCGCCCCCCGCTCTGGGGGGCCAGCGCCCCTCCGCCCAGCGGAGTCGAGTCCGCCCCCGGTCTCCCTCCAATCTGCAGTTAGCAGCGTCCAGGCGGCGGCAACAGGGGCGCCTCGGCTCTGCCGCGCCGGGATCGTCGCCGTGATGGTGTCTCGTCTCATTAGCGCCGCTCGTCGCCGCGCCGCCGGCCGTTCCGCCCGATCGAGCCGCGCTGAGACGAGCCGATCGCGCAGCCTGGCGGGCGCGGCCGACAACGGACTCCGGCAGCGGACCAGGCGGCCGACAGCGGACTCGCACAGGAGACCGGGCGGCCGACAACGGACTCGCACAGGAGACCGGGCGGCCGACAACGGACTCGCACAGGAGACCGGACGGCCGACAATGGACTCGCACAGGAGACCGGGCGGCCGACAGCGGACTTCCACAGCGGACCGGGCGACCGAAAACGGACTCGCACAGGAGACCGGGCGGCCGACAACGGACTCCGGCAGCGGACCAGGCGGCCGACAGCGGACTCGCACGGGAGACCGAGCGGCCGACAACGGACTCGCACAGGAGACCGGGCGGCCGACAGCGGACTTCCACAGCGGGCCGGGAGGCCGACAGCGGACTCCGACAGCGGACCAGGCGGCCGACAACAGACTCGCACAGGAGACCGGCGGCCGACAGCGGACTCCTGCGGCGGACTCTGAGACCGCAATGGTCTGATCAGGGGCAGCATGGAGACTGGAGCCGCCATTCAGCTGCCACGGCCAGCGGACATCGGCCGGCGCCGGCGCGCGCTCGCCGCCATCTCCAGCGGCGGACGGGGGCGGCGGCTGACAACACCGCGGCTGCCCTGCGGCCGCTGACGCCGAGACCGGAGCCGGCTCCGGGAAAGCCTCGCCGCCGGTGACGTCTACTCCGACCCGCCAACACGGACGGCAGCGGTCTTGACGCCAACGCCAGCGGTTGCCTCAGCAGTCAGCGTGGCTGCTGGCGCCGGGGACGCGCCCCGGCTCCACACGCATCGCGACAGCCCGGTCGGCATGCGAACGCCGAGTGCCCGCGCGAAATCCGCACACTTACCCGCGGAATTCGATGTACTTGTATATGACGAAAGCGATCACCATGGCGACCAGCGCGTAGTACCAGCTGGTCATGAACATGACGGTGATGCACAGCGAGAGGCCCAGGAAGGACAGCATCCTGCAGACAGAGGCGGTAGCGTCAGGGCCCGCTCGCGCGCAGGCGCACGGGCAGACCCGGCCGGTCGGCATCGCGGCGGGAAGACAGGATGACGCCCGCCGTTGGGTCTGTCTGGGACCAACACGGACCTGCCTATATATATATATATATATATATATATATATATATATATATATATATATATAATATATATATTTAAGTTCATAAGAAACAACAATCCTGATCTCTTAGTTCATGTGCGGCTTTCATAAGAAACGACAGTCCTAATCTCATAGTTCATGTGAAGCTATGTTATAACGGCATGCGATGACGGTCCGCGTCACTCTCGTCAGTGCCGAGCGGCCCTGAGCCACGGACATGTCAAATGACGGCCTGTTTTCACGGACGCCGTGCAGCGTCCATCGCTCGAACGGCTTCGGCGGCTTCGACTAACAGATGCTCTCCTCACCGCGGGATTTAGCGGGCTGCAGCGTTTGGAGAATCGATGGCGCCAGACGCACCGGGCTGTCGTATTTTAAGAGCCTGTGGCTGAACATTGCCCCGGGAATCTACAATGCCAGACGCGGCTTCCAAACCAGACGGCTGCCATGCTCTCTGATGCATTTCGGGCCGTTGACCGCCGCAGCACTAAGCCAGCTCTATGTTGTGGTTCGGTCTCAGACGAAGGAAGAAAACAACACATTACCTAAGCGCTACCCGTAGCAGGAGAATATCATACTATTCAAACAAAACATTTAACATAAACTTTTCCCCACTACATGGCTGACGAGAAGCGATCGGGTGTAACCAGCACAACGCATGGGCAGAAGCAGGTCATTTCGTCACTTACTGAGCCGTTATTAGTGGTCGCTTACTCGCATCGTGCACCACAGTTGAATTGGAGGTGGTCGTTTGGACTAGTGCAGTGCTCACGGGTAACTAAAGCGTCTGTGACCGCCATCATACGGCCTCCGAAAGCCTATATATATATATATATATATATATATATATATATATATATATATATATATATATATATATATATATATATATATATATCTTACGCTATTCGAGCCTGGGAATGGCATCGATCCTGCGTTGGCTAATGGGAATTCAGGTCAGATCGGTGCCATCAGAAATGCCCCACAGAGAGGAGGCTGTAGCCGCCACATCAGTGCGCTGGAGTATTCCAGCCCTCCAAAGGTTGCTAAAGAAACGCTACGTCGGAGCCCACATCAATGCGCTGGAGTATTCCAGCCCTCCAAGGTAGACACGCTACGTGGGAGCCTTGAAGACGTTGGCGTAAATGCACCTGATGTGGATATTATTCACACGAGTTTGCCATAAGCTTGGATAAGAAGGACGCAAAACTGCTTGGCTAACGCTGGCGCAATTACTGCGAGCAAGAGTGGGCGAATTGGAGAACGTGTTCATTAAAAATTGATGGCAGCAAAGTTTTCACCAATGCTTTAATTGCACCATGTTTCTACGAATAAACCATATCAAAATTTAAACGCACCATTTCTATCCAGTCAATGGCGTGAGAAAGTGTCACCTCAAATACTGCAGCGTAATGAGGTGAACATTCAAGAGAATTAGGCGAGAGTAATTTGAGAAATCTTGAAAAATGGGCGGGTTCTCTTGGATACGTAACCGCTTGACAAGGTAGGGAGCATATTGAATGACAATACTAGAAGGCAAAACGGTACAATGTTCACTCTAGTCCAGATTACAGCAGATTATCCGTCTTGGATACGCGTTTCCTGCAATACCAAGGCCTGAAAAACGAAATCCTGGCGGCATGGGAACGAAGGTTGCATGATAACCTAGAAATAAACGCTCAGAAGACAAAAGGTTTGATGAATGTGGAGACAGCACGCATTGAAGTTATAATAATGAAAGTTGGACACTTTTATAGAAACCGGGTAGTTAAGCTGAACAACGACCTTCCAGTTATCAAAGTTCATACAAATGTTGTATGTCGGCAAATCTGCAATCGCTCCATGACAGGACTGTCCGCAGGTGTATTTCAACACAATTTTTTTGTATATTAAGAAGCATGGTGGAAGAGTAACGAGACACGGAGGCATAATGGTGAGTCCAGGTGCAACGTTACAAATGTAGACCATATGACATATGACGTCGAGACCATATGGCAGGATACCTCCGGACGTGTGAGTCACGCACGAAATGAGAACCAAACAGAGGGCAAGAATGGGACGGAAGGGGGCGGACGACATGCAAATGATGGGTGTGTGGATCATGTATTGTCCACTTCACGCATCACACCCGAGGTGCTGCCACGCGGCTGCTGATTGCTAGCAGCTGATCTGCTCTGGCATTGTATAATCGAGAGGGCTAAAACAGGTTGAAGAGACACGTGTACTATCCACTTGTATCAGTCACGGACCATGTCTGTGCACATCAAATGTGACGCAACTGCACCGAACGTTAAATGCTGCGTCGCTGCGGCTGAAATTATGCAATACAGTAATACAAACAAGTTGTGACAGAAAATGCCCCGGACTTTGTACCGCGACAATTTTAGAGCCACACTCCATGTTGCTAAAAACGGTGTGAGCCTGCGATCAATGTTCGCGCAGCTATCACCCTTCACGGAGCGAGGTGGCCGGGTGAGGCGGCTCAAGTTACAAATTTGATAACCGTTCAACCGAGACCAGGTCGCCACCCACTCGTAATCCACCTGACCTCGTTACGGATCGATAACCCTGTTGTCGCCAGGCGATGCCGGCTTCAAACGCGCTCCAGACAAGTTTGACACGGCCCGACTGTCGGCGCCACATCTGCCCCACCACGTCCGCGCGCGCCGTCGAAACAAATAACACGTGAGCCGTCCCTCGCACCACGCATCTCCGAGATCGTAACTCACGCACGGAGCCGGGGACCCCGTCGCCCGAGGCATCTCAGCCCGCTCACCAGTGGTAGTACTTGAAGCGCGGTCGCCAGCTGGGCGTGCGCAGCAGCGTCTGCAGCGCGCACGCCAGGTTCACGAAGCCGTAGCACATGAGGAAGAACATGGTGATGATCGGCGTGATCTCGTCCAAGTTGCCGATCAGGATGCCCACCTCCGAGATAACTGCGGACCGGCGGGGGCGTCAGCGGGGCGGAGGACGACCAGCGCATGACGCACGGGCCGGACGGCATCCGGACACGGCGCATCGCTGGACGACGCGTTCCCAGCGCCCCCGGCTGCTCTGCGCTGCTGAGCCGAGCCCATGCTCTGTGGACGCCTCCTCGCCGGTGCCGATCACAACGGTGAAGCCAGCGCCATCTTATAACAAGCGCAGGTATACGCTCAGCCTCCGCTTGGCGCGAGATGACATTTTACAAGGCAGGTGGTGCGACGAAAAACATCCGGCCTTGAATGCGTCTCTAAGTGCTGTGATGGAGCTTCCACGACGATGCTGTCCGTTAAGCAAAGAAAAAAAGAAAGAAAAGCGACAAAACATCCCATTGTGGCTCCATTTGTTCAACGGCGTTTTTGCACTCGTCAGCCGTTTTTTCTTACTTCTGTTCCATTTCCAGCAGTTCCTCACCGCCCTTTTTACGCATAGTCTACAAGCGGGACGCACATCGACTCCAGACCACAGTGGCGCGCCTCCTCGCGCCGACGCGCTCCCCCGGACGAGTCCGGCCGACCGGCGATTAGGGGGACATCATTAGCCGGAAATTAGTCGACTGATCAGGCCGGCGCGACCGTCTGCCGCCTCGATTACCCGTCACCTCGCGCGCCAATTACGGCGCGAAAAAGACGGACGAGTCGCACCGGCTGCGGTGCCGGCAGGACCGCCGCCACCAAGGCCGGCAGACGGCACGACCGCCGGAACCGGACGGAAACAAGGGGCGCCGGAAGCGCTGAAAGCGATGACGCCGGCTGGGTCGGCGCTGGACGGAAGGCGGAGTGTCTGGTCAGCACGTGACGGGGGTAACACCGGGGAGCGTCCGCACGGGACGCGAAACAGCGGGCCGGGCCGACGACAGGCCGACCACAGCGAGTTGGGACGAAAGCGGACGGAAAGGACGCGGCTGGGTTGACGACTGGCGGCACTGACCAGAAGTCCCCAACCGGTCCCGCACTGGATGGAGAATGCCGAAAAGGTCAGCGCTAACTTTCAGCGGGCGGAAAACTTAATGCATGACAGACTGGCTGAAAGTTGGGCCGTGGAGCCCCTGCGTGATGTGCGTAGCGCTGCGAATTTCTTCTCGTAAAAATACGGACACCGCACCATTTGGCTTTACCTCGATTGGCTGCCTTATATATCTTAGAAGCTTTGCAATGGTCAATCCGACCAGCCGAGCTCTAGGTCAGAAATACGCCAGTGCTGAAGGGTGGCGGCGAAGCACTGCCAAGGCTGCCATTGACGAGCCACTAAACAGGCACCTTGGAATCGCCCCGGGCGATCCCGAGTGACGCCGATGACGTCACCAGGCCGGACGATGACGAACAGCTGACCGGCCAGCATATGGCGGTGCCCTCATTCCCGGCTGGCCGCGGGTGACGTCGCCCGCGGGCAAGGCCTCGTCATCTCAGGCGCGGCACACGGCGCGCCTCCGCCGGCTTGACGACGGCGCGCGACGCTTATGGCGCACTCAGGACGTGTGACAACTCGCAGGCGATTATCGACGGCGTACGCGCACGCAATATCCCACGGATTACAGCGGGGTAATATCCCGCCGACACCGCGGGCGCCGCAGCGACGGCATCCACTTCCCTGCCGACACAGACTCTCGACGCCGCTCACCAGCAGACGCCCCCACCACGCCAGGCGGCCTCCAGACGCGCCACGGCGCGGCCCACTCACAGGCGGTGACGAGCAGGGCCCGCACGGGCTCGCCGCGCTTGGAGCTGACACTGAGCGGGTCGAGGATGGGCAGGATGTTGTCCTGGGCGATGGCCTGCAGCAGCCGCGGCGCGCCCGTCAGCGACTGCAGGCCGGCGCCGATGGTGGAGAGCAGCGAGCCGATGGTGACCACCATCGGGTGCGGCCAGGCCACCTGCGCCACCACCAGCTGCTTGCCCACGCTATCGCCGAACCTGCCGCACGGCGACGGTCAGCGGCGTGCGCGTGCCGCGCGCGCCCCGGCCCCGGCGCCGGCGCCGGCGCCGGGGCCGGGCCGGGGCCGCAGCCCGAGCAGGCGGCGCGGATGCAGTCGACCGAGCAAATGGCACACACGGGACGTGGGAGAGGGGCTATGCACCGGCTCGGTGACGGGCAAAAAACAGGAGCCAAATACGGGATCGTCGGGGGGGGGGGGGGAGAGGGGACGAAACACACCAGGTCCTTTACCGGCACAGCATCCTGGGCGTGGCACGACGGCGACCACGTGTGGGAGCAACAACAACGGTCCCATTCCCGGGACCAGTGCATAACCAACCACCAGGGAAATCCAGAACACGCGTCACAAACCACACCGCCGATCTAAGTCGCAAAAGGGCACAAGACACGCCACACCCTGCACACAGGGAAGCGCATCACCTTCATGCCGCTTTCCCCAGCCGAAGCCGAGGCACCCCGTGCGCAGTCAAAGCGCGAAAAGCGAGGCGAGCCTGGCGAGGAGGGAGGCGTCGCCACTCACTTGTCGAGAAGCAGCAGAGGCGAGAAAGTGGCGGCGAAGAACATGACGCCCGTCAGGTAGACTGTGCTAGTGACCAGCACGGCGCAGATGGTGCCCACCGGGATCGACTTCTGCGCGTCGGCCAGGTCGCCCGAACGGTTCGAGCCGGCCATGATACCTGCCGACGGAGACGCACGCGGTCAGGCCGGGTCGGGCCGGGTAGGGTACGGTGCGGTGCGGTGCGGTGCGGTGCGGTGCGGTACGGCACGGCACGGCACGGCACGGCACGGCACGGCACGGCACGGCACGGCACGGCACGGCACGGCACAGCACAGCACGGCACGGCACGGCACGGCACGGCACGGCACGGCACGGCACGGCACGGCACGGCACGGTAGGTCGGGTCGGGGGGTCGGGTCGGATCGGATCGGGTTGTTTCGTGTCGGGCCGGTTCAGGTTGTGTCGGGTCAAGCTGTGAAGGGATTGGCCACGTCAGATTAGGTCAGGTCAGGTCGGGCCGCGTCAGACGCGCATCTGATCACGGTCTGATGGTCTGATCACGTCTGATCTGGTCTGATCACGTCTGATCGGCGGTCAGATGCAGTCACGTCTGGTCTGATCCGGCGGTCTGATCACGTCGCAGAGCCACGCGAACAACGGGACAAGCCGCGTAACAAACAGGCACGCGACGGGTCCCGACCAGGTCGAGGACACCGGAAGAAGCAGCCAGGATGTCACAAAGGGTGGCAGTCTAATACCAGGAACGGCTGGCTCTCATCCAGGCTACTCGGCGACAGTCACACATACATAGGCATTCAGACAGGTCGTCGACCGAAGGCGTGACCGGGCCCGGATCAATGCAGGCTTCCACGAAACGCAGCCAGCCCGCCTGAGAGCACCGCTCTCAGTCCAGGATCGCGGGCTCGACCACGCGCCTCGGGCTTGGATGCATCAGCGACGTCGGATCCGCCATCCGGGTTCGGCGGCTCGGATCACGTGCGATCGCCAGCTGATAACGACCACTGAGGGCACCCGATCTGGGCCAAATTGCATGCCGACGTCATCGCCGAAGTACCTGGTGGTTCGTTGCTGAGCAACCGCATTTCCTCGGTTCCGGAGTCAGCGGTACGTTCGCCATCAAGGCCACTTTGCTCTCCGTCTGGTGTAGGGTTCTAGCTCAGCGCAGCCTCATTTTCGAAGCAAATGACGAAGCGGGGACTTTTTGTGAAATCTTTACATTTCACCTGAATGTTCAATAATCTGGCAATACTCTGCTGTAAGCTACAAATTAAATCGTGTTCAGTTTCGAGCAGCCTGATATTCAATTCAGTAGCCATCCAAGTGGAGGTGAGACATTGAATCATTTACAGTTCCCAGGAACGGAATACTGAAAGATGCTAATGGTAAGCTATAGGACAGGACTGCTGCTAAAAGCTTAAAGCCCTTGAAACGCATTCCTCGGAATGCGCCTTGACACGCATTCCTCGGAATGTCACAGCCCAGCTGGGGCCGTCAATTCCGTTGAAATACTTTAACTCATCACAAAGACACGTGAAGGAAGGACACTGCGAGAACGCCACGAGCCACCGCTTCACCACCAAGCGCGTGCTCTTGACCGCAGCGACCCAGTCTGTCGCGTTGTGTGTGTGCCTGCATCACCGGACGGCGGTGCGCCTGTTTTTGGCCGCCGCACCAGACTGGATCACGCTCTCCGGTGGCAATATCCCGAGCGTACATAATCATGGCACGGCGCGCCTACAGAAGCGGGCGCGACGGGCGCGGCAACAGACGGCAGTCGATGAGGAGCGGGCGAGAGGGCCGGGCCGGCGTCTAGCTGCGGGGGCGGGCCCGACCTCGGCCCACCAGCGCAGCCCAGGCGCCGGGCGGCGCGGCACACACATACACAGGCCGGAGCCGTGCCCGGGCCAACAAGGCCGCCCAACGCGAGACTAAACCGACCATGCCTCCGGGCGCGGCGAACGGCACGCATCGTCTCGCTGCCAACCGCACCGCACGGACACCAGCCGCCGGCTCCGAACGTGACAGCTGAGGAGCGCTCCCCGACGCAGCAGCAGCCTTGACGACAGCCGAGTGACACCCCGTGATTGTCAGGCGGAGACACCCCGACAGTTTTGTCAGGATGGTCTCAGGGCAAGCATTTTCCAATCCGACACCGCCGCGTGCGGCGTGCAAGGCCGCATCAGTGCTCGTGCCGATTAGGCAACTCCTATCGACCTGAACACGTAGTCCTTGTAGGCATAACATACGCTATGAATTAAGCTTCAAACGCACACAGCGCAGCTTAACCACTGCAGTGCCGGTGTCCCGATTAAAGACATCAGTCGAGTTTATGCGTAAACGGACTACATCAGCCATTCTAAAAGCACTTGTATGCCACTTATACGGCTACGGAATGAAAATAAAAGCATCAAGCCTAATTTAGTTCAAAACTAATCAAGCAATCCATTCGTAATGTTTTCTATCAACATATTTTTGCATCGCAAAGACAAATTACATACCAAATTATTTCAACAGCTAAGGTACTTTTAAATTGCGGAAGGATTGAAACGAGTTTTTCATCAAGAATGGAATAAACTTTCGGACCATCATCCTCGCCTGGCGTGTTGGTATGTGCGGAGCATTTCGGCCATTTAATCCACCACACGTCGCCAGGTGTTATTGAGTTTTGAGGACGACTGGATTGGTGTCTAGCTTTCAGCCACGTAGCGTCACAAACCCAAGTATCTATTTTGTATCGCTGGGACTCAAGCCGGGGCCTTCTGCTTCCGGGTCCAGCGCTTTACCAACTGACCTAACCGTGAGTCCTTCCAAAAACCATCCAGTCCTCCTCACGATCCCGTAATGTCTGGCGACGGCCAGCGAGTTCACAGCTCGAAACGTTGTGTGTATTCTAAAACACCAGACGGGGACGGCAGTCCTAACAATAATTGCATCGTGATACTTTTACGACTCGTTTCATCAGCTGCTGCTTTAAATCAGCTTAAATGCAGGGCTCAGCCTGTTTCACTTGTTGAGTGGCAATGAAGGTAAGCATATATTTCTAACCCTGTTTCATCTCGACGCCGTAATGTTCTCGCTACGACCAAGTGTGGGCCACACGAAGAACCACCCGGAGGCATGCCGTAACTTTCAACCGGGGGCGAGCTGTATTCTTTCCAGAGTAGAGGGGGAGAGAGATAGAGAGAGAGAGAGAGAGAGAGAGAGAGAGAGAGAGAGAGAGAGAGAGGAGAGAGAGAGAGGAAGAGACAGAGACAGAGACCCAGAGAAGAGACAGAGAGACAGAGACAGAGACAGAGACGAGACAGAGACCAGACAGAGACAGAGACAGAGACAGAGACAGAGACAGAGACAGAGACAGAGACAGAGACAGAGACAGAGACAGAGACGAGACAGAGACAGAGACAGACGACAGAGACAGAGACAGAGACAGAGACAGAGACAGAGACGACAGAGACGGACAGAGACAGAGACAGAGACAGAGACAGAGACAGAGACAGAGACAGAGACAGAGACAGAGACAGAGACAGAGACAGAGACAGAGACAGAGACAGAGACAGAGACAGAGACAGAGACAGAGACAGAGACAGAGACAGAGACAGAGACAGAGACAGAGACAGAGACAGAGACAGAGACAGAGACGAGACAGAGACAGAGACAGAGACAGAGACAGAGACAGAGACAGAGACAGAGACAGAGACAGAGACAGAGACAGAGACAGAGACAGAGACAGAGACAGAGACAGAGACAGAGACAGAGACAGAGACAGAGACAGAGACAGAGAGAGAGAGAGACAGAGACAGAGACAGACAGAGACAGAGACAGAGACAGAGACAGAGACAGAGACAGAGACAGAGACAGACAGACAGACAGACAGACAGACAGACAGAGACAGAGAGAGACAGAGAGAGACAGAGAGTGACAGAGAGACAGAGAGAGACAGAGAGAGAGGGGGGGGGGGAGAGACGGAGAGAGAAATAGACGTGATACATTGCGGATCCACCTGATCGCTCACATAACCCTGAATGGCCCGATCGGCCGGTATCGACCGAGCCATGAGATGCCTGATCCTCGAATCTCGACGCAGCCGGCCCGGCGCGAGTGTCAGCTCAGCGCGAGTATCAGTTCGGCGCGGCCAGGCCGGCCATCACGCGCTGCCCCCGCGTCTAGCCCACGGCTGATCGCCAGCAACCGGCGGCAGTGGAGGCGGCGACGATCGCAGCCCATGGCGCCCGGCAGGCCGCGGAACGGGGGTAACGAGCAGGGGGGCGGTCGCCGGTCCGCAAGGCGGGGTTCGATGTCAAGACCACACCGCCGTGTGGACGGCGGTGTGAAGGCTACAGCACAAGTTAGATGAGATTGGATTTTCATTCGTCAAAACATCAATGCATAATGATGGGTATGGTATCCGCTGCGAAATGTACACCGTCTACGAGACAGGCCACACTGTTCACCTGAAGAAATCGATGCCGGCTCTCCCTGTCATCACCGGCATCCTCCAAACTTATCACGTTAGATCTCCACTTGTATTTCATTGAGTTACTTCCCTGCTGCTTCAGGAAACATGGCTCTACGCAGCACCATTCAATCGAAATTGACCTGCAGGCAGCGATATCGCTGCTTTAGCGATACAGTTTAGTTCTAGTTTCGTTGGCGAAGCCCAGCTATTCGCCTCCAATCAAGTCTTCCTCCCCCACGCCTTTCGTTGAGACGGATGACTCCTACTTTACAAGACCACCATTTCCGTAAGAACGGTCTTACAACATACGCAAACTTAAATCTATTTGTTCTCTCGACATTTTCGTCAATTTGCCAACAGTCATTTCATCCATGCGCTATGGCTTAAACCCAAACACGCTATGTTTGATAACGACTGCTCCCGGGGAGCCCGTGGCCTTGACTTCGACACATAATGCTTCAACATCTCTCTCAGTTTCTCCCACAGCTGTCGTGACTGACGCAAATGGTCAATTTCCGCCGCGCTGATGACTTCCGTGCCCTTGTCCGTGAGATCATATTTCGCACAGCGCGGCGGCGACTGGGACCTGAACTTATCCGGCGTTCAGAACGCTACCGACCGCAGCCGTGCGTGACTTCATTACACAAAAGAGAGAGCAGAAGAGGGGAGGAAATGGAAAACTGAATGATACCACCAACCAATGGGAAGTGTGCGAGACTACGAGACAGCCGGTGGCAACAAGTATGCTGCAGCGCCCATCTCCTCCTCAAGATGTTGAGGGCGAGTTCACTGAATGCCCCGTGGGTATGTTCAGCACGTTCAGTGAGGGCCACCGATAGCACGCAAGGCGGCTGTCGTGTTTGTGGTGCTGTCGTGTTTCCCCTGCAACACTCAGAGCGTTTGTCGCTCAGAGGCCGGCAAAACCAGCTCATGCCTCAAGCGGATGGCCAATGCAAAGCTTGATTTTCCAGTCCATTGAATGATGAGCCCAATGCACGTTCCGAGGTTGATACGACCTCTTAAATCGCATGCGATGGACAGTTGACGGATTTCACAAAGCTCATTATGCCGCGTTGCGTGCGATTTCTGATCAACGACGCACATCGTGTGCGTTTCAGCCTTTCCTCGTTTTACCGACGTTTGACACCATCGAAGCTGGATCAGCCCCACCCCAGTGCACAGGATTATCCGGTCGCTCCAGTCCGGTCGCAGAGGATTATCCCACTACGTTCTATGAAACATGCAACGACGATCTGGCAACCTTCAATTAAAGCCCCGTCGCTGCTCCGCCGCGAGAAGTCTGTCAGACTGCGCCTTGACAAAACTTCCGCCGGGCCGCTCGCGCATGAATACCAGTGCGGTCCCCTAACGAGACTCTTGTTCTCTGAATAGCCCGCCGACCACTTTTGCCGACAGCCCGAAGGCCGTAAGAACGCCGGCTCCGGATCAGCCAACGCCCCGGGGAACGGCGCGGCAGTCTAAAACAAACGTGCCGATGGCGTCTCGGCGCCGGATCCGGCTCCGCTCCAATGCCACCGCGTTTGGAGCGGGCGGACCTCGGCGGCGCGTCCTGCCTGCAGAGGCGGCACCTGGCGGCGTCAGCGGCGCGACCTGACGGGCGACGGACCCGGCGGCCCCAGCGGCGAGCCCTGCGGAGCCCTGGAGCCGGGCCGTGCTGCCGGCAGAGGCGGCACCTGGCGGCGTCAGCGGCGCGACCTGACGGGCGACGGACACCGCGGCCTTAGCGGCGAGCCCGGCCCGTCACCAGACGGGCCGCCGCTGGAGCCGGGCGCCAGCCGGCGGCGGCCGGATGGCAATGGTGCATTGATCTCCGCCGGCGGCAGGTGTCCGGCCGACGGCCGGCGGCGGATCATCCCACCGCTCGTCATCCACACGGCTGACGACTGATGACGTCAGACCATCCAGACCAGTAACGACCGACGGAGGTCCGGCCGTGAAGACCGCCCTCCCGCGCAAATACGTAAATAGCGCGGGATGGCCGAGCCGCAGCACTGGATGACACGGAAGCGATTCTACATGATGCCGTCTGGCGAAGTGGTCGGATGCATCGTGATCTGTTGAAGTTTTCCAAATTTGGGACTTCGGATAGAAAATGAAAACTTTTACGTACGATTTCGGGCCCTCAGTTTAGGACTTTTCGTAGTTTCCGTCTTTCATTCATGGATCAATGGAATTCCCCTGATCCTAGCCTCTCTCGGGGACCTGATGAAAACATTTCAGCCTCGATGGAATTTCTTTATAAGGCAACTAAGACACACTGAAATAGCATAGCGGCGGTAGCTGGATGACGGATCCAGGGTGCGAGCAGCGACTCCCGCTCCCAACGCACCCCGAGCCTGCACACAGTAATCTGCACCACCACGCAAGCTATTCAGAACGAAGAACAAGTGACGGCCAGCACGAGCTGGGCACTGGCCTCGGACGTGTAAGGCTAGGAAGCCTGGCCTTACCAGCACCGATCGCCCCGGCTACCGGCGGCGAGCATAAACGCCACCGGCCTGGCAACCGATCCCCATCTAGCCCGAAGCGCCCAGGCGACACGCGCCACTCCCCCAGCGCTTCCGACGGCTCAGACATGTGAGCAAACACTCGCCCATTCCCATGTGCATAGTGACGCGTGCATTCTCGTCCACCGGACGGGTTCAGCTCCAGTTCCGGCCCCGCCCCTGGATCGCCTGGCGACGGGCGTAGCTACGCTGACGACGCATGGATCAGCTGCCCAGCCGCGGACAGCGCCTGTCAACGGGCGCAACCCACGATCGACCGGCCGTCGGTGCTTTGGGGAGGAAGCGATCTCAATGGCCAGCGCGCCGCCAGTGCCGAATTGAAGACTCAGGCCGCAAGCCAACTCACCGGTGACTGAGGGGAAGAAGATGCCGATGAGAACGGTGAAGGACGTGGTGATGTCAGCCATGATCTGGTTGTACTCGCCCATGCCCAGGTTCTTGGCCGCCACCGAGCTGCCGTTCTCCGTAACGTAGTTGTTCTTCCGAGGGTAGCGCGAGTACAAGTTCTCTGCGGCGAGGGGCGAGCCATGGTCAGCGGTGTACTTCGAAGGGAGCTTGAGCGACCGGGACTGCTGGCGACGGCTGCTCAATTGGAACGACGCCCGGGCCGATGTGACATACTTGACAGCCGACAGCGGGCCGGGGACGAGACACTCAACACCCCGGGCCATTTCGGGAACATGACAGTGAAGCCGCCGGAAGCGTTCGACTTGGAAGCCACATCGATTCTCGGTACTGCAGACAGTGCCGTCCCGCACTCGACAGCGGTCCAGACAACTTTTGACGCGAGCACCACCGCAGCACGAGTCCTCACTCGGCAATTCCCGCGCTCCCCGCCTCACCCGGTGCGGGAACTACGTCCGCCGCACCAGGCCTTCCCGCCGCCCGTCGCCCACTGCACGCGGCAAAGCCATCCGCAGCGCGCACCAGCCACTCGCCGCCGCCTAGTCCCGGTCACACAGACGCTGACTGGCCGCCCCAGCGGGATCCGAGGCCAGCGTGGGCACCGATCAGACAGCCATCCACCGAGGACGTCACTTCGACGCCCGGTCCCCACTCCACACACGCCTCGCGAGCTCACGGCCCACCGGCCCCGCCCCACGCCTGCTCGAGTCCCCGGAGTCCGTCCCTCCGCCTACTCGCAGCGACCGCCTCCGCCGCCGCTCACTCTGAAAGGAGCTGCTGGCGATGCCGGCGATGCCGCGCTCGTAGTAGGTCTCGTTGAAGTGGTCGGCGAAGTAGTAGTAGCAGCCGGTGCGGTTGTGCAGGTCGAGCGGCGACTTGCAGAACGTGGGCCACAGGTGCTCCGGTGTGCAGGCGGACGCCGACTTGTTCACCGGGTCCTCCTTCAAGAGTCGCTCGCCCAGTCGACACGTCCTGCCCGGGGGGAGGGGGGAGGGTCAGTTAAGTCAGCCGGCCGTTGACTGGTCGGCACGCGTTTCTCAAATACCGCGAGGATGCCCGGAGGTGCGTCGGGACAAAAACACCATACATAAGCCAGCAGCTGACTCTCACTAAGCGCAAGCGAAATCCCCGTATGATATACACAACCAGTTTGAGCACATCGATACGAACACATCCATTCAAGACCTTAATGGCTGATTGCACAAACCCTGAGGCGAAAGCACGACACCAGCTGACGTTGTCATGATTCAAAACACCAAGACCATGTGGTGAGGATACATGTATATATATATATATATATATATATATATACATACATACATACATATATATATATATATATATATATATATCATAATGATCCACAACGCAGACAAATCAGCCCAGTACGGCGTAGTTCAATGAAGCTCTGGCATGACCATTCCTCCTGGACCACAACGATTACACGCTCAAATTCACAGCTATACAACCCAGCAAGCTCCAGGGATAGAGTTCATGATGCTCACCACTAATCTCCGCTGGCCGTTATTTTCCGAACCATCGCACCAGCACTGAGCAGATCTCAGCGAGCTGCTTTGCTGCTGCCTCCCGGGACGCAGTTTACCGACTATTTCTCAGACCGGCACTTTTTCAGTGTGGCAATCGGATTAAAGACCATACTATACCGACGAGAAAGCTAGACACGCATTTTCTCGCTGCTGGAAAGGCTTACTGCTCCCCGAAGATCCAGATCAAATACGCGAGCGAGACTGGCGATCTATTGGCACATAACGGAAATGAGACTTGAAATATGGGAACCTTAAAAGGATATTCCATCGCGGAGCTAAATGACAGATAAAACATTATATAAGACCGGCACAAATCAAATCGACAGGTTTGGACCCGGACTATCGAGCTGGCTGTAGACGGAATGATCACAAGGCATGAGGAGCCATCCCATCTGCTAAGGAGAGCGTCTAGACAGTGGCAAAAACTACCGACCCATGGACGGCTGACGTCGGATGCACGATAAGCGATTGATGCGCCTGCGCCGCAAGGACCTGGGAGAGCTGCGTGCCCGCCTGACGAGGATAGGACAGCCTCGACAAAATATCGGCGCGGTCGTCGCTGCGGTGCAGCTTTCAGATCCTGCCCGGTCTGGCTTGGTCGAAAAGCAATCGTCACGGCCAAGGGCCGCGCAATTTTCAAGCTATTCTGATATCATCTGACGGTTCTACACGCCAATCCTGAAGCCAACACATCGCCAAGTCAAGGCATACTTACTTGCCGTATCGTTAATGGGGCTTTATGGAGGCAGTTGGAAACACGGAATATCTTTACATTATTTTAAAACGTGGCTCCGACTTTTCGCAGTATTTCAAGAGCTGGAGGGAGGCTCAAACGGATTGTACGGGCTTTTCCATAAAAACACACGATTTCCATAAAGCCTGTCTACGTTCTGGCGGTGACAAGCACCAAGATAGCGAGTTTCATAAGCAGTGGTATATATCTGATAGTGTTCGGATTTATTTCCAAATAAAAAGCCAGGATTAATTTAGTCTCAGGAAAAAGCGCATCATCTCCTGACAAACCGAGCCGTAAAGTAGTGAAATATGACAAAGCGCTCCAAAACAACCACGTAATGGAACTGTTCCTCGGCTTAACGTACAGGCAATGCGGTCCATCGCTTGCAACCGAGTTCACCGAGGCCATGATCGACATGAGGCACGTTTCCAATTCAGCCCGAGCATGTCGTCAAGCTTATTCGGGACGGGCCCACCGACCAAGCAGACCGCATTCATTTGCCACGGACCTCACATAAAAAAATCAATATCGACAACAAGCGCGCCCAAACTGGGAAAGCATCGAACTAGTCCAGGCGTCCCGAGCACAGCCACGGAGCGCCGCACGCGGCCGACCATGTCTGATGACCGGGCGCGACCAGCGGCCGCGCCGGTCGCTGCAGCTCGCGCAAACTCACATGAGCGCGTCCGATCCGTGCACGTTGACGAACATGCCGACGTAGACGGAGAGGATGCTGCCGAGCACGCAGACCAGCGCGATGGTGGCGAAGATGTTGACGAACTTGACGCCCACGAACACGATGGTGGCCATGATGAGCAGCAGGATGGTGCCATACAGTCGGAAGTTGTCGAACTTGTTGGCGTCGTCTGATATGTCGCTGATGGCCATGCGCGGCTCGATGTACAGCTGCCGAGCGACGCAGAACGCTGGTGAGACGGCGCCTTGCCGGCTCCGGCGCGAGGCAGCGGACGCGGCCCGGCACGCTCCCTCTGGTGGCAGCGCGCCCCGCCACCCAACAGGAGGTTCATCGCGGGCGAGTTACAGCCGGGGGCCGCAAGCCGTGGTACGCACTGCAAGCTGTCGCCCCGCACTGAACAGCACAACGGGGCAGCGCGCTGCTTCCGCGCCGATGCTGAACAAACTGCACAGCGGTCAGACAAGCTTTTTCTGATCAACCGCCGCAACTACACCGGCCAGTTGCAGGCCCCAGTTGGAGTTCTCGTCAGACACGGTGTTCGGCCCAGGTAACTCAGCGAACGTTCTCATCAGACACAGCCAGCGACAGGCTACCACCTACCAGTATACTACCGGTATGAGTAGGCTGCCACTAGTACCAGTAGACTACCACTTACCAGTAGAATCTCGATGGCGCCGATGATGTACATAGCTGAGGCGAAGGTGGTGCCCAGGTAGAAGAGGATGCCGACGGCGCCGCCGAACTCGGGCCCGAGCGCGCGCGAGATCATGAAGTAGGAGCCGCCGCCGGGCACCACTCCGTTCGTGGCGATGGCCGACATCGAGATCGACGTGAGCAGCGTCTGCAGCGGCGGCCAAGGCGGAGGCGTCACATGTGTAGAGCACGCAAGCGGACAGCCTACACGCAGCGGCCAAACACGCTGGCGACGGACGCCACCGGCCGACAAACGACTGCCGCGCGCCGCAGAGAGCGGGCCCGGCAGGACTCGCGGTGCCACGCGGGGAAAACAGGTGCACACTGGGAGCCGACACAGGGCGGGTCACAGCCAGGGCTCCAGCGGGCGGAAGCCTGGGGCTGGGCGACACCGGAACTGGGGTGTCGCAGACGGAAGCTGACGCACAGCGCACACCGGTGGCACGCCCGAGACTACCAAGCAGCACGCACACGCAGCACGCAGCACGCAGCACCACGCAGCACGCACACGACAGGAGCAGCTCCGAACGTCCGACAGCAGCTCCGAGCGCGGACAACAGCAGCTCCGGACGCGGACAACGGCAGCTCTGGACGCGGACAGCGGCAGCTCCGGAAGCGGACGACAGCAGCTCCGGACGCGGGCAACGGCAGCTCCGGACGCGGACAACAGCAGCTATGGACGCGGACAACAGCAGCTCCGGACGCGGGCAACGGCAGCTCTGGACGCGGACAACAGCAGCTCCGGACGCGGACAGCAGCAGCTCCGGACGCGGACAACAGCAGCTCCGGACGCGAAACACAGCAGCTCCGGGCGCGGACAATAGCAGCTCTGGACGCTACCGGCAGCAGAGCTCCCAGCGCCGACGGCGGCGGGTCGCCCAGCCGACGCCGGCCGGTGGTCCACCAGGCCCCCATTGATCACCGGCCGGCCGGGCCGGGCAGCGGCCGCCGAATCACTGCCGCCCAGCGCCGGCACCCCTGACAAATGGCTGCCGCACCTCCAGTGACGCACGGCACACAGCGGGCTGTGTCCATTACATGGCCCAGCTATTTACACGTCGCATGCACGTTACGTCGGGACTAATTGAACACCTTTATCGCTAGAAAAAGGAAAATGCTTACAAGCGGATCTGTAGGCCGTAGGCCATCTCCGGTGCTGTGAGAACGCGCTTGGGAGGAAATACGAAAAGATTTAATCCACTACCATCCGGTCATTAGTCTCATTCAGATAGAAGAAAACAAATGTAGTGTCCGGGACGATTTCCGACGCTCCTATCTCGCGCTTGGGAGACACGTTCGGCAATTATCCGCGCCGACAAACAGAAAATGTAGTGAGTCTGGGAACAGCTAGCAATCCTATAATGCGTTTATAATGGAAGTCCGCGACTATCTGTTCCACGCTCCAGCGGATTGGCATTACTTGTAATACAATAATTTCAGCACGAACATACCAGGTATTAACAGTGAGGAACACCGGAATAGAATAGCAATCAGCTCACGAAACAATGAGCTCATGGCAGCAGACTCAAACAGCTTGAGGCCCTAGCATGAGGCATATCCGGGATGAGTGTAAGCAGATTTTACACATCCTCACCTTGTAACCAGTGTATACACAGTGTATGCATAACATATTGTACATATACATATATATATATAATATACATACGCAAATATATACGCAATTCATACATACATAAAACATATCAGTGCCTGGAGGCTTGTGGAGCCCAGTTCGTTCTGGCCCACAGTTGGTTTTACTACTTTTCACATTTCAAGTCCTGTGGAGTCTTGACAGATATCAAACCACACACGCTTTGTGAGTAATGGGGCGTAACCACGGGGAAAATTTGCAGTGCAAGTTTAAGTTCATTTCATTAATGAATCATTTCAACAAGTGGCTTAGTGTTTGATTCGGCACAATTACAATAGCAGAAAGGGCGCAATATTACAACATGGTAAACCGCGACCGCATCCGCACCTCATCAATCATCCCGCCGTTCACACAATTTCGTCAAAAACAAAATCATTAATTCTCAGAACATGTTACACGGGGGCAAGCAAACAATGTTACTCAACGGCGAGCACGCGATGATAATACAACGGGACCGTCCAGGTCGTCCAGTCTGGTGGAAATCTTGCGGGTAGGGGAGGCAGCGATGGTAAGCGGCGGGCGGCTCCAGAACAAGACCACCGAAAAAATCGAAGGCCCCGCCCGCATACGGGGCGAAAGGTCACTGAACTGGCTCGACAACTCCATTAACCGCTTAACACAGCAGAAATATCAGCGGCCATTAGTTGAAAGCTGTCAGAGCAGGCGACGTTCATTTGTCACAATGGCCTCGGAATTTTGGTAACCGCTGAACTGGATAACGGCGGGCAGCCGCCAGGCAGACCAATTAGACGGCCTAGGCCCGACACCAGTCGCCTCTTGTTCGCCATTTCTTGCAATGCAGTACATACATATGGCTGTGCTACGAAACACCGCCGACCACCCTCACCAGACCAGTTTGATCTACGGAAGGTATGCGCTGTACCGAATGGTGTTTATCATGAACATTCTATCCATGATAAAATGCTATTTGTCTTACTACTTCTCGACCAATAATTCGCACTACAAGACCATTAAAGATAAACCAACAAATTGGACCTCGTCTTTGTGACTTGGCGTCTTCGACGCGCGGAGACTACTGCAACGACACTTGACGCCACCAACCTAGCACAGCAATTTCAGTTCAACGGACATATTACCAAAAGTCCCCACCTGACCCATGACTGGGCCGCCCCGGGTCAGCGCGGGTCACACGGTCCGCTACCAATTGGCTGTCATGGAGGGATCATGATGGAGGGATGAGCGCGGCTTTTGGGACGCGAATCCACATGTCTGCCACAAAGCTGTCAGCTGTCCGACCGTCTACCAGCTGAGCTACGGGAGGCGGATGAAGGACACGCGTCATTCTCTGTCGCTGCATCAGCTGAACTGCAGGGACGGAAACCAAACAGCACATCCCCGCTCAGTCCAGAGTCTAAAACAATTCCGAGGTTGCAATTCCGACAACAATTCCTACCTTACAGCACGCCCGCGCTCTGCGTAATGTATAGAGCAATCCTGCTGTGGACAGAGCACTTTCCACACCGCCACCTCAGAGCCGCGTAAGATTCCCGTCGGCACGCTGCCTCCAGACCACGAAAAAACAAAGTGTAGACTTCACGCCTAGCAGGCGGGACAAACAAACCATTACCTGGATGAGGACAAATGCCTCTGCAATGGCGCAGCTGCCGGGTCACTGCATCTTTTTGATGAGGGCAAATGCCTCTGCAATGGCATAGCATGCGGGTCACTGCGTCTTTTTGATGAGAGAAACGCCTCTATGATGGCATAAGCCGGGTCAATGCGCCCTTCTGAAGCGTTCTATTTGAAAAGGGGTAGTGTGACGCACTTCGTCAAATCTCTTCCATGAGGCGCAAGCGACTGCAACGATCATACTGCCGCACGGGAGCCATGGCGAAACGGGGATTCGAGCCCGCGGCCTTATTTGAGAGTCCAACGCGGTAAACGCTCGGCCATCGCACCCCCTGGTCACTGCGTCCAAATCTCATCCGTTTCCCCACGGTCTCCTGTCCTCCAGCATTCAGACAAAAACAGGATAACAAAATTTATCCAACCAAAATTCACTTAACAGCCACAGACCCTACGGATCCCAGCAGTCTAATCCACTAGCAATTTCCGAGGCAGGCCTGCAAAAGCCCGGGGAAAGCACCAACTAGAAGGCGGGCCAGTAAAAGCCCGGAGAAAGGCACCAACACCGGCGATCCGTGCGTCGCACTGCCCGGCTGCGGGCCGTGCTGACACCGGCGCGACCGGTGCTGGGGGGACGTGGATCCCCTCTGTTCAGTCGTGGGTGAGGGAAGGACGCAACAGGGGACGGAGGCGTCGCGCAGCGATAGGCCATCCACCAAGCGGCGACACACAGAGGCAAACCGTTCACCATACAACACACAGAGGAGGGCCGTTCACAACACAGCAGCACACAGAGGTGGACCGTTCACCACACGCAGTACACAGAGAGGGGACGTTCATCACACAGCAACACACAGAGGGGAACCGTTCACCACACAGCAGTACATAGAGAGGGACCGTCCACCACACAGCAGTACATAGAGAGGGACTGATCACCACACAGCAACACACAAAGTGGGACCATTTACCAGACAGCAACACACAGAGGGAGACCGTTCCCACACAGCAGCACAGGAGGTTCATTACATTACATCACGTTCATCTTCATTACATCACGCAGCAGCCCACGGAGAGGCACACTACTCACCACACAGCAGCACATGAGCACCACCATGAAGCTCTCCAGGGCGCCGGCCGTGCCCACGATCCACGTCAGCCGGATGAACAGTATGACGCCGAATATGTTCTGAATGCATGGAAGAAAGACGCCCAGCATCGTGCCTGAAAGGGGACGGGCGCCGCGTGAGGTGCGGCCCAGCATCGGCGGCGACGCGCAGCACGGACAGTGGCGGCACGCCAGGGGCGGCTGAAACCCCGATGAACTCGAGACAATAACTCCTGCTGTCGATGACAAACCACGGAAACAAGCTGGGCCATAATTCATGATGGCACGGCAAATAATAAAAGACCCGACGAAATATTTGAGGGCGATAATGAATAATGAGCTGATATACGCAAATGATGCATAGGAAAAATTCGTGTAGCGGGACAACGTTAGTCAACGCAGGAATCCGTGTTCAGTATACGCCGAACCCGTTACTTTGGCGAGCCTAATGCGCTCTCATAAACGAATTTGGAAAGGAATCCGAAAAGTGAGCGCATCGCAGAATACGGCGCATTAAGACAGCGGCCCAGTATATCCCGTCGCATTACTTTCCAATCTCAAGAACTTGGCCCTATTCCTAGGAACATCTGCACGCCTCTCAGGCGTTGACTTCCGCCGCAGCTGAAATCAACGCTGGGCGAAAATAGCGCGAGGAAGACAAAAGGCATCACACATTTCCATAATTAAAAATGCCGCCCGGCGACCGGGCTGGCTCTACTCGGTGAGATAACTCCACCGGTGTCGGTGCTAAGCTGGGCCGTGCTGCCAGCCTCTCAGAGCAGGCCAGACTGCAAGACGGGCGGCGCCGTCACGCTCGCGCGCGGCACCGTCCTGGACTGGGCGGCAGCGAGCGTGCCAGCGGCACCGTCCCGGACTGGGCGGCGGCGTGCCCGCGACACCGCCGGAGTGGGCGGCGGGAAGGATGCCCGTGGCACAGTCTCGGAGTGGGCGGCGGCGAGCGTGCCCTCAGCACCGCCGGAGTGGGCGGCGGCGAGCGTGCCCTCAGCACCGCCGGAGTGGGCGCGGCGAGTGTGTCCTGAGCGACCCGCTCCGCCACGGTACCACCCCGGACATTCCACCAATCTCATCAGCAACAGGCATACATTGTTCGGCGCATAACACGGCGACTAATCTAGCCAAGCATCAGGCGAGCTGGCTTTCCCCATCCTCAGAGTGTCCGACAGTGAAAGACACCAATTCAAGCCGAGCAATAGCGGCACCCTAGTACCCGGCATCCGTCGGAATACATGCTCGTGGATCACTATGCCAAGCATCAGCGGCCGGCCACTAAGGTATGCGCTTCATTTCCACCCTGGGCAAGCACAAATTGGGCTGAAAGTCACAAATGGACCAATCACACTGCTGATACAGATGGCGAGCGGCCACAGCCTTGCTCACGGTCTGGAATAACCGCGTCGCCGAGCAAAATTCGAAACAATGCGACGTCATGTAACGCGATAAATAACTGCTGAGCGCAATGATGATGTGTTTTATCTGGTGTTTTATGGCGCGCCGACTGAAGTGGCCACTTTGCGACCATAACGCTACTTTCTACATTAGTGAGGTGCGCAAATATTCTAAAAGTCACTGTCCTCAAGGGACAAAATAACTTTCGCTCTGAGCAAACTGAAGTCATCAACTTCATCACACAACGGCACAAACGACGCACGTGGTCTAAAGTGACGTTGTCATCCTTCAAACAATGTGAGCACAAATCGATCACCTGGACAGTAAGAAACGCGCCACATCGTGGGACAGAGCCCCATTGGCCCCATACAACAGGCAGCCATGGGTCTCCAGTGCGTGACCGATACGCAGTCTTCAGAGACCTTTTTCGTCTCACATTGCGAGAGCATCACACTTCCGAGACCACAATCCGGCTGGGACAATCCTAATGTGATTAGGGATCCAACACTAGGCTGAAGTGCTTACGGCCCAATCAAATGATTACAGGTGTATTAAAATGTCCCACGCAGGTGGACTCTGGACATAAAGAGCTAGGAGCAAAAAAAAAGAACAAACAAACAAAAAAAGCCTTCTCAGGGAATCTCTGGACATCAACATGTCACTAATGATCTTATTGAGAGCGTATTTCGCGAATATGGATGTGTGTATGCATGTATGTATGTATGCATGCGTGTATGCATGTATGCATGTGTGTAGTATGTATGTATGTATGTGTATACGCATATATGCATGAATATATATATATATATATATATATATATATATCTCTCTCTCTCTCTCTCTCTCTCTCTCTCTCTCTCTCTCTCTCTCTCTCTCTCCTCTCTCTCTCTCTCTCTCTCTCTCTCTCTCTCCTCTCCTCTCTCCTCTCTTCTCTCTCTCTCTCTCTCTCTCTCTCTCTCTCTCTCTCTCTCTCTCTCTCTCTCTCTCTCTCTCTCTCTCTCTCTCTCTCTCTCTCTCTCTCTCTCTCTCTTTCTCTTCCCTGCAACCTGTACCAATCTACTGCAAACAAAGTGCAGAAAGGGCAGGAGCAATAAAATAATAACATCAATATGATCTGAACAATATGAACGTACCACCAAGACTTCCGCGATCGCAACAACAGCACGTCAAAGGACGTCAAGGAAAAATAAGGTAACATAGCATACAACCACGCCCCGTGTCTGGAGCCGCGTCTCTCCACCACAAACCGCATCTCTCAAAGCTCGCGTGGGAATGCTCTGGCCCAATAACGTCAAATAACGGCCACCGCCACTGTCGAAGTAGTTGGCGGCCGGCAAAGCTGACATTCAGCCATGCAAATTCAATACGGTGTCGTTTCAGTTTTGCTCCTCTAGCTGACAGCATGACAATCGCATTTGACTAACATCACCCATAGCTTCCCGGCCACTGTTAGCTCTGCCATTTCCATTTCCACAGGCGGGCGTTAGCCAGACAAGATGGCGGCGCGCCTGGGGGGCAGCGGAGAAGATGACAATTTGATGCTGAAAAGACAAACGTCTCCCGAGCGTCTCTTTTGTGTCTGCAGCCAGTGGCCCGCCAGTTACGCCGAATAAAACAACTCGGTTGCAAAAACCGCCCGGTGCTGTTTGATTTCTCCAGAGAAAGAAGAAGTGAAACCGGGTGGAGATAGCACAGATTAGTCCTGTTCCAGCTCCAATGTTTTGCAAAATGCAGGAAAATGCCGCCTGAAAGTCACAAGCAATTACAGACGTCCCGTCACATACCCGTGTTATAATTTCGCCCCAAACTGGACGATAACGTGATCGGCAAAAACGCTAGGAGGTCGAGAAATCTGATCACCGACAGAGGCGGCTCTAAAAAGGCAGCCTCTAAATCAAGCTACATGAGACAAACCAGACAACAAAGTGGTACGTCGCGCGCACCCTAACACAATGCCTTCGAGACGCACGAGCCGCTGTGAACAGCGCTCCGAATCGGCAACTGTGAAATTCTGGTTACGGACCAACACTGCGCACATCACTGGTGCTGTGGCCATGACCGCTGGCTGGGATTTCACACTTCATGACCGATGCAATTTGATGCGTCAGTACACAATCTAACCACGTGCTTCGAGGCGTCGGGGAGGCGCATCGCCAACCCCCGTGCACCCTATGCGCCGCTCGGTGTCACGCGGTCCTTATCGACGGCGTCACCACGGTCCTGTTCCCCAGGGATCTGCGGCGACCCTCGACACGTGCGACGGCGATCCGGACCGGGAGCGTGCGACCATCCGGCCGCCGCCGGGAGCGGCCCGCAGCCCACTCGACGCCCTGTTATGCAACAGCTACGAGATGGGTCGGAGCGCGGGTCGCGGAGCACATCGTAGAGCGGGCTGACGGCCGCTGGTGGGCCGACCCGGCCAATTCCCGGCGGCATCTCAGAGACGGGCGCCGCCGACGCGCTTCACACGGCCCGCCGATGACCCGACGGGCCGCCCCGACCGGCGGACGACCGGCGGAGGCGCGCCCACAGCTCGAGGCAACATCAGCTGCGGTCCGACGCGCCGCCGGCAGCGGGAGATGCCGGACCGGCAACCAATCGTCCGATTTCGGTCGCGCTCGGCGGCAGAACTTGGGTCGTTTCATCTGTTTATACGCGGCGCGGAGAGCGGGCAAAACTTGAGACTTCGAATTGGGCGCCGTTGCTGGTTTTACGAGCGGAGCGGCAGTTCCATCACCGACACAGTTGTCGCCCACTGCGGGCGGCGATCACGCCCGGCAGTCGTCCGCCAACAGATAACCCGGGGATCCGCGCACGCAAAGCCAAACAACGGCGCTGAGCGGCACACAATCTTCCGACGGCGGTCAATGAACTGGAGCGCACATCAGAAGCGCGTCGTACGTGCTTCGACCGTCAGAAGACGCCTCACGTTTCATGGCGTGGCTATACCAACAGCGATCTCGGCAGCTCACTCACGTGAGCTCGACGTGCCGCCCCGCCGCCCGCCGGCGTCTGCGTGGTCGCACTCACCGAGCTTGGTCTGTCGCCGCACCGGCTTCTGGTCATGGTCGTTGGCCGACGGGATGATGGCGTTGTAGTTGGCCAGCGAGTGGACCAGTGACACCACGCGTGGCCGCTCTTCCAGCTCCTCCTGTGGGACACGGCAGCGACGTCAGACGCCCTAAAAGTCCCCAGCGGCAACATCATATCAGTCGTCAGTACTGGGGCGCTATGTTTATGTGCCGTACCGCGATTTCGGCTTCCCGATCACGCTATTCAAAGGCACAAGTGCTCTCCAGCCGAGAGGCACCCCAAGGCTACCTTCTCGTCGTGCCTGGAGCGGAAGAGTTCCGGCCAACCGAGCCGCAACACGGCCGTCGCTCATCTGCCCCTGAAGCCACCCACTGTCGCCGGGGCCCTCCGTTAATATCCGGGAACGGCGGCTGTTCAGGGCGGCCGGGGTCACTCTAGACTGGCGTGCCGCGCATCCTGACCTACCGCTCGCCCAGCCGCGCCGCTGGTGGCGCTACAAATCTACCGCAAGCGTGACGGTGGACCCGGCAAGCGGGCATTATGTCTCGGCCGCTTCCAAACCATCGCACGCCCAGGGATTGAACGCGGCAGTGTTCTCAGGGCGCAGGGCACGTCTGTCTTTGATGTAATGAGTGCGGGACGGCCGGACATCGACGGCAGACAAGGGGAAGGGGGGGGGGGGGCACACTTGTACGCCATCAAAGCCGAGCCGATTCAGCGGCCGGGCTGATCCAGTGCTTGAGCGGGATTGAGCATTGTTCGGTTCGAGCCAGGGAGCGACCGGGCGGCGCTGCTCGCCCGCGACCGACGGCCGTGAACTACGCCGGCCTAACGACCCGAGCAGCTTGACGCGTCGTAATTATTGCACAGTTAGCTTCAAACGCATCAGAGTTCGGTTCGGCTGTGACACAGCCCGCCGTCAGCCGAGTGATTTAGTGGCCCAAGTTGCGGCGGCGTAGTTCGACTCGCAGCCTGTCACGAGCGCCGGTCAACTCGCAGTGCGCGCGTGTGTGGGGCCGGAGCGGCGCGGCGGCGCCGACGCCCGCCCGGTGAGTGTTTCGCCCGGTGGCTGAGCAGCTGATAGTCCACGGTCGTGCCCGTATTGATCAAGTCTGAAGCTCGGCGAACGGCGGACAAAAGACGCGCCCGCTCGTCCGATCCTCAGCGCCCCTTGATCACGTTAGCCTGAAAGCCGACGAGTGCGGCGCCCGGCAGATGAATAGCCGCAAAAACGGCATTCCTGGAAATGACAACGCCGGCCGTGAATGGCGAGCGGTTCAGACCGCCTGGAATGATAATGCTACTCGTCTGCCGGCGCGTCGTATCGGACGGCCGCTTCCTGAACGCGACATGCGGGCGCCCGACGCATTTAAAGGGCGAGGCTTCCCGGCACACTGGGCTTGATGGCAATGCTCCAAACAGCCTGTTTGGCATGCTCGCTAGGGAACGCTGGGACTAACCTTCACGTCCCACATGCGTCGACTCGCAGCGGCATTCCACTGACATAATTTGGTAACACACTTCTGCAAAACTAAACGGAAATGGCCTCAACGTGGTTCACACTGAGCCCGACAAGCGCCGTTCGCCATCCCACAGCGACTCTGCAAAGCTTTTTCCCAAACTTTAATATCTGAGCGGCCACATCGGCACACTTTGAGCAGCCATTTCTAACCGTGTTCCGCACACTCAGCGAGTGCCGTGATCGTGCCCGCCCGTTGCTGAGTTGCGCGTCCAAAGTTCAGCAGCTTCGCGGGGTGCGGGGCGAGATAAACCTCCGCGCTGCTCTTTCCTCTTGGGGCCATCCAGCGCCGCCTGCTTCCAGCCAAACGTACTGCATAATATTGCCAGCAAGGCAATTACTCAGAATGCGCCACCCATATGAAACGTTGTTTTTCACAAAGGTTAAGCGCTTAATCAGAGGTAGGAAAAAACAATACAAGCAGCCCAAACCATGCGAAGATTAGGGGAGCGTTATTCGTGTGCGCAGAAAAGTGCTCTGAAATTCAAATGTATGCTGTCAAGCAGAGTGACATGCCATCTGCACCACACCAGGCAGAACGACGGGGAAAAATACACGGAACGTTTGGATCGCCGTCAGGAAACCCTATCCAGCAATCCGTGCAGCCTGTAACACTGGCAGCCGCAGGTTGGCACCAAGGCCCTGCGGGCAAGACACCGGACTTGCCACGGAAACCCGAGCTTAAGGCCGACCGCGGCGCTGGCCGCCGGGTGTTCGAGACGGACGCCGAGCCGCTGTGCCCAGCCAGCGGCTCCACGGCGTCGGTCTCTGCCCGCGCTCTTACGCATCGTCGCACGTTAATATGGCAAACAACACAACTATCAGGCCGCGTGACCAGCAATGTTCAGCGGCGCAGCGCACGTGGAATGGCGTCACTACTTTTTGGGTCAAAAGGGATCGGGACATATCAGCCCTTTTCACGTAAGCCGTATTGGACCGGGACTTAATTTGGTACCAAATATGAAATGGTTGAAAAAAAACAAGTAGTACGGTGGTTTGTAGTCAGGGCTATCGAAATAACCGCAAAGATTTATTCCGGGAGTGCATTTCTTTCTAATTTCATCATTATATACATATTTGTCATTTCATGTTAGCACTTAATGGTTCGTTCCCGTGGGCTCAAATACATAAACATGACCAGCCGGATAGAAAATAACGAGAAGAAATGCGCTGCCAGAGTAAAGCGTACCAGCTATTTTGATAGACCGGACGAATCGTGACGAGTTTCACTCCCAGTTTATTCTTATTTACGTGTATTTGACACTTAGGTGCCCATGGAGTGCGGCGCAACCAAGTAACGTACCAGTCCAATAGACGCTGGCGTGAAGAGTTAATAAGTGGATACATGAGCACGCTTCAAGAGTAGGCCATTTTATACCTGAGATATGCGCAGTATTATTCTGGAATGCTGTTGGCCAGAGGAGAAGAAGCTTCTCCATCTTCCATATGCACTACATATGCCTGCGCATACCAGAAGCCAGACAGAGAGCCGACATATGTGTGCCATGAGCGTGGACGCCAAGCCAAAATTGATGCTTGCCACGCTGTGGACTATGCCATGATATTCTCAACAAGCATCAGACTGTATGAATCGATGAGGACGCGTCTGGGAATACGGGCACCAGCTTGATTCCAGTTCAAATTTATTGCTACCTGTCATCGCCGCTGAACGGTGCGACTAATGGCGATGCCGCCTACCAATGTACTGGAGTGCCGTGGGGTTGATCAGGGCGAAGCGCAGCGGTCTTCTAGCTGGGGGAGCGGAAAAGAAACAAATTGCCGACTGCACGAACTATGCTGAACCGCGGCGATCACAGAAGACGAACTCGTTAGTGATGATTCCAGCAGGGACACACACTTGCAAAAACTTTCACCGAGCTAAAAAGCTTATAAAACCGCTTTAACGCGCATAGATTCATTTACAAGCCATTATGATTACCTCTGCCCTCACCGCCGACGCATCCCGCTAGTTTGTTGCACGCCAATGTTGGCCCGAACGCCTCGGAGAACTAATGAACACTTCCCGGGTTGGATTAACAATGCAAATGAATCGAAATATGGTTCGGCCACATTAAATGTCAGCAGGGAGGAAGTTGCATTTGTGAAGGCTTTCCTGCCCACCGAAATGTGGCACGACACACTGAGTGAACCATACAGGAATGCCATTTGCTGGCACATTCGCCACCTTCCATTTGTTGGCTCGGACATTTAACCTCCCCACCGCCCACCCTGGGGATCTTTGAAACCAGTGTTGAAAAAATGGCCCAATCTGGCTGATCTAAAGGCCAGAGATATCCCTGGATGGTGCGACCTCGGCACATACCAATGCGTTAGCCTGTCGTTGATGGATGACGTTACATGTCGGGTCCAAGGTCACAGCTTTTAGATAATTGTACCTAGGATGACTGTAACCACTTTTTTAGTGCAAAGAGTCTGCAACATTTGTTGAGTACTGCAGAATTTAGACTGCCTGTTCCTTTGTTAGTTAAAGCAAATCGATTGACAGGGTGTGCTGCGCATTGTGAGCTGGCCTACTTCGCACCTCGGCGTGCATTGGCCTTTTTGGTTTAATGCTACGAGAAATGCAATAAGCCACTGCAGGACCACGAGGCGCGCGTTTTTTACGCGCCACGGAATCTTAATGAAACATCGGCGTCTCTCCTGTTGTTATTGTCCGGCGGTGCACCCGCTGTCACATGGCTGGTCGCTTCCTCTATGTTTTCACACCCACAGGCAGAGCCCGCGCACGACCGACGACACAGCTGTGACTGATGACGCCACCCATCGACCAGCCGGCGAGCCGGGCCCAGCAGCGGGAGGGCTCACTGATGGAATCTGCCGCACGGCCCGCTGACTCAGAGCTGGTCCTGCTGAAGGCCGCATTACACGGCGCTCGCACGCGGGAGTGTCGAAAGCAACGATGACATTGTTGACAAAGTTCGACATTGTTGGTTCAAGAACGGTGGAATCGATACGACTCTGCGATCAGTGAGCCATCGGAACAAATGCAATGGTTTAAGAAGATTCACTGATGGATAGCGGCTATCGGCTGGCCTTCCCAGCAGCATCTGCCGCTCCGCCCAAGGAACCGGGCCTGGGTCACGGGCACAAGCCGTTCAATGACGACCGGTTTGCAACATCAGCGCCAATAATAACGCAAAGAGCAACAACGGGTGTCCACCACGACCAATGCCTTGCAGCAGACGCTAGCAGCAATCACCACCGGGACACCGACGGCACAAATGCGCCAAGCCCAAGTGAGACACCAGCCCCCCAAAAATAAAAAAGAAGTGCACACGTAACAAGTGTTTGGCTATGGCGAAACGCGTCCTGACTGCAAATGAGGCGATCTATCGCGGTGATGCGCGCAGGGCTAATGAAGCCCCGCATGCGCCCAGTGCGACCTTAATACGCCAGAGCCGTGCCCAGCCAGGCTGTATGGGCCCGCTACTGCCGAACGTCGGGAAGCGGGGCACAAGCGGCACTGCGACTCCCACACCGCTGGCACCGGGGCACGTCCCCTCGCTGGACAGCGGGGCGTCGATGAGCTGGGGAGACGTCCACACCGAGGCAGACGCGGCCGACGTATACGCCATTGTGGCCCGTCATTGCGTCACTGGTGAAAAACAAGCATCAAGCGAACTCTGGTGTTGCACAAGCCGAGCGCGGTTCTTAATCTACGCAACGTTCCCAGAACCGTGCGAGCGTCCATCCCCACATCAGCTGCGTGACGGGCGTTCCGACGACTTACGCTGTAGAGATAAAGGTTCTTGTCGTATCCGGACAGGCCCTCATTCTCGTCGACGGCGAACGGCTGGTTATCCGGCAGATCGACACTCCCTGCAATGAAGGCAGCGGTCGTCAGCTGGGGTCCGCAGGACGGCTCTCACTACACCATTCTGCCGCATCGGAACAGACCTGCCATTCTCTTTACGGCGAGCACAACGACAGAGCATAGAGGCTGCTCATTCCACTGAGGATTGCCGCACCCAGAACCTCCGAAAAAGACTTGATCCATTTTGGGTGCGATGAGCGTAACAGCAAAAGGTCTGGCACAGGCCGGATCTGACCATCCACGGTCACGTTCGTTGGAATGAAACACAGCAGTGCACTCTTGTCTGATGGGCTCGTTATCGACGCAATTCAAGCGCTACGTGACTCCGTCATGCAATCATTTCTAGCCAAGCAAAACAAAATGGCGTCGGCTAACAAAGCAGTGGTCCTGATGATCTTGATGATATCGGTGATGGGCGTGCCAGCACAGCACATGAGATGCATGGCAGGAACGGTGTACTTTTAGGGAGGGGGGGGGGGGTGTTTGTTAGATGTCACTCTACTTATACAGCTGCCGGTTGAAGGTTGGCATAGGTTTGTTCGTACCCGTGATGACGCACGGCGCAAGCAAAAGACGGAACGCAATACCAGTGCGACGAGCCTGGCGCTGAGAACGAAAAGATCCGCGGAAAGACCAAGCACGGATGGAATGCGTCTTTCACCACGCTCTTTAGGGATGTAGATTAACTTTAATAATGACGCAGCTTCTCCAGCCAGCTTCATTCCGACACAATCAGCTGGATGAATGCCAAATTCTCTGAACATTCGAAAACGCATACCAATTACGTGTAACAAAACCACGCAGGCCATAACGGTGACCGTCGATGCTACTGCTTTCCACATGAGGTTACCACCCTTACGTAATGATGCGTGCAACTGGACAAGGCGAAACGCCCACCAATCTCTATTCGGATCAGTGAACCAAAGACAAGCCCGGACACCCCACAGATGGACCGAAAGCGCCTCCGCAGCACGCACACCAGCCACAGCGGCGCGGGGCGCACGGTGGCGAGGCCCCTGCACCGTCAGCCTCGCCGGCGATGGTCGCCGCGCGTCGACCGGCGGCGGCCGGACGCGGAGACGGCGGCGAGCTCCTGCCGTGTCGCTGGGGCGGAGCGCGGCAGCCGGCGCGGACCGCCAGCGGCGCTCTGATCGCCCCCCGAGCGGGGCTCTCCGGCCCTCGCTGGACAATGGGCGTCGCACGCCGGCTGCCGCCGCTCCGGTGACCGCCGACCCTCACAGTGGATGGCGCGAGCGCCATTTCTATCCAGGGTCTTCTCACGCGTGTGTGCACGACCGCTGCTGTCAGCCGGAGGTCAGCATGACGACCGCCTCGGATTGCAGTCTCACTCGCACATCTGCGCATCGGCGCCTGCGACGCGGTAGCGCTCTCTGTGAGGCGAGTCTCGGGATCGCCGTATCTCTGTGAGGCGAGTCTCGGGATTGCGGTACCTCTGTGAGGCGAGTCTCGGGATCGTGGTACCTCTGTGAGGCGAGTTTCGGGATCGCGGTTCCTGTGAGGCGAGTCTCGGGATCGCGGTGTCTCTGTGAGGCGAGTCTCGGGATCGCGGTATCTCTGTGAGGCGAGTCTCGGGATCGCGGTATCTATGTGAGGCGAGTCTCGGGATCGCGGTATCTCAGTGAGGCGAGTCTCGGGATCGCGGTATCTATGTGAGGCGAGTCTCGGGATCGCGGTATCTATGTGAGGCGAGTCTCGGGATCACAGCATCTCAGTACGACCACAGCACCAGCACCTCTGTTTACCTCTCTTCTCAATCCTCCAGCCCAGAAACGGTCAGCTCAGACCGAAAGAAATCAACCCCCAATCCCCCAAACCCCAACCCCAAGAGATCAAAACCAACCCCAACCGAGCCCAAAACACACAACAAGAATGCCGGCAGAAGCGGACCGACTGGCGGGACCTGCGGCGGCCCTCAGCGTGGCGGCGGCGGCGGCGCTCAGGCACGAGCCCCTCAGAGCCGACGTCGCAAGACCATCGGGCGGGCAGCCACCGAGCATCAGCCCGCCTTGCCTCACGCGACAGCCGCCCGCGCCGCGACACCGGCGCCACGCGGCTCCGGCCTGGACGGCTCCGCCCGGGGCGCGGCTGCGACGACGCACCCGCGGCGCGGGCCGGTCCACACGGCCGCGTGGAACTCCCGCCGAGTGCAAGGCGCCCGGCGCGGCGATTCAGCCGCTTGTGACCTTGTAACGGCGCGAACGCCGCGCCAGCATGGAAACCGCTGAAGATCAAATGGCTTGGGGAGCGGGCCACCCTGGGGAATGGTTTCTTCAACCCAGCAGCTCCCTTTGATCACGCCCAAACTCGCCGGAGCTCCCAGCAGAGGCGGCGCTTTTGAAGGGCGTCCTGGGTACGCTCAAAAGGAAAATTACTCATTTGCGTGTGTGCGGTATGAGTCGGGAAAGAAGACAAAGATACCGGCATGATAAACATGCCTTGCCCGCCTATTTCACGAGATGAACGGCAAAACCCCAACGGCATTCGTAATGACGAATGCCGTTGGGGTTTTAAAAAAGCCTTAGTTAATATTTCTGATATGTGCGCTGGCTCCAGTGCATTATGCGGCGCGCAAAAACCTCCGCGGCCACAGATGCGGCATAAGGAATGACGTTAGCTGGCGTCATGACCATGAGTTAAGAATAAATCACAAAAACCTGGTATGACCCACGGGGACGAGATCAGTCATCAGATCATCAGATCATAAGATCATCAATCAACAGCTGGAGGTTGCATTATCCGGCTGGGAGGGTTCAGGTGCCGACAGCGTGGCTCTGCGCGGCGCTCGATCAATTCATAGCTAAAGTAATCCTCACAAAATATTCGTCTGCGCTGACCATGATTACATGTCACCTGTCTCTACATCTACACCCTTCAAAACGGAGATGATGATTACGCTTCAATATTTCTGAGCGAAGAATCCGCCAGCGAACATTCGATGGGACAGCAAAACCACTTTCATTATTGGTAATCAGTTGGCATGTTGTTCCGAACGGTCTACAGACTCATAGCAGATGCTAAAACCAGCAGAGCTTGATGAACTGCCCTGACCAGCCCAGTCGAATCGACCGCCTTGAGTCCACCTCCAAAGCACGGTGCCCTTAGCTGGGCACATCCCCACAGCAATCTTTTAGCCAGATACGACCGAGCCGGCTTTGTTCCGCGCCGTTCCGACATCACGTGACCTAGGAGCCAACGTCAGCCGACTTCCGCTACACGGCTGACCGGTCCGGCCGGGAGCCAAACATGTTTGCCGGGCCAAGCACTTCAGTTATATCCTGAGCCGAGCCCATTATCGACAAATCCCAAACTGAGACCGCCGCCGGTCCGGAGACGCAATTACCGCCAGCAGAGGGCCCCGGAAGGCGGCCGAACACGGCAGCGTGCACGCTGTGGGGGAGGCTCCACTCACGTGAGTCGAACGAATCCAACAACTTCGGCAATGTATAAATGTTATATCCCGCGCGCCTTTCATTAATGCAGGCGCAGCACCAGCCACCAGACGAGCGCGCAGCATACTAATGCGAGCTCTCCGACCGGTTGCCGCGGCAGCCCCTTTCCACTAATTGGTGTTCAATAATTGCTGACATCTCGGAGCCGTGGCACGCGGCGCGCAGTAGCGCACGACAGTGCCACCTCTCGGTGGACGGCCAGGTGTTTGTGGGTCCAGGCGGCGCCGTGCCGACACCAGGCGCCGGGAGAGGCCCCCACCGGCGCGAGGGCCACCGCTGGGCGGCCGGCAGCGCGCGGCGCCGAGGGCGTCGTCTCGGCCTCGAGCCGGGCAGGCCGGAAGCAGGCCCATCACCCGGACGCGTTCAGCCGCGGCCGGCGCCGGCTCAGAGTGACCATCAGTGCCGCGCCGTCGCCCGCCGAACGCCGGCCGCGCCGCTCGCTGGTCAGACACCGACACCAAAAGACATCAGTACCGACATCGATATTGATGCCGACATCGGCGCCCACACCGACAGACACCGACGTACACCAGTATTGGCAATGACATCGGCACCGGCAACAACACTGACGCCGACAACGGCACCGACTTCGGCACCGACACCGACACAGACACAGCCATCGACACCGCAATCAACACCGGCACTGGCAACGGCAACGACAACGACACCGACACCGACACCGGCACCGGCCCGGCACCGGCATCGATACAGACACTGACACCAACACCAATGGAGACACCAAAACCGACACCAACATGGACACCGACCCGGACACGGACCCGCACACAGACACGGACACGGACATGAAACTGACACCGACACCGACACCGAAAGACACCGACACGAGCACAGACAGCGCCGCCACGACGGGGCGAACTCCGTGGGGCGGGCCACCGCCCGTCCCTGACGGCCGGCGGGGCGGCGTGCTTGCCTGCATAACACGCCCGCATCATCGGGGCTCACACCCGGCGGCGGCTGGCTGCGGCGCACGGACACACGCAGCGACGCGCAGTGACGGCGGAGCACGTGCAGCCCGGATTATTCTCACGTTATGGAGAGATGTATGGATGGCCCGTCACCGACCTACATTTCACGGGCTTAACACGGCTTCCACTGGGAAAGCCGGCAGCGATACAGACCCTGATAGACATGTGCCAAGAGAAACCGGTCACCATAACCGATTCCCGCACGATTTCTCTTGGATACAACGCCGTTGGAGAACCCCCCCCCCCCCCCCCCCCCCCCCCCCACCACCACCACCCGTCTCTGGTAGCCTCTGTGAAAAACTCCGCGCTCGGTACAGCGACCAAAACTGTTATGCCCTTTATCTATTCCGGCTCCTCTCATCCTCAAAACTGCCTGTCCTTTATCTACTCCGGCTCGTCTCATTCTCAAATTCCCCGCGGGTTTCAAGAATCTACGGAAATAACCTTATTAGGTGCGCAAATAGAGGCTAAAAAACGACGTGAGTGAAATGCAATGGGAGAGCTATATTTCTCTCGCGGGCGAACCTTTATGACTTCAAAGTGGGCCAG